GTTCTCGCTGAGTTTTCCAAACTTGTTGGCATATTGAGTGTAGCACCTTAACAGCGTCATCTTTTAAGATTTTAAATAGTTCAACTGGAATGCCATCACCTCCACTGGCCTTGTTGTTAGCCAAGCTTTCTAAGGCCAATTAGACTTCACTCTCCAGGATGTCTGGCTCAAGGTCAGCAGCCACACTATCTGGGTTGTCTGGGACATCGAGATCTTTCAGGTATAATTCCTCTGTGTATTCTTGCCACCTCTTCTTGATGTTTTCTGCTTTTGTTAGGTCCCTACCATTTTTGTCCTTTATCATGTCTCTTTTTGCACAAAATGTTCCTTTAATATGTATCTCCAATTTTCTTGAACAGATCTCTGGTTTTACCTTTTCTATTATTTTCCTCTGTTTCTTTGCACTTTTGGTTTAAGAAGGTCCTCTTGTTTCTCCTTGCTGTTCTTTGAAAGTCCATATTCAATTTTCTGTAATTCCCCTTATCTCCCTTGCATTTTGTTTCACTTCTCTTCTCTGCTATTTGTAAGGCCTTTTTGGACAGCCACTTTGCTTTCTTGCATTTTCTTTTCTTTGGAATGGTTTTTCTTGCTGTCTCCTGTACAATGTTATGAGCCTCCATCCTTAGTTCTTCAGGCACTCTGTCCACCAAATTGAATTCCTTAAATCTGTTCTTCACTTCCATTGTGTATTCATAAAGGATTTGATTTAAATTATACCTGACTAGCCCAGTGGTTTTTCCTACTTTCTTCAGTTTAAGCTTGAGTTTTGCTATCAGAAGCTGATGATCAGAGCCACAATCAGCTCCAGTTCTTGCTGACTGTATAGAGCTTCTCCATCTTTGGCTGCAGAGAATATAATCAATCTCATTTTGGTATTGCCCATCTGGTGATGTCCATGGGTAGAGTCGCCTCTTGCATTGTTGGAAAAGATTGTTCTCTTGACAAAACTCTATTAGCCTTTGCCCTGCTTTGTTTTGAACTCCAAGGCCAAACATGCCTAATGTTCCTTTTATCTCTTGGCTCCCTACAAAGTATGCAAATTACCCTCAAGTAAATGAACCAGTTTTAAATCTGAGATATTAAGCCCCTTTTCATGGCAGGTCCTCCACAATGCTTGCCAGACAGGATTTACAAACATTTATTTTGTTCCATCATGTCCATTCCTAGAGCAGCAACTTTCCTTATGGCTCATTAAAGACTTAGATTTAGTTTGATTTACTGTAAGGGCTTCCTTTAATGGTATTTGCTCTTAATGACCTGAAAGTAGCCACTTTAGTGTATATCACTGGCTCGTATCCTTCATTAAATACAGGTTTTCATGGACTGCAACTCCCAGAAATCTAGCCAGTACAGCTGGTGGTGAAGGCTTCTGGGAGTTGCAGTCCAAGACCACCTGGGTTACCCAAGGTTGGGAAGCACTGATGGAGAATGATTCTAGGGTTGAACTAGGACTCAGGAGACCTGGATTTAGGTTCCTGTAAAACTCACCTGGTAACCTTGGGGTAGAATGATTCTAGGGTTGGACTAGGACTCAGGAGACCTGGATTTAGATTCCTGTAAAACTCACCTGGTAACCTTGGGGCCAATCATACTCTCTTAACCTGACCTGCTTCATAGGGTTATTGTGAGGATGATATGGGGAGGAGGAGAGCCATGGAAGGTGCAATATAAATGGACCAGGCAATGTAAAGTTGGGTTTTTCCTTCTGATTGGTGCTCTAAAATGATGGTTTCTATTTGTGCTCTGAATGACAACATACGTGGGCATTGAATACTTCAGTCAAAAGTTAGTAGTAGAAATCTGATAATAATAACAATATAAATGTAAGAAAAACGAGTATTAGAAAAAAGATAAGTACTGCACGTTGTCTGTTTTCTCCATACCTTATTTATTACTACATACTAGTATTCAGCAGATAAAGTCGTATGGGCAGAATCACTTTTCTCTTTGGAGAAGAGTTGTCACCTTTTCTTGCAGAGACTCCAGATGATGCAGTTTCCTTAGTTGCCTTTCTCCCTTTCTTGGAAATGCTGCACCTGGTGAATTTCTGCTTCTTATTAAAGGCACTGGGCCTATGTCATGGAAAAATAAACAGCATTCCTCTTTGTCTGTATCTTCTCGTCCCTGCTCCTGATAAATTGCTGCCCTGGCCTTGTTGCTGGACTGGATCTAGAGGTAGTCACACTTAAGAGTACACCCATTAAACTGGGAATTAAGTTCATTGTGACAGACATATCCTACTGTTTGTTACTTTTAATTAGAAATTTGGATCCCATGTCAAACAGATGATGGGTGTGAGTAAATTTGACCACATTTCCCCAGTCTTGGCCTGCCTGCACTGGTTAACTGTGCCACCCTGGGTAAAGTTCAAGGTTTTGGTGCTTACCTATAAAGCCCTCTATGGTTTGGGATGCTGTTACTTCTTGGAGCACCTGTCCCCATGAATATTGCTCTGTGCCGCCATATCCTCCCAGGCCATGCTTCTACAGGTTGCCGCACCAAGGGAGGCCAAGAAGACATCTAGAAGTCAGGCCTTCTCCGCTGTGGTACCAGCCTTTTGGAAGTCGGTTCCCAATTGAGCTGTGCCTAACCTCCTCACTGACTACTTTTAAGAGGTTGCAGAAGATGATGCTCTTTGCAGAGGCCTTTGAGGGCAACCTCATGCCAATGTGCCTGTCGCCCCCACCCACCCCTACATTTTGTCATAATTGTAAACTTTCTTAGATTAGATTTAAGATGTCTTGGATTAGATTTCAGATGTTTAATTGCCTTTGATTGAAGGCTTCATTTTGGGATTTCACGGTGCATGAGACTTCATCCATTTTTGTATGAATTGTGTGCACCCCAAATTTGTCTTTAACCAGTATGGTGGTGGTAATACTAAACATTGGATGGGAGATGGCATGTACATGTAAACAAAGATAAATAGCATAATATATAATATAGAGTGAAGAAATATTTCTGCCTAAGGCAGTTATGTTTGCAAGACCTGAGCAGGTCTGTTAATGATTGGACCTTTGTAGGTTATTAATTCATAGCATATCAGGCAAAAGCCGAAGAAACAGAACAAAACAAGTGGCAACTTAAAGATGATTATATTTTAATGTGAGCTTTTGTGCACAAGTCCACTTCTTTAGACATATGGGGAGGGATGAAATATTGACTGAAATACCAAATTCACATGCTAAATATTTATTGGCTTTAAGAGTCTTGGCTGTGTGGTTACATCTCACATGGAGGAATTTATGGCCTCTGTTTGGTGCATTACTGCATATGAGATGTAACCACACGCCCATGCCTCTTAGAGCCAATAAATATTTAGAATGTTTAGTATTTCATCTAGGATTTCATTTTCCCCCATATGTCCAGTGAAGTGGATTTGTCCATGAAAGTTCACACTAAAATATAATAGTTTTTAAAGTACTATGTGTTTTTGTCTCTTTTCTTGTTTTCTTTCTTTGGATACTGCCTGATATACTTGCTCATCTATCTGTCTGTCTGTCTGTCATCAAAATATACACAACTTTCAATTCATAAAATAACAAACCTACAGGATGAGATAAAAGGATTTTTCCATGTAGATCCATATATTAGTGTGTGGTGCAGGAGAGGTTAATTTTTCATTTCAGTTTATAGTTTTATAAAACTGTTTCTATTGCCACTTCCTTGCAGAGCTCCGACTTGAGCAGTTAGTTTTTCCTTACATCCCAAATTTTGATATATTGATACGAAATTATCATGCCCTTCCAATGGACTGCAATAACCAGACTGCCAGCTAAGCAGAAAATTAAGATCAGCTGCTTATGTAATAAATTTGCATTTCCCCCTTGAAACAGGCTGAAATCCTTCAGGTGCACAAAGTTGTTGATGTCATCAGCCTAGCCTTATATCAGCCTTTAATTGCTAATGTTTCTGACACTGTTCCCCTTGTGAGATTTCCTAGGAATCCTGTTTGTCTTGCAGAAGCCTTTAGAGTCCTCAGGAAAAGCAAGAGAGGTTTTTAATGTCCCAAAATCAGTGCTGTTGGTCTCAATGCTGGTGGGGGAGATTTTTAGACATTGAAGTGCCCTCTTTGCCCAAGGCCCCTTAAAGCTTCTGCAAGATGAAAAGGATCCCTGGAGATCCTCAGAATCTTGAGGGTTATTTTTGGAAACTTCTAAGTAGTGATGAAAGCCTTTTGTGCACACAGAGCTGCACCAACAGGATTTTGACCATTGTCAACAACTGGGAATCAATTCAATTTTTCAATTTATAATTTTCCATCTCTAAAAAAAGGATACACCCACCACAGTTAGTAGTATGAACTATAACTATGACAGCCTCTCCTACACTTGGGAATAATTGTGCTGTTAATTTGATTTAACTCTTTAAGTGTCAGAAACAATCTGTGTATTTATTTGATATTGTGTTCTAAATAGACATGTTCTAAAATACTGATTTTTAGGAGTCAATGTGGAAAAAAAAACATTACAGTTGGACCTCTTGATGAGTTCTTGTTCAGGTGCTCACTGTTGAAAGTTTTTTATTCAAGGATTTCCACCTTGACTAAAAGGTGAGAGGCAGAGTATTCTAGGCGACTTAGCTGATCTCCCATGGATTTTGCTTGTCACTGCAGTAGCTTCCATCTGAGCCAGCAATCTTAACTGTCTCCAGAGGGGTAGCTATATTAGTCTTTTGCAGCAAAAGCAACAGTATAGTGGCACCTTAAAGATTTATATATATATATTGCATGGGCCCAGAAACAGATATGAGTAGAGAATGTATTAGAGATTATCACATCACAGTCATGAAGTCAAGAGCTTTTTAGATATTGTATGAAAGCTAATACACCTCTGTGTACAGTATATGTTTTGTTAATCCCATTGTTTCCCTTTCCCTGTTGTTGTATTATATAGTTGTTTGGTAATAGTTAATTAAAAAAGAGGGGGGGAAGAATTGCTCATAGTTTGAATGTCACTGGCTTTGCTCTGCACATCTCATTTTATTACTGTACAAAAAAAATTGCAAACCCTCCCCCCACCGCCAGAATGTGGAGTTATAGTTCAAAAAAAAAAAGTTTTCCCAAACTCCATGGCTGTTTTCCAAAGGGATCCTAGTGTATGCTTCTCTGCAATACCTTCCCTTGCCCTCTCCCAAGCTCCTCCCTTCTGGATCAAAAAGTTCTGTCATGTTCTGGTACATGGCTGTTTTCCAAAGGGATCCTGGTGTCTGCTTCTCTGCAATACCTTCCCTTGCCCTCTTCAATTGATAGAGTTATTAGCTCTAGGTGTACAGCAGCACTATTCCATTGGTGGTTGTGGTTACAGCCAGACACATCAGCTGGAAAACAATGAAAGTGAGGAATGGGGAGAATTATGACTGCTGAATTTTCTCCTTCTCCTGATCACTGGAATATGCAGCTGGTAGATTTAAGGAACTGAAGGAGGATTGCTTCTTACTGATGTTTGTCTCAGTGACTTCTTATCATCTTTGTTATTTGCACCCACAAAGATTCCAGATTCAGTCCCAGCAGTTTCTGGCAGGGATGTTGGCAAGTCGTTGGGTCCAAGTCCCAGGTCTGAGTCTTTGGTGCCAAGTCCCGAATCCCAAGCTCCAAGTCCAAGTTCCTATTAAAAACAAGCTTTTCCACAGAAAAAAGGGAGAGGTAATCCCAAGCTCCAAGTTCCTATTAAAAACAAGCTTTTCCACAGAAAAAAAGGGAGAGTGGGTGAGTTCTAAGTTGTAAGTTGAGTCCAAGTCATGGGGGGGGGGAAGGGAGAGGTTGGTGAGTTCTAAATTGCAAATTGAGTCCAAGTCATTCAGGGGAAAAAGCAATTGAAATCTGAGTTGAGTCACTGGTGTGACTTAAGCGACTCGACAGCAAGTCTTGCTACTCGAGTCCCTAATTGAAATCTGAGCTGAGTCACTGGTGTGACTTAAGTGTGAATTGATAGTGAGTATCACCGCTCAAGTCTCCATCCCTGGTTTCTGGGTACTTTGTAGCGAGTCTCACCGCTGGAGTCTCCATCCCTGGTTTCTGGGTACTTTGGAAGATGTTTGTTTTGCTTGCCAGAGGAGATGTGAGAAAGGTGATATTGGCCAGGAACATGCACTGTACTGTAAATTACAGAGAGGAAAAAAGAAAGTTGACACATAGCTGTTCTATTTTGGTAGAGACCTCTTTGCGTTATGATGTGTAGTCCCTGGTTTTAGTGTTTAAAAATAAAAAGCTGTTCCACAACAATTTGGTCAGTTTTTGCAGCAGATCTATCCCTTGTCAATATACTAAAAAAAATTGTGAGAGCTATTGGCAGTTTTGTGACTTCACATTTGAGCTTTTGTTTACATTTTGGAGCTGTGCCCATCTTTGTTCAGTTCATTTAAATATCAGTTGATTTTTTTTATATTGTCAAAGTAATTGAAAGTCCTGACATCATTGTTTAATGCAACCAGAATTGGTTTTTATTGCCTTATTCACCAGAAAACAAAAGTCCCTGCAAACTCATAGTGATTTGTTTGCTATATGCCTGTGTGTTTTCTCTCTCCAGATAATGGCATTACATCCTCGTAGAGTTCGATTGAAACCCTGGCTAGTGGCTCAGGTCGACAGTGGCATGTATCCAGGCCTTGTTTGGCTTAACAGAGAAACAAAACAGTTTCAGATCCCTTGGAAGCATGCAACTCGACACAGCCCTCAACATGAGGAGGAGAACACCATTTTTAAGGTAGCTGAAGAAAGCAATTCCACTCTCAGAGTAGTGTGGTATATTTGGTAGAGAAGGGGGATTTTAACTGGTGAGATTGGGGGATGGAGGAAGAACACTCATCTGTATTCCTCGGGAAATTGTAAAAAAAAAAAAAATCCCCAAACTACTGAAAGTGACATGCAGTAGTTGAGGCTGTGTTTTGTGATATTTTTTGCATTTGGCCCCATGAAGATTGCTACTGAACCCCTGCTGTTGGTTCTTAATTGCCATTTGTCTGCAGTTCTTGAATCAAACAGACTACTGCACGTAGCAGAGATTTGTGGGCACACATTGTTTGGTAATGAAGCAACAATTACTTTAAACATGTATTTAATTATACATTAGCGTCTAGTACTTTAGCTCCATGAGATTAAAAATTCTTCAGGTGTATTTGTAGAGCAACCATGGTCCTAGTGAAGGGAGGTAGAGGTGTACTTTACCATAGATTTACCATAAGGGTGTGGTTTGTTCCTCTTTGTGTGATTTGTACTGGGAAGCACACACCCAGTACTTCCAAAAGTGTCATACTAAATAGAATTCCATTCTCTGAAATCATTACCTCATTAAATGACAGTATTCCCAGTTACCTTAATGTCACCCATCTTCCATCAATGTTGGAGATTTTCATTAATCTTGAGGTACCTATCTATCAAGAGTAGGTGCCTTGCTAACTTCTTCTGTGTTAGGAGGAGAGGAGAGTACAGACTTGTTTCCCACCTTATATAAAACAAGACACTTCATAGTACCTCTGAAGCCTTGCCATTTAATCTCTTTTGGGAGGTTTGTTCACTGAATTGAAACCATTGTTCTCTGTATGGATGTAACTGTGGACATGCTATCTCTAGTATTATTTAGCCAAGTCAAGAGCCCAAAGTCCTGAAAAAGAGAAGCATGTGCCTTGAACAACAAAACAAAGATAGCATGTCCACATTGTGGAAAGCTCACTATTGTGTTCAAATAACTAGCAGGTACTTCTTCCCTCCCAAAGGAATATTGCACAGTACGTTCTCTGTCTTGTTTACCAAAGTAGAGCTTTCTGTTTATATTGATATAGAAACCATTATACACAGAAGTATCTAAAAATATTCTCTAAGAAGACAAGAACTCTTGGAGGTAATGCATAAAGAAAACTGCTACTTTATTGCAAGTTTCAAAAGCTGTCTGTGTTAACAGCAAAAATTGAGAGACATTTAGCTTTATGCTTTATTGTATGTATGTGTTGCAAAGGGAAAGGGCATTAGCAGCAATGATTGGCTTGCTACTGCAAAACTTTTATTGCATAGGTGCATGTGGCAGATGGTGAGTTTGTTTAGCAATATGATTCAACAGAAGCTGGCCGAATGACATTGTTCAACTGAGCATGATGTACTTTGCTCCCAGGCTTGGGCTGTGGAAACAGGAAAATACCAGGAAGGAGTTGATGATCCTGACCCTGCAAAATGGAAAGCCCAGCTCCGGTGTGCACTCAATAAAAGCCGGGAATTCAACCTCATTTATGATGGTACCAAAGAGGTGCCAATGAATCCCATTAAGATTTATGAAGTGTGTGATATCCCACAGTCCCAGGGAGCAATCATTAATCCAGGTAAGATACATAGAGACATGTCTTAAGAATTGCTCTGCTGCATGCAACTGACTTTTGCTGTCAGTGGATCCTTTTGAGTTCCTCAGCTAAAAGTGAGCATACCAGATTGTTCTCAGTGCAGCTTAATTGACATGAAGGGAAGTTTAGGTAAGGCAAAGGAGTGCAAAAAGGATTGAGCCCTAGATTTGTTATGCTGCTTCTGGAGCTTTGAAGGAGGCTAAACAGTACTGCAAATACCTCTCCCACCCTGCAAAAATGATGATTGTGTTATAAACCATGCTGCTAAAAGGAATGATTCCGTGCATCTCTTCTGTGGTTCACATAAATGACAGCCTTATTTCTTTTTCTATTGATAAAGTCCCATATAACTTGCTAATTGTCCAACTGATGCCTTTCCTACAGGCTCTACAGGTTCAGCTCCATGGGACGAAAAGGATAATGAGCTTGATGACGATGATGACGACGATGAAATAAACCAGTCTCAGCATGTCCCACATGTCCCTATACAAGACACATTTCCTTTTCTTAACATCAATGGTTGGTAGATTTAATATGGCAGAGTATGCACTGAATTAAAAACTATATGTAAAGCAGTTCTTTCTTTTGTTAAAGCCATCTCAAGGAATATTTTGATGCATTCTTTCAGAAAACTGCCATTTCTGTCTGAATACAGTTAGCTAACAGTTCATCAGGTTTGTTGGTTTGTGTGTGTGTGTGTGTGTTTTAAGAAAATAGCCAAAGATGGCTCTACATTTGAAGTAGTACACTCTTTTGAGCAACAGTAGTGCCTTGACTTACGAACTTAATCCGTCCCAGAAGATGTTCGTAAGTCAAAATGTTCGTAAGTCAAATCAGCATTTCCCATAGGAATGCACTGAAACCTGATTAATCTGTTCTGGCTGTTTTTTGTTCTTATGTCAAGGCACGGTTTGTAAGTTGAAGTATTAGTTCCCATAGAAACTAATGCAAAACTGGTTAATCTGTCCTCTACCACTAGGGGGGATTTTTCTTCTTTTAACCTAAAATGAATTTAGATTTAAAAAAAAAAGGGCAGGGAAGGAGGGAGGGAGAGAGGGAACAATGGGGAAAAGAGGTAAGAAAGAAGGTCATCACTGGGGCACAGAGACCCATCATACAAAGGTTTGTGCTTTTAAGAACAAAAAGAGAGAAGACAGAGAGAGAGAAGACAATGGGGGGGGGAGAGAGTTTAGAGTCTAAAACACATTTTAAACCCACACATGCTAAACCTACTCATTTTAAAGCCACACATTTTACAACAACACATTTTAAACCAACCAACTAAAAGACTAAATTGCATTTTAGAGGCCAACAGCCAGACAGAGCTTTGCAAACAGTTTTCTGATTTTAAAACCAACAGCCAGCAAGGAAACATAACTCCACCTAGCCACCTAGCTCAACCCCAAGCTGCAAAACCACTGTGCAGTAAATACAGTGTACTCACCCAGAACAGGCAATCTCTCTGTTTTAAAAAAGAAAGCCAAAAATCCAAAAAAAATTATTCAGTTCGTACAGTACAGTACCAGGCAGTATGCAGTTTGAAATCTCTCTGTATCCACACTCTCTAACCACTTCAGTTTGAACAGAATTGTTTCATTGTTCTTCCTGGCCAAAAACTCACCCTACCTCATTCACGGCTCATATTTTGTTATGAAGTTGGAAGTTTACTGGTGAGATTGTGCAATAGCTAGGGTAGGCCCCCGACTTTTTTCTGCCTGTAGCAAAGGACAAGATGGTGCATTTTTGTTGTGTTCATAAGTCAAAGCTCCGTTTGAAAGTCAAAGCAGAATTTTGCGAATGGAGCTGTTTGTAACTCAAAATGTTCGTAGGTTGGGATGTTTGTAAGTCAAGGCACCACTGTTTAGTTTGAACAGAATTCTTTCATTGTTCTTCTTGGCCGCTGACTCACCCTACCTTATTCACGGTTCATATTTTGTTATGAAGTTGGAAGTTTAATGGTGAGATTGTGCAATAGCTAGGATAGGCCCCCGACATTTTTCTGCCTGTAGCAAAGGACAAGATGGTACATTCCCAGTGCCAAAATAGAACTAGACTGGATTGGCAGCTGACACTTCCTTCAGCACTTAGGGCAACAGTCTAGTTTAGGCAGCACCTGGGCTGAGAAAGGAGTGGGATCAATAGACATACTCCCTGTTGGTTCTATTGCTCCTATTCTAGGTAAACCAATGGAAGATTATGCCCCTATAGAGTCAATAGCAGCAGGAGCTTGACCGTACTTTACAAGTCATTGTATCAGTCACTTATTTATTTATTTATTTATTTATTTATTTATTTATTTATTTATTTATTTATTTATATGCTGCCCACACTACCCAAAGGTCTCTGGGCGGCTTACAGCATTTAAAATACAATAAAGTTAGTAAACCAATGGAAGATTATGCCCCTATAGAGTCAATAGCAGCAGCAGCTTGACCGCATTTTACAAGTCATTGTATCAGTCACTTAGATAGTACTCTAATAAAAGGGAAAATTCTCACACTTCAGCAAGAGCAGAGAGACAAACCAATGTGTAGTTTGTAATGATGGGACAGCTTTAAAACTACTCCATGGCATATTCTGGAGCTAGTTTCAGGTTTAGCAAGTTTTAACTGTAACATTATCTCTCCAGACACTTCTGCCTTAATTTTCCATGAACCAAACTTTATTTAAAAGTTATATTTTGATTATGTATCCTTTTAAATGTTTTTCTTACAATTGAATAATCTGACTTATATTTAATACTCATCATCATAATGGGAATCTAATGTTACTGCTGGGTTGGTTACTTTGCTGATTAACATTCATATAAGAGTCTTCTGTAGATGAGTTTGCAAAGGGACTATAAACTGTTCTTTTTCAAATACATTTTAGGTCAGGTTGAGACATATTGGTGGTAATGTATGAATCATTTTGGAGAAAACTGCAGGCACTCACAACAAGCTTTGTTTATGAATATGTTTTCTCCCCAACATTTGGCAACTATTTGCAAGATACTATCCCTTTTCAAGAGGGATTGTCAGGCCTAAATCACTGAATATATTTGGTTCAGAAAGGTATAATAGAAATTTATAAATCAATTATCATTCCTTTTCCCAGTTTGGACTTCTAAGGGTTCTTATTGTGTCTTAGGATACTAGGTACCTTGATCTTTTGGGAAGGCACACAGTTCACTGTTCTGAGTCAGGCACCATCATATCTTGGACTTTGAGCTTCCTCAGGCTCCAGATGTGTAGGATTAGACCTATACATGGCCATTCTGGCAGTAGATGATGGGAGTTATAGTCCAGTATGCCGGAAGGATCCCAACTTGGGGCAGGTTGACATAGATCAGTGGTTCCCAACCTTGGGTGACCCAGGTGTTCTTGGACTAAAACTCCCAGAAGCCTTCACCACTACCTGTGCTGCTTGGGGTTTCTGGGAGTTGCAGTCCAGGAACACTTGGTTCACCCAAGCTTGGGAACCACTGGCATAGTTTCTGTACTGGTAATTAAGAGTAATATGTTTTGCTGTACATGATACAAACATCTATGGACATTTCTTAAAATGTCAGCATGAAGAGTTTAAAAACCTCTGCAATACATTTATTCTGCCCAGACTCTCCAATGGCACCCTCTAGTGTGGAGACCTGCAGCCCTGAAGCTGTGTGGCCAAAGAATGAGCCGACAGATATAGAGATGCCTATGCCTCCTGCACTTCCAACTTTGCCACCTGAGATGTTCAGCTCTCCAGAACTCTGGATTAGCTCTCTTCCAAGTAAGTTTCCTTTCTATGCATAGGTCACTAAATCAAACAGAGCAGAATACTGTGCATTGCCTGTTGGGGTTTGTTTGTGCAGAAAAGTACTGTGAGTAAACTAGAACATACAGCAATTTCCCCTGAAGTTTTCTGGTGTGATATTGGAAATAATTTGTATTTGAAAATATTATAGAAGCATTGGTGACAACCTGTAAATAAAAAAGCTTCAGTTGGAAATGATGCTGAGTTTTGGACAGTGAGAGCATTGCAGTTTGTGTTAATCATAGAGGTAGTTCTGATCAAACATGTCGCCTTGTGTGGTTGGTTCAAATGAAATGTACTACATTCATGTGAAGAGCAAGCTGTCCATAAAAGCTCAGTTGAAAAGTTGTTGCTCTTGCTGTTGACTACTACCTAGTAAGACAATTAACCCTAATAAGTTGGCATCTGGTTTCCTTAGTAATTCCTCCCAACCCGCCTTGTAAATAGGATTAACAGCTCTGTACTGTGCCTGTGCAGATTTTGTTCACCTTGAAGATGAAATGAGAGTAAATCTAAGATTTCCTAGTTATGTTGCAATGTCTGCTCTTCTAATAATACTATCCTTTGAATCAAGTGACAGACCTTGAAATCAAGTTTGAATATCGGGGCAAAGAATTTGGGCAGACAACGACTGTGAGCAATCCCCAGGGCTGCAGACTTTTTTATGGAGAGCTGGGTCCCATGCCAGATCAAGAAGAACTTTTTGGTCCCATTAATTTGGAGCAAGTAAAGTTTCCAGGTCCAGAACATATCACCAATGAAAAGCAAAAGCTCTTCACAAGCCGACTGCTTGATGTCATGGACAGAGGGCTGATCCTGGAAGTCAGTGGTCATGCTATTTATGCTATCAGGCTTTGCCAGTGCAAAGTGTATTGGTCTGGACCCTGTGCCCCTTCAGATACCACACCAAACTTGATTGAAAGACAAAAGAAAGTCAAACTCTTCTGTTTAGAGACATTCTTGAGTGGTGAGTAACTAGTATTCTAAGATCAACATCATCACTGAGTAGTCAATATTGTGTTTTTTAAATCACTGTTTGGATGAAATCTGATATAGTTGATGTGAACTAGAGCTGTAGCTGTATTAGCAGTGTCTTGTAAGCTGTGGTTTGGGTGCAATTTGTTGGGTCAATAAAGTATATAGCATTGGTGAATGGATGTTGTTAAACATTGCTATGCTCCGTTCTAGCTAATTTTTCTCACCACATCCTTCTTGTGCCCCAAATAGATCTCAGTAGTCACTAGCTGATGCAGGTGTAACTGAATAGCTGCATGTTATGAAAGTGAGAAACGCTCTGGCTTTTTGTAGTATTGATCCAGTACAGGGCTAAACAATAATAGTAAGAAGTAGTACGTAATATTGTTTGTTCTAACTCTGGGCAGAAGGGTTATGGGAAAGCAGAAAAGAAAGTATGTGGGAGAATTCTAGAACAAACTGAGAATGGATGTTGAAATGAAAAGTCAGAAGCATGTGTATCTCACCCTACATAAGCACGTATTGTTTTTCCATCCATTTAGAACTGATAGCTCATCAGAAAGGACAGATTGGAAAACATCCACCATATGAAATCTACTTCTGTTTTGGGGAAGAATGGCCAGATGGAAAATCAAGAGAGAGGAAACTCATTGTTGTTCAGGTAAACTAATGAAACAAAACACCAACATTAAAACAGGAACTTCAAAAGAGATGTTAACTGTATTCAATGTGAGAACAATTCCTGAATCCCATATAGAGAACCTGCTCATCATAGTGCATAATTGTATGTCAGTTTGGAGTTTAAAATGACTAAATGTGAAAAAACTAAATTCATTGTCCTCTATAAATGAGACAATTTGCATGCATTTGCTTCCATCAGTCATGAAATAGTAAAAAAGAACTACTGCGCATAGCCCTGGACCCTTGGCTGTTGGCAATCTACTGTACAGAATTCTGTATATTCCTGGTTGACACTAATTATGTGGACACATTTCAGTTTGATTTTTGGCTGGGATATGGGGCTTAGACTACTTTGGTAAACTTGGTGGACCATTTCCAGCACCAGGAAATGAATAAGGAGATTTCAACCTTATTAGCACTCCCTGACCTCTTATAGGTGTCAGGTGCCAGTGACCACAATATCCTATTGGATTGCCTGGCTGGATGGGGTCTGAGGGCAGGGCATTGTATTGCTGTGATTCTGTTCTTGTCAGGGTGTTCTCAAAAGGTGGTGGCAGGGAGCTTCTTCAGACCTCTTATAGGCTCCAGGTGCCAGTGACCACAATTGGATTGCCTGGCTGGATGGGGTCTAAGGGCAGGGCACTGTATTGCTGTGATTCTGTTCTTGTCAGGGTGTTCTCAAAAGGTGGTGGCAGGGAGCTTCTTCAGAACCATGGTGTTTGGCATATGGCATCCCTCAGGGCTTGTCCCTGTCCTCTGTGTTAGTTATATATATATATGAAGCTGCTGGGAGAGCTCATTTGAAGCTCCAGATTGTGGTGCCACTAGTACTGGGCAGGGCACTGTATTGCTGTGATTCTGTTCTTGTCAGGGTGTTCTCAAAAGGTGGTGGCAGGGAGCTTCTTCAGAACCATGGTGTTTGGCATATGGCATCCCTCAGGGCTTGTCCCTGTCCTCTGTGTTAGTTATATATATATATGAAGCTGCTGGGAGAGCTCATTTGAAGCTCCAGATTGTGGTGCCACTAGTACTCTGATGGCATCCAGTTCTTTTGTTTTGCTTAACATATACAGTATATGAAGCTGCTGGGAGAGCTCATTTAAAGCTCCAGATTGTGGTGCCACTAGTACTCTGATGGCATCCAGTTCTTTTGCTTCCTGGCATCTAACTTGGACACTGGATGAGGATGAAAAGAGATCTGTCAGGACCCTGGATAATGAGGGTCCTGACTGAGGGTGAAAAGTTGAAGTTAAAACTTGGCAAGATGGAATGCTGCTGGCCAATAGAAGGTCAGGCTGAAGGATTGGGATTGAAGATGCTCTAGAACACTGGTTCTTAACCTTGGGTTACTCAGGAGCCTGACTGAGAAAGTTGAAGTTAAAACTTGGCAATATGAAATGCTGCTGACCAATAGAAGGTCAGGCTGAGGGATTGGGATTGAAGATGCTCAAGAAGAAGAGCTTGTGGTCCCCCGATTAGACAGGTTCATAATCTGTATGAAATGCTGCTGACCAATAGAAGGTCAGGCTGAGGGATTGGGATTGAAGATGCTCAAGAAGAAGAGCTTGTTGTCCCCCGATTAGACAGGTTCATAATCTGATTCTGCCCTGTCCTTGGATTCACAGATGGCAGTGGAGACAAGGCGTACCACTGCACAACTCCAATTAGTGTGCCAGCTATGACCTTTCATGACTTTACATGACCTTGGGCAGTCATCTGCTTTAGTTACATTGACTACTGCTGTGTGCTTCAGACTGTGGAATGCACTTCCCTGACAGTAAACAGTTGCCACTCTCACTACTCTCTGCACAAAGTAACACCAAGCAAGGGAAAATCCCAGAAGCTGACTCCTGCTTTGGTTTAAATACTGATGGTCACACATGCCAGAAACAAAACTAAAACAGAGTGATCCTACCTGCACTAAAACATAACTGGAGCCCCTGCCAGAGTCCCAAAAAAGTGTGGGTAGGCATGGGTAAAGATCTGTTGCCTGTATGTCATGGGATCACTGGAAAATGAAGTGAAAGACCCTGTTCCCAAAGCAGTCCAAAATGAGAGATGAAGTGCCATCTGCTGAGACTTGAAAATACACTATGAAGGAAATAAAACAGAAGAGTAAATATGTGTTCCTGGAGACAAAGGTCACACTGTAGTATTTTTGATTATGGTGTATGTGAAAGCTGGACAGTAACGACTGAGGGGGGATAAAAGAAAGATAAATGTGAAAGGTAGTGCTTGAGGATAATTTTATGGATACCATGGACCCCAAGAAAGACAAACAAGTAGGTCCAAATCAAATTAAGCCTGATTTGTCACTAGAAGCAAAAATTACTAAACCAAAGCTATTGTGCTTTGGGTGTATCATGAGAAGGGAGGACTCACTAGAAAAACCAACACCTCAAAAAGTGGTGAACAATAGGAAAAGAGGAAGACTAACTTTGGAATCAGTTGACTCCATAAAGAGCATCACAGTGTTTAATTTGCAAGAGCTGAGCGTAGCTTTTAGAGGTCATTGATTTATAGAGTCATCATAAGTCACAAATGACTTGGCGGCACATGGCAGCAAGAACAGCAAACAGCAAATCACTACATTTACTCAGCTTGTGACAAGAAATACAATGATTGAAACAGGAATTTTAAGTAAGAGAGAGAAATGCTTTGGGTGGTGGTTGTCCTCACAGTTGAGTTTTTCTAGTTTTTCAGGTGAGCTTGTTGCAACTGATAATCCCATTTGGACTAATGATGTGGAATTTATTTTGAAACAGGTAATTCCAGTGGTTGCTCGGATGATCTATGAGATGTTCTCTGGTGATTTTACCCGCTCCTTTGATAGTGGCAGCGTGCGGCTCCAGATCTCTACTCCGGATATTAAAGACAACATTGTTTCTCAGCTGAAGCAGCTTTACCGTTTGTTGCAGAATCAACAAGAAGGCTGGTCCATGCAGCCTCCAAACATGCAGATTACGCCACCCCTTACGGCACAATGAGGACCAAATCTTGCCTAAATGATGAATTGCCCAACCATGAAAACTGTGTGGATTTTTAAATTCCTGTTCAAAAGTATTTTTATTTGAATTAATTTTAAGTCATTTTGTTGACTCAATAAAACTTAAAGAATTATTTGTGTATAATATAATCCATTTAAAATGTATACTTTGCAGATCTGAGTTAATGCATGCAGACAAAAACATGTGCTTGCCATTTTATTCCTCAATTAATATAAATATATAAGTGTTGTATTTCAAAATGAGTTTCAGAAGCCTTTAACTGCACTTTGTTGTCCATTGTTTTTATACCATAGTCAAATGTATGACATAAATTGCATGTACTTTTAAATACTGTATGTGGTTTTTGAAAACCTAGTACTGCAAGCACATGTGTGAAATATCTGATCAGTGCAAAGCAGTTGTTAGTGGCCACAACTTTGTAAATGTTTCACCTCTTTCATAAATTGCTTTCAAAGCAGGGCTCTGTAAGTTAGTGGTATTTGAATTTTTTGCTAATAAGCCGTGGCTATTTGATAGCATCTTTCCTCGGTAATCACATGATACATAGTTCAAAATTTTATTTTATGCCTGAAAAGGCAGTTTTTATTAAAGTATCTTGTGGTTTGTGACAGATCTTTCAGAGACTTCTTATGCTAGGTTGCTAAATGAGACTCTAAAAAGCATTACTGCTAGTTATATACCACAGCTCAGTGCATCAGTTGATTGTTGTACAAGGTGGTGAAAAATGGTCAGCTACAATCAGTGGTTTCCCGCCTGATTAGTAAATGAAGAATACTGTGTAAGTGATGCTTTCTGTTTAACTGGTCTTTGCCAATAAGGGTGTGTTTAGGCCACTTTCATAGACCTCCTTTTCAAACAGACTGAAGCACTGGCTACAGGGCAGTGTTTGCTTAGAGTGACAGATTGCCAGAAGATAATAAAAGCCCATCAAAGCTCTCTGCTTCTCCCATGTAGGAGCTGTTTTATATCTATGTAATCAGCTTGGAATCTAGGAAGTTTTAATATTGTTAGAGATTTAATCCAACCCGTTGTAAATAAGTACTTTTGATGCTAAAATACAGCTGTACAGACAGAGGGCTACAATTTGGCACATTTACTTCCTATGCTGCAAAATGCATTACTGTGTATCTTTATAAAATTTCTCTTCAACTGCAACAGTGTATTAATGACTCTGTGTTCTACTAATGGTGCTAATGCATGATTGAATCATATTTAACTTGCATACACATAATAGCCATTCAGTTCACCGATAACCATCATTTCTTTAATAACTTCCTCTTTCATATAGAAGTATTTTTATTGTTGATGCTGTATGCGGGCAGTAGATGAATTATAGCTTGGAAATGCCTTTAAATCCTTGTTATCTTTCATGAAGGGTGATTTACCAATCTAGTACTAGTTTGTCTTAAATAGAACATCAGTTCACTTTACACAGGTATGTTGGCTGCAAGTCAAATCATGACTTACATACATGAATTTATCTGAGAGCTTTCACAAAACTCAGTACCAAATCAAATAATCTATTTTTTTAGTGAAGACGGTTTTGTATTGAAAATATTAAATTTACAAATTCACTCACACTTCCGTGTTTGCAGACATACTTTATTCCACCTGTCATTTCCCTAAATCAGAAAGCTGGCTGGATAGTTCAGTGAGTTGGGTACTGGCTGCAGAGCCAGAGAATGGGAGTTTGATTCTCCACAGTGCCTCATGGGAGAAGAGTAGTCCTGGGTAGCTTTGGACAAGCTGCAGTCCCACAGCACCCAGAAGAAGGGAATCACAGACCACTTCTACATGAAGGGTCACTATGTCAGAATCAGTTTGGTGGCACATTATTATTAGTTAAATAAGGAGGATGCTTTCTTCCATTGAACTGTTAAAGCCATTTAATAGATGGCTTTATATGCCATGTGCTCCTATCAGGTGTTATAAAATAATGGATTAAGTAATGTTTGCCTCTCCTCATACAGCTATTTAATAGATGGCTTTATATGTTGTGTGCTTTGCCAGGTGCAATAAAATAATGGCTTGAATAGTAAGTCCCAATAATCTTTTCTGATATAAATCTCCACTGTAATGGAGCAATAAAAATACCAGTGGCAAGCTATGACACTTTAAGCATAAAAGTCTATGATAATTTTTTATACGGTATTTGAATTTTTGGAAGTAGGACCTCGGCTCAGTCAAACCAAAGACTGATCTAGCCCTGCAGTTCTGATCTGTTTGTTTGCTATTAATTAAACTAAGACCCCACTAGTGACCCACTACACAAAATAAAAGTACAGAAACAAGGTTAAAAATCATTAAAAATACAATCCTAAAGCCCAGTTATCTAATAAACATTAACTAAATCTCAAGACGGCAGAAATAAAAGTAACTGAATTACACAAGAAACAGTGAGCAGTCAACCTAGGGCAATTACAAAAATACAAATACATATATACGTACACACACACACATAATGTGAGCAGCACACACAGACACACGTGTGTGCGTGTGCTGCCCACATTTATTTATATATATATTTGTATTTGTATTTTTGTGAGATGTATGTATGTATGCATGTATGCATGTATGTATGTATGTATGTATGCATGTCTTTTTGTGATTGCCCTAGGTTGCCTGCTCATTGTTTCCTGTGTAATTCAGTTGCTTTTATTTCTGCCGTCTCAAGAGATATATATTTATATAAGAGATATATAGAAGCCAACACAGATTTGTCAAGAACAAATCCTGCCAAACTAATTTGATCTTGCTTTTTGATCAGGTAACCTCCCTGATAGACAGAGGGAATGCTATCAAGTATATCTTGACTTCAGCAAAGCTTTTGACAAAGTGCCCCGTGATATCCTGATTAGCAAGCTAACTAGATGTGGGCTAGATAGATCAAGTGTCAGGTAGATACACAATTGGCTACAGAATCGTACTTTGAGGGTGATGATTAATGGGTCCTTCTCTAACTGGGAGGAGATAACAAGTGGGTTATCCCAAGGCTCAGTCTTTCAATATTTTTATTAATGATTTGGATGAGGGAGTGCAGGGAATGCTTGTCAAATTTGCAGATGATACCAAATTGGGCAGCATAGCTAATACCCTAGAAGACAAAAACAAAATTCAAAATGACTTTGATAGGATAGAGCACTTGGCCAAAAGCAACAGAATGAAATTCAACAGGGATAAGAGCAAAGTACTGCACCTTGGAAAAAGAAACCAATTTCACAGTTACAAGATGGGGGATACCTGGCTCAGCAAAACTACGAGCGAGAAGGATTTCGGAATTGTTGTAGATCACAAGCTGAATATGAGCCAACAGTGTGATGTGGCTACAAAAAAGGCAAATGCTATATTAGGCTGCATTAATAGAAGTTCTGTTTCCAAATCCCGTGAGGTGCTAGTCCCTCTCTATGCAGCACTGGTTAGACCTCACCTTGCTTATTGTGTCCTGTTCTGGACACCACACTTCAAGAAGGAGGCTAAGAAACTGGGACAAGTTCAGAGGAGGGTGACAAGGATGATAAGGGGGCTGGAAACCAAGCCTTATGAGGAAAGGCTGAAGGAAGTGTGTGTGCGTGTATGCGTGTTCTATGCTGTCAAGTCATAACTAACTTATAGCAACCCTAATAGGGTTTATAGGGAAGTGAGGTTTTAAGGAGTGGTTTTAGCAGTTCTGCTCCCCCAATGAGTTTCCATGGCCAAATAGGGATTCAAACTCTGTTTCCAGAGTTCTAGTCCATCACTTTATCCACTACACCGCACTGGGAATTACATAATGTAATTATTATTAATATACAAGATTTGCTAATTCTAGAACTCAGTATAAATTTCCAGTCTTGATAAAAACAGATAATTTTAATGCATCTTGAAAAAAAGAAAATATATAAAGAAGATAAAAACATTGTGGCACATTAAACTGCTATATTTTAATATAAGCTTTCATGGACAAGCCCACTTCTGATATTTTAAATGTCCATTTTATCAGACCTAATTTTAAATTCAACTTGCAGCCCTTTCAGAGTGTCTAGGACATTAATCAGTATAACCTTTATAGGGCTATGTTGTTTTACTTCTTCCTTAGAATTTGCAGGCTGAGAAATCTAGTCTTCATTGATAGGTACACTTTCAAATCTAGAGCTGGGAAGACTGCGTATTTTGTCTAACTGGAATAGCCTTAGAGGACAAGGAAAACAAACTAAGTGATGGAAACCTATCTTTCCTTACCTGCTGATTAAGGTTATCAGATTTTTATGCTGTACTCATCAATAAAATAAACCCGGGGGGGGGGGACCCTAAACAATTATAGTTGACTTTGGTGTGGAGTCAAACAGACTGGAAGACAAGTAAGTTCTAGTGGAGGGGGGGATGTCACTAGGAAAAAAGGACCTGGGAAGTGGGGTTTCCCAGGGTGAGTCCTCTTCAACTGACCACACAAGAGTCAGCACACAGAGGGGAGGAAACCAACCTTGTTTGCAGCTTGTAAATTGAATCCTCCTCAGATGTGGTGCTTGGGTCTGCTTGTTTGCCTTCTGTTTCTTTTAAAATTTTGCTGGTCTACTGCTAGACCAGCTGGCTGACCAAAGGCAGCTGTGCAAGGGGCCATAGGGGAGGAGATCATAGGAGAGAGAGGAGGAAGTTTTCCTTTCTCCCTTGTTCCAGCTTAAGATAGCTCTTCTCTGATTGCCAGGAGGCACAGTAAGAACAGAGCTGCCTTAAAACTCTCTCCCCCCCTTCCCCCCCCCCAGGCTTTGGTCAACCAGGTGCCTAGGGCTAGATTAGTAAGCCTTTAAAAGGGGGAGGGGGGAAGCAGAATGGGAAGGGAAAATGAAAGCAGACCCAGGCACTAGTTGTGGGGAGGAGATGATTCAAATGGTAGTAGCCCGTTTCACTGTTGTCTTGCCTCTTTTGCTGCTGATGGAGCTGGCTGGAAGTGAAATGGCTGCAAGTCTGTCTACATTGGCTCAGGTGAAAACACTGCCTGGTCAAATATGAAGGCATTAAATCCAAACAAATAGAAACTCAAGTAGCAGAGGAAAAAAAATCAGATTTGGGTGGATGGTGGAATTCCGGGCTAATCAGCTTGGACTTTTACATCATGTAGTCAATAGTATATAATGCAGATCACAATCTTGCAGCATTTCTTGCATTATTTGTCGCTGTAGTCTGAGTTGGTTCCTGCACCAGTTGTAGTGGAAAGGCAATTTATTTATTTATATTTATTTATTTGATTTATAACCTGCCTATCTGGTCCGAGAGGACCACTCTAGGCGGCTAACAACCATAAAAATAATACAAGACAATGTAAACAGACAATTCTAAGAGATAAAAACACTACATTAAATCACATAATATGTAAGACAAACAACTGCATTATTTGTCACTGTAGTCTGAGTTGGTTCCTTCACCAGTTGTAGTGGAAAGGCAAGATCTAAACTGAGTAAATTACTATCAAAGAATGTGTCTTGGCCCACTGCATGATTCACTGAGTTCCACAGGAGTAATTCAAGATCTAAACTGAGTAAATTACTATGAAAGAATGTGTCTTGGCCCACTGCATGATTCACTGAGTTCCACAGGAGTAATTCCAAAGCAAGTGCACATAAGACCAGCTTTGCAATGGTAACTATATGAGTTGGGAAATGTCTTAACATCCTAATTGGTCTTAATTAAGCCTTTATTCCTTCAGCCGTGACATTAAACTACTTCTTTTCCAAATGGTTTGAAAATGCTGGTCTGAGAGCTGTTGTAATGTCCAAAGGTAAAGTACGTCTTTTCCAAATGGTTTGAAAATGCTGCTCTGAGAGCTGTTGTAATGTCCAAAGGTAAGGGAAAACACAATTCGAAGGCTATCAGTAAGGATACATCTTCATTACCCAATATGTAGATCAGGTTTTAAAATTCTCTTTGGTATCCATGCCAACTAGAGTTGTTTTTAATTGAATGCTTATTTTGACTTCACACATGCAAATATGCTAGCAGAGTTACAATCGGGAACCGATTGTCAAAGCGCGCTCACACACTCCCTTCCTCCCCATGGTTGAGGGTTGGAGCTTGTTAGGATGGCACCCTTGTAAGCGGGAGAAAGCGTCCCATTAACTGGTAGGCCTGAAATGAGGTGTCCTATGAGTGGACAAGATGGTGAAAGGGGTGGCATGGGTTCCACTGAGAATTTGTTCTAAAGCCACTTTTGTTCTTAAACTCAAATGTGTCTTCATCATCAGCATAACACCTAGCAGGTGGAAGACAGGACTGGTCAGCTGTCTAATTGCTGCTGAGGGACCCTAGCCAGGATGACCTCAGGGGCACTTATCAGTATATGTTGCTGTTTCACCTACTTTACAGGATGTGGATCAGGTTGCCATGGATGAGGATAAAACCACCACCAGAGGTGGGGGATGGAGACATTGCTTGCAGTGAAGCTTTCCCATTTAATTTCCACATTAAAAACAAATCCTTAAATCTCATTAAATCTGCTTAACTCTCAACCCCGCCGACTATGATTAGCTCTTACCACTGGGTTAAACATATTAAATCCATCAATACAAAACAAAAACCCACCCGGTATATGCATGTGGGATACATTACAGTACTTCTGTATTCTCAATTAAAAATGCCAGGAAATGTCCCAACATTGCTGCACAATATCATTGCTTTGCTGAAAAAAGTAAAAAGGATGCTAAACTTTACCTTGCAAAGGCCAGCCTGGATGTTGACAGTATCAGCAATCAAGATGTCTACAGGATGCCCTCTTGTGCTCACTACCATTCACAAAGAGACATCAAGCAAGGGAAAATCCCAGAATCTGATTCCTTTTTTCATCAGTTAAGCACTTCTTCTCCCAAACACAGAGCAGTTGTCAGGTCTGTGTCATTACAAAACCATACACCAAAGAATCCATGATTTCTATGGCTTAATCTGTGGGTACAGATGGAACCTATGATTTATTTATATTTAATGTATTCAAGAAGGCTTTCACGGCTGGGATCTAATGGAGTTCTTCCTAACGTTTCGCCAGTCTCTGTGGCCGGCATCTTCAGAGGACCACTATTTATATTTATTTATTTCAAATATTTTTACTGAGCCTTTTTCCTAAAAAAAAGGACCCAAAGCAGCTTACATGATTAAAAACACAACATTAAAAGCAGATTTAGAAGCAACAAAATATAAACCATCCTATATATTCTCTCCTAGACAGTCAGTCACTAAGGAAAGCATGCCTGAAGAGAAAGGTCTTTGCTTGCAAAAGGACAGCAAAGATGAAAACAGCCTGGCCTTTGGGAATTCCAGAGCCTTAACACCCAGGCAGTACCATAGAGAGAACCAGAGCTTGGATCCAAGCTGTTTATGGCTTTATAGGTTAAAACCAGCACTTTGAATTGTGCCATGAAATGGATTGGAAGCCAGTGGAGCTGCTGTAACGGTGGGTGGGTTATGTGATCCTTGTAACCCGCCCCAGTTAACAATTTGGCTGCAGCATTTTGAACTCGGTAAAGTTTCCAAGCACTTTCCAAAGACAGCCCCATGTAGAGTGCATTCCAGTAACCCTTCCAGGTTATAATGAAAGCCTGTGTCACTGTGGCCAGGTCAGACCTCTCCAGAAACAGGTGCAGTTGAGATTATGCCATTATACATATATATAATGTAGATAAATTATACATACTGTATATAGTTTTAACTGCAAAGGCTTCTAGCCATTGCCGAAACCTGGGCATCCAGGCTGTCAGAGACGAATCCTGAAGCACACCCAAGTTGCATACCTGTGTTTTCAGAAGGAGCGTAACCCCATTCACTACAGGCGGAATCCTATTCCTTGATCCGCTTTTGATTGACTAAAAACACCTCTGTACTGTCTGAATTTGACAGTGGTTTGGGGAGGATCCCATATAAAAATCATGTGATTCCATCAGGATCCATGTTTAGGCATCACAGCCAAACCATGCACTAGAGAAACCATGATTTCTATATTGTAGTACATGGGCAGAGATGGGAGCTATGATTTGATAGTGCTTTGAGGTAGATGACATCATGTGGTTCTATAAGGATCCATGTTTCTGCATCCCAGAAAAGCCATGGGTTGACGTAACTATTCTTTCTATGTTGTAGTCTGTAGGCACAGTTGAGACCCATAATTTAGCAGTGATTTGAGGTGGGTCGCATGCAAAAATCATGTGGATCTGAGCCTCTGATCTATGTATTTGCATTGCTGTAAAGCCATGTGCCAAAGGATCAGTTATTTCTGTGTTGTGGTCTGTGATGCACAGATGCGACCTATGATTTGACAGCGGTTTGAGGTGGATCCCACATTAAAATCATATGGCTCCATAAGAACCCATGTATTTGTGTCTCAGCCAAGCAATGAACTGGAGGATCCATAACTTCTATGGTTTATTCTTTGAGCACAAGGGGACTTGCAACCTGACGGTGATTTCTTGAAGAACCCATGTGAAAATGGATCCATGTGTTGTATTAGTGTTTTTACACCACATATGTGAGCACAGATGGAACCTATGATTTAACAGTAGTTTGGGGAACAATCCCATATAAAAATCATGTGGATCCGCACTTTGGATCCACATTTCTGCACAGCTGTGCAAATCTATACACCAGAGGACCCACGATATTTACATTGTAGTCTGAAGGGAGAGATTGTATCTATGATTTGAGGGTTGTTTGACAAGGATCATATGAAGTCGTGACGATCCGTTTTTTATTTCATGGATCTGCCTTTTATTTTCTTCCTATTACTTTCTTCCAACTAAAAAATTAAAGAAAAAGGGGTGGAATCTGCTCGGAAGTCTGAAAAAATAAGTTGTTTGTGTTCATTAGGAGCTGATCATTTTGCATATCCCCGGAGAACACTTTCCTAGGCCGGATTTCTTGATGTCTTGGAAATTTTAAAAGATCCTGTCGCTTTAAAGGATGGGTGGAGGACGCTTATCGGCTTCCCTTCCGCATTCGCTCCGAGAAAGGAAGCGGATGTGTAATTGCAAGAAGCAGAAGTCAGCGCGCATGCTCATGCTTGACCGGCGTGCTGTGAGGTGAGAGTAGTAGATGTAATGAAATGGCGTTCCGGATAGAAACAAAAGGCGGTGGGGAGAGGGAGAGTTTCCTCGCTGGTATGGGCGTCTCTTGGTGTAATTTTGTGACTTGCTGAATACTTTATGTAGTCCTTAATGATAATTTTTAGTTGTCCTGGCTTAAATGCTGTTTTTTTTTAAAATGGAAAAGCGGAATAAAATGGCAATGAATACACGTATGTCCACATGAATTGCAATGTGGTGTCTGTGGATTTTTAAGTTTAAGCTTGTAAACCTAGTAGCGATTCCATGAATGGGGCGATAGATAGATAGATAGATAGATAGATAGATAGATAGATAGATAGATAGATAGATAGATAGATAGATAGATAGATGCAGATCGACGGGTGCTCCCTCGTGCATCAGACGAGACATCGCATCCTGCAAGACCTCTCCTTTGAGGCACAAGAGACAAGTAGCATATTCTGGTCTTGCTGGGTCTGTCTGTGTTGGTTTGATGTTACGGGGCAACTTAAAAAAGTTACACATTCAAAGAAGACTATTAGACCATAGAACAGATTGCACATTTTAGCCCTATTTAATAGTTCTTGCAGTAAGAGTAACTATTGGTTTCTCTGTTGTTCTGTGTGCAGTTTGTTTACAAGGAGCAAAGGTGTGACTCCTGGTTTAAATAAGATGGCACTACTGCAGGACGTAATGAATTTCACAATGGCTCCTTCCTGCAGTCTTCTCTGACTTGCTCAGAGCTCTCAAATCTACCTGCAGTGCAGATGGAGATACAGGAGGAAAAATTCAGGGAAGTCCCACCGTCCTTGCAGTTTAGCACCTGGACATGTCTTAATTGCCTCCTGACATGGGCTGAGGATTGGGTCTGATTTTGGAAGTCCATACTCAAAACATGAACTTATTTTATTTAGAAATCTCTTTATACTTCTTCCAAAAAGCAGTTATAAAGTAAAATCTTAAAATAATGGAGTTATTTAGGAGAGGCTTTGAAACAACCATATCATTAGAATGCACTGTATGAAAGATAGGACTATGTACAAATAATAGTAATTTGCAACAAACACTGTCAGGTTGTTGTAGGTTTTTCAGGCTATTTGGCCGTGTTCTGGAGGTTTTTCCTGCTAATGTTTCACCAGTCTCTGTGGTCGTCATCTTCACAGGACAAGAGTTAGACCTCTGTCTGTGTGAGGAAGAAAAACCTCCAGAACATGGCTAAACAGTCCAAAAAACCTACAACAACCATCAGATCCCGGCCGTGAAAGCCTTCGAGAAACACAGTCATATATATGTCATTTTTATATTCTCATGAACTGGGGTTCTTTTGAAGCTTGTAACCTTTCCACCCCACTTTCCTGTTTTGAAGATTTTATATAACTGTTGGTTTTCTCTCTCTGACTTTAGCTTACTTTTCCATTTTCCCCTAAAGGTAAAACATTGCATTTACTGCCTCTGCTTTTAGCAATATTAATTAGTGTTTTTTTATTATCTTCTAGAACCCACCGAAGTCACAGATGGACAGAGGGCAGTAATATGATTTAAAGTTTCCCAGTCAATCCAAGTCTAAGGATGACAACAGCTGAGCACTTACCCCAATTCCTTATTGGGGCAGCTCGGCATCATCTTAGCATGGGAAAGAAAAAGGCCTTATCCCCTTTGGCTTCCTTGAACCTGGCTGGAGAGGTCCTAGCTGTAGCTGCTGGCTTGAAACCAGCTTTCCTGTATGACTACAATTCTGCTGGGGTTTCTCAGATCCTGAGCTATGTTCAACAGCTTGAGACCATTAGTCACTTTGCCCACCGACTGCATGTTCTGAGCATAGCTGAAAATGCTCTCATTATTAATTTGGAAATAATGCCACTGTTGCTGGAGACAGCTCTGATGAGGAACAGCATACCTTTCATTGATGTTTCTGCTTCTAGAACATTCCCAACCCTGTGTAACACAGAAGATGTGACTGTCATAAAAGGCCATCTTTCTCAGATACTGATGCATATTAAAGCCATGGCAGCAGACACATCCAAGATGCTTTCATCCAGTGCTATATTTTCTGATGAATGGAATCTGTGCACGGTCTTTGGTGTTTTGCTAGGCTATCCTGCAGCCTATAGTTTTCCTGCTCAGAAGAGCTTTGACAACTGTCTTTCTTTAACCCCACTAAGGGTGTTCACTATCGAGGCCGCATTCTGTCAGATAAGCAGTGATTTCAGAGTCCGGTTTTACTCTTTCAGTATTCCAGAAATTTTGTATTCTGCCTTGAAAAATTGCCTTAACTTTTGGTGTGAAAAGCTGAAAGATTCTTTTAAAACTCAGAAATGCTTCACAAATCTGAGTATAGCAATGGAAGTTGTAACTTTGGCAGCAGTGGCCTTGTAAACTTGGCCCTTGATATGGAGGCATTTGCCTGTTTTTACTCACTATAGCCCCATACTGAACTTTTTAAAAATATGTGAGAAGTGTGACTAAAAACTGTTGAAAGTAATTCACAATTTTTTCTTTTAATGAACTTTGGGCAATCTATTCATCTCCAAATTGTTAAGGAGCCTAAACCCAGACTAGGTGTTCTGGATATGGCAACAATTTTAAGTCCATTCTGTGTTCATTTTTTTCTAAACAAGAACAACCCAGGCGGAACGAATCTAGTTGGTTTAATCAATCAAGAAGAGCACTCATCCTGGCTCCTAGGTGGTCAAGCAGTACGTTAGTGGACTCGTGTATTTAAGACTTCGAAAGCAGTCACACTGAGAGTTATATTAACTGATACAGAATCTGTGAATATGTCAGATAGACATACTAGGTTCTTTAATACCTGCTTTAATAATGAAAAAGTGACAAAGAAATTATGCAACAAAGTCAAGTAAAAAAATTCCTTTTGTGGAATGTGCAGTACAAAATTAAAAAATATGTTCAGTACAAAAATAATCATTTTCTGTAAACAATAGTAGTATATCATAATCTAAAGTCCACAGAAAACCCATTCAAGGTGTAAAGTTGATTAGGTAAGATACGATAGCTGTTGCCATGACTGCCATTAGGAGAGGAATCCACTGATCATGATGTCTTTGAAAGAGGGATGTACCCTGATGAGATAATAAACAAATGGTTAAATATATTCATATGTTTTATAGCCTTTAATAATTATTTCTTTGTTCACATAGTTACTGCTAAATATTCTATGTTTTTATTTTTAATTGTATTGCAAATACAATTAAGGCTTCTTCAACTTTCAAGAATTAATGTACCTGAAAAATGATTTGAGAAGACAGTTTTCCCCCACCCAAAAATACTAATAAAAAAAGAGAAAGATAGTATCTTACTGGTTTTATGCCACACTAGATGAATTTGAATTTAATAACAAAATCTGTTTCACCTAGACTTGGGGTGATATATGAATATCCCCGCACAGGTGGACATAACGAGGGTGACTGTCCACTCACCTTCCACTGCTGCTACCGGCTCTGTACTATTGCTCTGGAGCTCGCAGTCAGCTAGCCGGCTCTGCACTTCCTTCTTATTGCTCTGGAGCTTGCAGTCAGCTAGCCACTCCTGGCAGGAGGCGGGACAAGCCTCACTGCCAGGTCGAAGAGTGACTCTCCAACCACGCGGGCAGAGTGGAAGGTGAGTAGACAGTCACCCTCGTTCTGTCCACCTGTACGAGGGTATTCAAATACAAATACCCCCATCTCTAGTTTTAACCCACTGGGGATTAGTGAAGCGATTGCCTTCTAATCTGGGTAACTGCTCTGTGGAGTCTCAAGGTGTCTGTTCTGTACAAAATCCAAAGTACGCACTTATCTTTGTACACCACTGAGATGTGTTTCTGTAAGGGATGATGTCTGAAATCTCTGTCTCCCGATACGCATTATTCTGAACCACTTGAGCACACTGGTATAGTGAGCCTGAAGGAGTTTCCAGTCTCTCTATTTCTTTGCCATTCAAGAGGGCTCCAGTAGCATTCCTTTCATAGTCTGTTTTGAAGGTTTAAAAGGCTTGGTTCTGCAAAAATGAACCTGCATTTTCACAGTTGGGGCATGGGTTGAAAACAGATTTGTGCATTTTTTTGCATACTGCTGCTTGTGTTCACTCTATGTGCAAGGAGGAGAAGGTGTTAGCCCTGCCCTCTTCCACCATCACTTCCTTTATCCTCTCCATATAGAGGATGATAGGGTATGAAGCAGAGCCTCTCTGCTTTCTGGAAGTCATTATGTGTTTTTAGAATCCATTGTAAAATCTTCAAGTTTAAACTAGCATCAAGTGATTTATTTCAACAAATTTGGTTGAAAGAATTCGTAAATCAATACATTCAACTTCCAGACCTAGCATCAAGACCTGCATAAAGAGAAAAGGTCTAGCAAGAAGTGTTTAAAATTCTGGATGATACATATTCCAGGGTTTCTACTGAACTATAATGTTATTTCCGGGTATCCACATCTTTGATATGTAAATGCACAGATTTACCAAGGCTAATGAAAAAGCCCTACAGTGCTGTGCTACCTTGCAGCTTTCTGTGCCACACAGTACTTGGTCCAGAGAGGTTTCCAGGGTACATCAACCCAACCCGCCCCACCTCAGGACTATTGACAACAACAGTTGCAATCACTGAGCAACTGTAGTAGATCTTGGATTGCATCAACAGTGTTGGGCAACACAAAATTAAGTTTGAAAGAAAACCATTCCTACTTGGGCCTCTTTGTTCTGAGAGTTCTTCAACTCATCTCTGCACTGCCGTAATTTGGTGAGGCAACTGCGATACTCATCACTCAGTACTTCTAGTTCATGATGTAGATCTGTGCACTAAGGAAGGACGGAAGTGGATGTTTAGAATAGTAGCTTTGCGGTATGTGGTTGTTACTATCTTCCTATAATAAGTTCGAAGGCAGCAGTTTCCAAATTGGTTTAGTTCAGAAGTATGTGAAACATCTCTGTTTTAAAAACATGCAAGTTGGAGAATGTATTGTCCTCACCTTAGTCCCCTGTCTTGTCTTATGGTATAGTTTAGATGCCCTCAGATTATTTCTAGAGTAGAGATTGGCAACTACTGAAAGTCCAAGACCATTTTTCCACTCCCTCAGACATTGAAAGGATGCACATTTATTGTAATAGCTTTCATTTGATTATTATTTTTGCTAAGGCCAGTGCACACAAACTCAAGTCGTGAAAACACAGAAGTCAGCTTTTCCCAGCTAGTGCCATCTGAACTACACCTCCCATAGTTCTGTGGTGAGCTAGTCTGTGGATTATGTGAATTAGTTTTAACTCAGCCAGACAGCATCAGGTTGGGAAAGGCTTTACTCAGGTCACTTGAAAATCCTGTATTGTGCTGCTGACTCAGGTACCTGTATTGTGGAATGTTAAAATGTTATTGCATGCTGCAACAAAGCATTTTTCCAAGCAATTAGGATTTCAAGATCAGAGCTTAACACTGTGAGGTTGTGCCAGTTTGTGGGTCAACCAGGATATATAAATTAGAGGAAATCTGTTTTTGGCCCTCCTCACATTATACGTCTTTATCAGAGCACACTGATCAAACCAGAAACCAAGATTAAAGAAGGGTTTTTTCTGGACTACAGCTCCCATAATTCTCTAGGCAGCAGGGGCAGGGGCTATGCTAGCTGTGGGATTCTGGGAATTATAGCCCCCTCCCCAGGGAACTTTGGACACAAATCATTTAAAGGACCTCAGATCAATGTTTTGTGAATTGTAATGACAAAACAGCAAAGTGGAGATGGAAATAAGCATGGATGATTCATCTGTCCCTTTCAAAAAGAAATCTGTTGTTCAATAAATTCAGCAGGGGCAGGGGCTAAACTAGCTGTGGGATTCTGGGAATTATAGCCCCCTCCCCAGGGAACTTTGGACACAAATCATTTAAAGGACCTCAGATCAATGTTTTGTGAATTGTAATGACAAAACAGCAAAGTGGAGATGGAAATAAGCATGGATGATTCATCTGTCCCTTTCAAAAAGAAATCTGTTGTTCAATAAATTCTACAAGTCGGTTTGGCTAGAAAAGTCTGAGAATAGTCAGCAGAGAGCTAAGTGATAAGGGAAGAGAAAGTGCTCACTTATTTATTTAATTTGTTTATTACAGTACTTTAATTTGTGTACTGTCCCATTAGTGCTGAAGCGCTATTCTGGGCGCTATGCAAAAGATTAAACGAAAACTCCACAAACAATAAACTACAGTATAACACAACTAGGAGTAATGTAACAAAAGTATAGAAACCAGTGGCACTAGATAAATTATCCCAGAGAAGCAGAACAGGTGGCGAGATGCTCAACTGGGGTTGAAATGAAAAGCCTCCCTGAAAAGTAGTGTTTTTCAGCTGTCTCCTTAAAAGAATACAGGGAAGGGGCCAGACATAGCAATCCAGGGAGTTGATTCCGTAGCCTTGGTCCAACTGCAGATAAGGCCCTACCTCTAGGTATGGGCGGAGTTGGATGATAAACCTAAGCTGGTTAAAACCTGATCTGGGAATCCCAAGAAAGATCTGGATCAAGAAGAGCACCCAGATTATGAATCTGATTCCTAAACAGGAGGGCAATACCACCCAGTCTAGGGATAATCCCCTGCAAACATTCGGCGGAACAAAATTTCCATTTGTTTGGTTTCAGTCTGAGCCTGTCCACCCTGGTCCATTCCAGTACGGAAGTCAGGCATCTCTCAAGCATCTCGGCGGTCTCCACGGCAGAGGTGGTAAAGGGGAGGTAGAGGTGCATGTCATCAGCATACTGATGACACCTTACTCTGAATCTCCTGATGACCTTTCCCAATGGCTTCACATAGATGTTAAATAGCATTGGGGATATTGATGACCCTTGAGACACCCCATGATTATGGGTACAAGGAGCTTATCTTCCACACTTTTTTGCAGCTGTTAAGGTCTGAAACCTTGCGTGTCCAAGTATGTTACAATGATCATGGGGGATGTACATAAAATTGCTCTAAAATTAAAGTACTTTTAAACTTGCAGCTTGAAAAAAAAATAGGCAAAACAATCAGCCAATTGCAGAAAAGCAAGGTTACCAATGTACAAACATTTCAGACAGCTAATTGTTGTTTTCATTATACTAAATGATGTTTTGGAGAAAATAATTCCATTCAAACCAATGTGAAAGTAAAACTATGATGTAATTATGAACATGGTATTTGTAATTCAATAATGCCATATTTTGGAAAATGAAAAAAAAAATGAACTGTAGGTTTTCCTAGTTTAAAAATTCCCATTTAGGATTTTCCACAGTAGTGGAAAATAGTCATAACATAAATCAGTGGTTCCCAACCCTTGATAACCACATTTTCTTGGACTACAACTCCCAGAAACCCCAGACAATACAGCTAGTGGTGAAAGCTTGTGGGAGTTGCAGAGGTCCTGGGAGTTCCTGGGTTAATGAGGTTGGGAACCACCGAAATAAATATGTAACAGTTCAGTTTCTAACCCAGGAAAATGAATAGAGGTAAAGTCAATTTGATTTTAAATTACTATTGCACACCCAGAAACCCCTGGATGAGGAAAACCTCAGATAAAGAATAAAAATTATTTACAGTTCTTCAAGGACAAATAAAAATATATATACAAGTATGGCCAGTTAATGAGTGAAAATGATGCCTGGGAAACATTAGAGGGGAGAAACTCTACTGGGGAGGGTAAAGATTTTTATTGATGAGATTGTATGGCTTGCTTATGTTTTAGATGGAAGTTTTAAAATACATTTTGTTAAAGTACGGTAGATTTGGTTTAGACATTTTTACAGATGAGACTTAAGAGAATAAGCATTTATCTCTGAAGAAACTGTACTACAGCAAGATGTTTTGTGCTGTCATGTGGTTTTGACTTAACAGTGACTAACAGGGTTTTTGAAGTACTGTATGTGAAATGTTCAAGGAAAGGTATACCATTTCCCTACTCCAGTAAATTTCCATGGCTGAGTAAGGATTTGGTGATTTGCTCTCACACTCTACTACATTACACTGGTTCTCATTGCAGGAGGAAGAATGAATTAATTGGAGGGAGTATGCATTTCTTTTAATGTTTAGTTTGACCCATAATGTCATCAAAAATCACAGCAAAGCTTCCTGTTGTAAAGTGTACTTTGGCAATACAGGCTTTGCTTATCAAGCCATTGGTTTGCAAGTAAGCTCCCTTGAAGTTGTTTGGATCTGGGCCAAATTTTTGTGTTCTGTTTCCGAGCAGCGCAATCGCTTGAAATCAAGCTCCTTCTTTTGATGCATGCCAAAAACTGTACAGTATGCTGAACACTGATGGAGTGTGTGTGTTTGTCTAAAGATTTGGATCAAGACAAGAGACGAAGAGGTTCTAGTATAACATCCACCTCCTACGTTGGTCCCCAGACAGGTCATTGTTTGTGCCCCAGCTGTGCAACAACAGGGATCCTGTCATCCCGAACGTGATGTGCAGATGCCATCAACTTGGAAGCACTGGGTGAAGGTTGGCTTTTCAGATTCATAACAAAGCTTGAAAGCATTACCTTTTTGAACTACAGTTCCACAAATCCCCCAGCCGCTCTGGTCATCGTGCTGTTTTAAAATTTTGTGGGTTTTTTGTTTTTGTTTTTAAAATTAAACCTCTGGTTTATTATCAGGTAGACTTGACATCTGCCTGAAGTGATGCACTTGTTACCTGGCAGAATAGCTGTCTGGAGGTTTTTTTTTAAAATATCTGCACTGGAGGGACATTTGAAAATAGCAATTAATCTCTTAATGAGATCTTTTAATCATATGAACACTTGAGTCACTGCCTCACCTCTTTCTCTTTAGCTGCCAATAGGATTGTCCTCTTTTGCAGTTGATCCTCCAGGCTGCTCTCTGTCCCCATCTTGTGATTCTCTGACTTCTGTTTTGGTTCAGCTGAGCTGAAGACTTGGCTTGGTGGTGCGATGCCCTGCTCTACAAAAACAGCCAGACTTTTGTTAGACCCCACTTTTTTCCTTTTAGTATTATTAGCACTTTGTACAACAACAGTCCTGCCTAGGGACTGCATTAATAAAAATCTTTTCCGCCTGGGAGCAACGTACTGTATTTGTCTGTAAGGAAGCTGTTTTTCTCCAAGTCATGATGACAGGTAGCCGAGAGAGGGCATGTCTATTTCAATCGGAAGGGTCAAATTCTGTGCCACTGTTTTAAAAGTTCAACATTCTAAGTGTTAAGAAAATCCAGATAATTTGACTAAAAATTCCAAAAATGTGGTTCTTTGTGCCATCATTTCCAAAAGATCTGTTAAGAAGTTATTAAGATCAGCAGTTTTACTACTGGGAAAATTTCCCATGTGTATAGCTGTGTTTTGGTCTAGTAGACATGGTTTTGTTCCTTCCTTTGCCTCTTTAAATGGACAAACATTTTCAAAGACATTGCAGGGCCCTTTCTCTTCCTTTTTCTGGTAATAATTTATAGTGTCTTTGGAAGGACCCTAGCTTTTAGATTTTATGTTTAAGTCCGAAAATCACTTGAGAGCATGTATGAGTGTACAGTACGTGTGCTAGCAGCATGTTCAATAAAAGTGAAGGCAGGGCTGGCCTGTGAGTCTCTATATCCCCTCATATACTGGCTGAAATCCTGTAGCTTAGTTAAACTAAAGGCATACACTGTTAGAGGTGACTTGCCGTAAGTTAAGACATGTTCATAAACATCACCTGTTCCACATCACATTGTGCAACTCAATGCAACTGAAAAGGTCTACAGAGATTTTCTAACTCACAACAATTTGGTTCTAAGTGTTATATTCCTTCTGTGTAACTGCAACAAAATCTGGCCATTGTTTGGGTCAATCATATATCAGTGTTTGATTCAGGTAACCAGACTTCGAAAACATTATATTTTATTCTTCGGAATATAGTCCCAAGTATCCCTGCATGTCCTTAAGCCATGCTAGCTAGGAGATTCTGAAAATTGTAGACCAAAAGCAGTAATGTTTCCAAGCTGGTTTTAAATCATGTTTTTAAATTCAAACAGCCAATCCTGTGCTAACCATATTCAAAGCTGCTGAGTGCAATCTTATGAATAGCTGGTCAAAAGTAATTTATTTTTTCACAGTGCTTTTAGGGATCAGATTAGAAGTGCTTCATGTTAAACCTTCCTCTGATTTTTGATTAATATTGAGTCACTAAGATCTCAGACCTTTACTTCTAAGAAGTGTGGACAGCTGTGTCCTCGGATGGCTTGTTATCATTAGAATATGCCATGACAGAGTAACATTCCTTTGAACTACTTGGGAATGGCCATAGGTGTCCCAGCATCAATTTAACTTAATGTTGTTCCCTAAAACACTGTGAAAATTGGTGGTATGGTGGTAGGATTCAGCAGGTTCGCACCAGTTCTACAGAACCGGTAGCTAATGTATTATTGGTTCTGCAGAACCGTTTGTTGGCCTGTTGAATCCCACCACTGGGCTAATTCACACAAAACTCTTAACACTATAGTATGGAACGGCAGAAGGTAGATCAGGATTTACATGAGTAATTTGTAGTAGATTACAAAGCATTTGTGACTCCCAAATGTTTAAGACGAACAACAGATTCCCCTGCCCCCACAATATCTAGTTAAGATTGCTTTGGTGGGATAGTGGTTAGTGATTTTGGTTCAGGTACTGAAAAAATGTCCTGATCTGAGAATATGTTCAGAGTCATTCTTGTTTCTTAATTCTGACAGTATATGCTGCCCCTAACAAGAGTTTAGAAAGTTATTTTAAAGCTAGATGATAGTGATAGATGATAAAGATAAATATGATAGTGATAGATGATAAAGATAGATGATAGGTTTTCAGAGCATCATCTCACTGTCCATTTCTCAGCTACATACAGCTTCACCAGTATATTTATTTTCCTAGAAATTAATGTTCCACATTCTGCTCCTGAGTCACTATGTTGCACTTGCTTTAATTGGTAAATGTTGGGGTTCCAGTAAAACACAAAGTAGATCCCTTAAGACAGACCTGGGTAAAGTGCAGCCCGAGGGCCACATATGGCCCGCGAGCCGCTCCTTGTTCAAGCCCAAGACAGACTGGATTTCTCTCACTGAACGAGTTGAACATCAAAACCATTTACTGTGTAGCTTTTTGTCTAATGTTGATCAATTGCTTATCTTTAACATACCGCAAAAAAAACCCTCTTTAGTATTTGTGAAAATTAAAAAGTTTAAAATAAAAACAATAATAACATCACTGTTTCATTTTATTTTTAAGTGAAGTTGGTTTGGCTCCCGAACACAGTTCAGATTTTTCATGTGGCCCCCCTATAGAAATTAATTGCCTACCCTTGCCTTAAGATGAAGCATGCCTATGTCTGGCACACAATATAGATATATTAGTGAATAAAGAACTTCCATCCTTCCATTTTGCTAGCTGGGATTGCCGTACCTTTGAACTTGCCAGTTCACTGGACATAATAACATGGACAAGACGTAAGGCTGTGTGTCTACACTACACAGTTATAGCAGTTTGATTCCAATTTAACTGCTATGACTAAATTCTGTGTTTTTTGGGGGGATTCGTAGTCCAGTTGAGGTACTGAGATCTCTGCCAGAGAACTGTATGGAACGCCACTGAAATACAGCAGAGAACTCTTAAGTACCTCACTAAAGTACATGCCCCAGGATTCTCCAGACTGGAGCCATGACAATAAGAGTGTATAGTCAAGTGCACACAGCCCAAGTGTACCCCCAGGGATCCCTCCCTTCTCTGATTTTGAGATGTAACAATCATGAGGATTTAGCCTCAACATGGTGGATGATATATGGTGACATGTTAGTTTCAGCCTCATTCCTACATGAATCATAAGGTCAGAGTGCAATTTTAAAGTGTTTGTGTCAGTTTCGCTGCATGTTATATACGGTAATACTTTGGGAAAGCAGAAGTGCCTTTACTCATACATCCTAGTACATTAGTATGGACCCCTGTGAGATAGTTTTTCATTGTTACTTTCTAGCATTTAAAACCAGTAAAATCATTAAACTGGATATAGCTTTGAGGGGGGAAATCATTTATTGTTTGAGCAATTTAGTCTGATGCATATAGCTTCACAACCACAGAGTCCGCAATTTCTAACATTTTGGGATATATGTCTTTCACTTACTTGTAGAAGAGTGAATTCACACACACCCCATACACTATAAATGTACACAAATAAATATTACAGAGTTGGTTGCTGCTTATGGCTTTACGTGGGAACACATGTCAGATTGATTGTTCATCCAGGCCTATCTAGTATAGAGTGGTCTTTAGGGTACCAATTACAAAATCCCAAATGGCTGGAAGTCTTGCTACCAGTTTAGGTGACCTGTCCTTTGCATCTCATCTCGCTGAACCATAAACTCCCTGGACTGATTGTGCATCTCATCTGTAAATGGAACAAACCACAGGAGATCATAACCCAAAGCATTTGCAGGCCCCAGTCCCTGCCTCCACCTTTCTTCTTTGTCCACCAATATATTTGGTTCTTCGTGTACAATTCAAACAGTTGTGGAAATGATTTCTCCACCATTTATATCTGCTGTATCCTCCTGCAACCAAATGGATCATCTTTATAAGAATTTCTCTCATATTAGTTGGGGAAAATGAAGAAATTAGATCATTGAACAAAACCATGCCCTTCCCTCAGAGATTCTTATTAACTAGATTGATGACACAACTGGTGTATATTTGGTTGTAGCCCAGAAGTACATTCCTTAAACATCTCATCCTGCTAGAATACTTGTACCTAACGTGGCTCACCACACCTGAGAAAGGGGACCTCTTGCAGTGAAAGATAAGATTACCTCAGAAGGAATAGTTATTTTTTTTAATGCCCATGTAACCAGAGAGCTCAGACAAAATGTACTTCTTTTCTCTTTAGTAATGCAGAACAGCAATGTGTGTAAGTTTACAAGTTATGTCTGGGAATCACTGGCTTTTATACACAGTGTGAGGAGACTGTGTGGCCTGTGAGGCCTTCATCCCACTCTGGCAAGAAAACTGTTCTTAAAAAGGTGTTTATCCTAAAAAAAACCAACAAGTTGTGTGACCACCATACTTTCTTTGGGCTGAAAATAACATCTTTTGACAACTAACTTGCATTTTTTTATTTCATCTGGTTGGCCCATGGCAGCTCAAAGTGAGTGGGACATGGGCTGTTCACAGTTGCCCACTTCTGCTGCACACAATGTTGTATTCCTGCACAGATACAAATGTGGTGTCCTTTCTTCTTTTTTCCCTTTCTTTTCTTTATCCCTTTCAATTCTGTCAGCTTTCACACAGTAAAACCCAATGTGCCAGTTTGCAAACATTGTTGAAATGCAGAGTGTTGTATACATAGGGAGGACATGCCTACATGGATGTGATACCTGTATGTGATGCAGCTTGAATATCATAAGAATAGCCCTGATGGATTAGGCCAAGGGCCCATCTAGTTCAGCTTTCTGTATCCCACAGTGACCCCACCAGATGCCTCTGGGAGCACACGAGACAACTAGATACCTATTTCCTGGTAGCCCTCCCCTCCACGTGGCATTTTGAAGTACCTTCCTTTTAAGTCTGGAGATTATACAGCCCCGTCATGACTTGCAACCTGTGATGGACTTTTCCTCCACCAATCCCCTTTTAAAGGCATCTAGGCCAGATGACATCACCACATCCTGTGGCAAGGAGTTCCACAGACTAAGAACACGCTGAGTAAAGAAATATTTTCTTTTGTCTGTTCTGATTCTCCCAACACTCAGTTTGAGTGGTTGTCCCCTGGTTCTGGTATTGCGTGAGAGGAAAAAGAGCTTCCTTTTATCCACTTTATCCATCCCCTGCATAATGTTATACATCTCAGTCAGGTTCCCCCTCATGCACCTTTTCTCTATCCTAAAGAGCTCCAAACTCTATAGCCTTTGCCCATAAGGGAGGTGCCCCTGCTCAGTCATCATTTTAGTCGCTCTCTTCTGCAACCACACTGGATTGACGCTTTCATCAAGCTGTCCACCAGCACACCAAGATCTCTTTCCTGATCCATCATAGACAGCTCAGAACTCATCAGCTGATAAATAATGTTTTGAATGTTTTGACCCAATGTGCATTAATTTACATTTTCTTATATTGGAACACATTTGCCATTTTGCCGCCCATTCTCCCAGTTTGGAGAGATCCTCCTGGAACTCTTCACAATCCCTTCTGGTCTTCCCCACCCGGAAAAGTTTTGTGTCATCTGCAAACTCGGCCATCTCACTGCTTATCCTTGAACCAGTGTCATGTGTCAATAGGTATTCACATATCAAACATAATATAGGATTACTTAATATAATTAGAAAAGAAAGACCATATTCAAGAAGACAGCTAGTGATTCCTCCATATCCCCTTCCATATGTGACCATGGCAGAGAACAATTATTATAAACATAGGCGTGTGCAGTAATTTCTCTATTTACAGTTTCACAGAAACCAAATTGTTTATTGCATCTTGAAGGTTTTAAAATCAAAGTACTGCATCATGAAGAAAATTCTGTCAGGACTGCTTGTCACCTTCCATGGAACTTGACCAGTTTTTTTTAAAATTCACTGAGCTCTACTTACTGTACAAACGTTTAATTGTTGCATCCAGTGCCAGCTTCTCTCTTTCTTCATTTTTCAGCTTGCCTGCAATTAACAATTTTACAGGAACAATAAATGAAACTATGTTTCTTTTCCCTCCAGGTCATCACTGAGCATTGACAAGTGGGAGCTGCATTTGAGTTGTGTGATTCAAGTCCCATCTTTAGCCTATTAAACTCAAGTGGATAATACAGTATTGTGGTTTGCGCATGGAAGTTGAATAATATATGTGATTACTGGTATTTTTCTCAGTGATCATCACAGATTTTCGGGGAAAGAGATTAATATGTTACTAAGTTGGTCAGAGCTCTCCAACACCTGACAGTGTAAAGGTTGGGGGGGGCACGTTTTAGCCTTCTTAAGGCAGGCTTCCTGTTATTCAAAGAGGGCACTAGAGCATAAGATATAAGTGTTCCAAGAGATATATGGTATCAACCTCCGTGTTAGTAAACCACCACAAAATGCACACAGGAAATCACTTGCCTGAAATTTTGAACCTCCATCCGTACAAGTGGAAACCTTGCATATTAGCGATACAAGCCTCAATGGATTATAACTATTTCATGGACAAGATGAGTTTGAATCAGTGGTACCTTTCAATCCAGCAGCCTTTACTGTTCACTGCTGTAGCTGCAAATAGGCTGTGTCCCAAACTTTCCAACCAACACTTGAAATCAGCTCTTGGGGATGAAGATACAAATATTGGTCCTGCTGTTTTGTCTGTTGTTGAGACAGCCTGGTTCGCTCCTTTTGCCCGTGATCAGATAATGCATGTGCCAGTGTCAGCCAGCCCATCCCCAAAGCCTTCTTACTTGTATTTTTCTGGGTCCCTATCAGGAGCTTTTGTTTTTAGGTGTGGGTAGGATTGCTCCATTTTGGTTCATTTCCAGCACGTTCAATTGCTGGGATTGAACCAATGTGCCTGCTTTAAAATTTCCCTTCCTCATTCAGTTTCCCAATATTGTTCAGTGGCTTAAGAAGACAGCATAGCTATTTCATGATGTTGGGAAATTAAAAACTTCCTCTGCTCCTCTGCTGAAAGGCAGGGAAAGGTAGCAATTAAAAAAAAAGCTATTAGAGCAGCACTGTGGTGCTGTACCTTTTAGGGGGAAAAACTGAAAGCTTCCTCCCAGAAGAAGAAGGAGACAGGAGAGGAGCTAGGAGGAGGATTTTTTGTTTGTTTTCTTTAAGGACGTGGGCCAAATAGGGCTGCTTGAGCAGCATATGCAATGTGGAAAACAAAGATTTCACCAAATGGCATACCAGAACTCTACCTAAACTTGTGACCCAATTTAGCCCACTCTAGCTCACTCCAGAAAAGCTGCCTAGCCAAGCCCTTCGTCACTACAGAATAATTCATCAATACCTAATAACAGGAATCATACTGGCAACAGCAGGCTAGTTCTAAGTTTGTCTGCTTTTTCTTCAGATTTTACCATATTCTCCTTTGCCTGAGCTCTAGATATTGCCACAATTCAGCTTCCTGCTTTTTTTTCAAACATCTTACCTTCCATGGCACTAAGACATTCCATGGTAACCCTGTGGTCGTCTTGTAGGTTATCAATCCTTGAATAGAGACTGGCACGTTCGCCCTCCAAATTCTGCAGGGCTTGGTGCAGCTGAGAATTCTGGGTGTCTGACCACTGCAGGGAGAAATCAGCCATATAAATCATCTGCCAAAATCACTGGTCTCTGTGGCTTCTTAAAAATTAGCTTTGGTCATTGTGTATCATTAGAGAAAGAGTTAAGCCACCAGTGGCTTTAGTATTCATCTTATTAGCAGAGGCAAGGCAACATGCCTCTGCCATAAATGACTGCTGGTTGAAGAGTGTTTTATTCTCCACTATGATTTGTGAAAGAAAAGTCGGTGAAGCCTTGAGCAAGCTGCGTGGACTGAGAGCACCACCAGAAGGAAAAACTGATAAATGACTTCTGAATATATCTAGAAAATCCTGGTCAGCGTTGCCATAGCTGAGTAGCATTCCACCTAAAAATGGTACAATTTATCTCTGGAAGGCAACAATTCTTTTTGGATTTTTAGATTTATAAAGATTTTCTATCCAATTTTTTAAAAAATCAAAGCACCTAAAATGCTTTTCGCATTTTATTTCCAAAAGCCCAGCTACTGAAATTAAATCTGAGACATTTGAATCTAAATACAGGGTTTGTGGATTCAATCCAATTCTTAGTTCCAACAAGAGCAGATTCACTGGATCAATTGAATTTGTATACAACTTAACATAACAGTGTCTTCATTCGATAGGTTCACTCCGGTTCAGATTAAAAATAGCTTTCTCCTTCAATTCTTGAGAAAGTTTAGCATTTTGATAAAAATGTTTCTGATTTAATTTCAGCAACTGGGCTTTTGGAAACAAATTCCTTGTTGATTGTGTAACTTATTTTCTAATAAAAAAAAATAAGGAAAGTACAGTAATAGAGAACAAAGAGAAAATAAAAATTACCTCAAGTTTGTTTTCCAGTACATGAAGTTTGTTTTCTAGTTCAATGTGCTTTTCAGTTAACAGACTCCAGTCTTTTTTTAATGTGTTGTAGTGTTCTTTCCAGAGGGTACAGTCTTCCTCTGTAACAGCGAGAGATCTCTAAGAGGAGAAATAAGTGTCTGAGAAATATGTCCTTGCCAGAATTAACAAACATGCACTGTAGACTTTGGGTCAGAACACATATTAAGGCAAATACATGTTTTCTCTCCAGGCATACAAATCCTTCACACACACACAGACACACAGGCACAGACACAGACACACACACACACACACACATAGCCATGATCTGTCCAAACAGGCTAATTATGAAAAAAAAACCTAGCCTAATTTGCCAAATGTGGATAAAAGCAAGCTTATGTTAGATAATGAAATAGTCTTTTCATCTTAAGGGAATTCTGCTTCTAATGACATGTTAACTGTATTATATAGTTTAGCTCTGTGACCCAATGCTTCACATTTAATGAAAGATTTTAAAAATAGCTCAATAATGGACAATTTAACAAAATTAGATATTTTAGTGTCCTTGATAATAGCCTTAAACATTAGATGTCTGATTTTGACTCACAGGATAAACCATGGAGAAAGGATCAGATGGATTTTAGCTGACTATAGAGAAATCTGTTTTACCCTATGGCCCGATATCTCTTGTAAGACGAGTTCAGCTTTAGGTAGATAGAAGATAGTGTGTTCACTATAATGAGTTTGAAAGGCACAATTTTCACTTTTATGTAATTAATTAAAAAAATTCTATCTACTTGATCATATTTGTCTATTCTTGACTGTCTGTGGAATTCACAGATATGTTGCCTTAGACTGATTTCTAATTAGTTTTGTTTTACCTAGATTTTTGCAACTAAGAAGACCTGGAGACATTTGATACTTTCACACTGCCTTAGTTAGTAGCCAGCTAGGTATCTGGCTATGGAGCCAAAGGCTGAGAATTCAGTTCCACACTGCACCTCCCCAAGAGAAGAGCCACTCTCTGTACCCTGGGGCAAGCTGCATAGTCCCAGGGCACCCTAGAAGAAGGCAATGATAAACCACTTTTGAGTACTCTCTACCTAAAAAACCCTGAAAAGGGCCACCATAAGTCAGAATCAACGTGATGGCACAGAATTATTATTAAAGTCACAATACCTACCGTTAGTGTCAGTACTCCTGTGTCTCTGACAGAGCAACAACTCAGGTTTCTGCTAGAAGGAGAGCTACCCTGTTTCGCCAAGAATAAGACCTAACCTGAAAATAAGCCCTAGTATGACTTTTCAGGATGCTCGTAATATAAGCCCTACCCCAAAAATAAGCCTCAAGTGAAACCCCACCTCCCACCATTGTGCAACCAGATGATAACATGACTGTATTTGAATAAATGTAGATTATGGTAAATGAAAAAAAAATCCCCTGAAAATAAGCCCGAATGCATTTTTGGAGCAAAATTTAATATAAGACCCTGTCTTATTTTCGGGGAAACATAGCATGTCCAAATCAAAAGTTCAAAGACTCTTGCCAACAGACCTTCTTTCACTAGGAAACTGAAATCTTATCCAGTATTTTATGCCCTAACTTTCTAAATACTGCCATCCAGTGGGAAGATGAAGAAACATATAGTTCTAGATGCAAACTACAGTAAATGACAGGTGAAACATGACATTGGATATATGTGTTATTCATTAAAAGAAAACAAATATCACCAGTGGGGGCTCAGATCCAGACTGGTTAAACCTTTTGCCAGACTATGAAGCTCTTCAGATAATTTCACACCCCTAAACATTCCAAAGCAACTTCAACTGCAGGGTAAAAAGCGGCTCAGAGAATGTAGCACAGGACAGGCCTGTTGTTTTCTGCAAGGTGGTGCAGAAAGGAAAGAGATTTATCTTTCCTCTCACTGTGGCTGCTGTTATCACACAGGTAACATTCCCACTACAGCACGGTCAGGAGAAAAATGGTTTTGCTACACTTTGCAAGTGGTGTCTATCCCATTAGCAAAGGGGACATTGCTAAACTAATAATAACTACAGTAAGAATGACTCAGCAGTGGGCCAAGTTGAAAAAACAGCTGCTTGCTGCCTTTGTGTTTCATTGCCCAAAAGATGGAGTGCCCAGATTTCAGAGCAAAATGTAAAATAAATCCATACATCCTCAGGCTGGTGGGTCACTATATGCATGATTGTGGATCACCTGCTCTCTGGGGGGGTTTGTCTGAGAGATGTAGAATGCTGAAAAATTAAATCAGAGAATTAATCCATTCCATTCATTTCTAGCATTAAAAAGGCAAGGTTGTCCCTTGCCAGGGCTTTCCTGTCCTGCATGTAAGACCTGTACGTATGCCTTGTTGGGCTTTGAGGCTGAGTTGTGAACCAGGGACCTCCTGATGTGCAGCCTCTATGAGTTAGTCTCTGTGAGTCAAACTATACATTACAGATAGTCTTTCATTAGAAGAGAGAATCTGTCAAGTGCTGAAACACGGAAGATTTTCACATGTCCTGTAGTTTACAAATTAGCTTGCTTTGCTGTAGAGTTGACCACTGGGAGCTAAACATGGACTTCACTTACAAGTATGATTATTCAGACACAAAGGTTCACAGAATTCATTTCCTTGGAACAACCATGTGACTTCAATTTCCAGTGATGTATTATCTGTAACATGTATTTTAGGATAGCCAATTTATTCCATCTGTTTGATTTTTCTGTGGCAAATTCAGTCCTCACTACAAATATGCTTCTGAGTGGTTTCCAACAGGGTTTTTATGTCTCTCTGAAGAGGCATAAACAACTGGGAACAGGATGGGTTGGGGTAACATGTTCGGTGTAACAAAGCAAGACCTGTGAGCTCTGGCATGTTGCAACCAAATGTAAATACCTTTCTCATCCACTGAATAATGTAGTTCGGATTATGTTTTCAGCAGAGGGAACCAAAATGATATACTTGAGAACTATTATTCAAGCTCTGAAAAGAAGCTTCTCTGATGCTGCTTTGGAGCTTCAGCCCTGCGCCTTACCTAATACATAACAAGATTCCAGTATGTAAGGCCTCACATGAAGCACAGTGTGTAGATTCTGCACAAGAATGTACAGGTTCAAGGCTGAAATTCCATGCCTACCTGGGTATTCTCCAGTTCCCTTTCTGCTTGCAATTTCTCTTCAAGTAGTTTCTGAAGAGATTCTTTCATTTTCTGCTCATAGTTCTGTTTTTGATCTTCCATATCCAGGAGAATCTTCTTCAAGCTCCGCTTTGGGTAATTCTGAAGAAGAAAACAACGAAGACAAAGAGAAGGATTTATGATTTAAAAATGTTATACAGGTGCTGGCCATGGTTTAGTCCCATTGGAATCTCATAAGTCTAAGTCCTACCTATTTCAATTGGGCTAAACCTTGGCTGACTTTGTCTGGATCCAATCCATTTGAAAAGAATAGGATGTGTTAACAAGTGAAAGATCCTGCTAGGGATAGTTTTTTTTGTTGCAAACAATGAACTGAATTCATTTGTAAAAAATGAGTTTCTCCTTGAATCCTATTAATGGAAAATTAAAAGTGGACAGAAAGCCAGTATGATATAGTGGATAGAGTGTCAGGTGAGGACTCAGGAAACGTGCCCATGAAAACTCATGGGGTACAGCTGGTGATAGCAGTGTTAAAGTGCTCGAGTATCCTACATATTTCAAAACCCTATTAGGGCTGTCATAAGTTACAAGTAGCTCATAACACTGTACAGGAGGCAGCAGCTCGTAACACTGTACAGGAGGCATTCCAAAGAAAAGGAAATGCAAGAAAGCAAAGTGGATGTCTAACGAGGCTTTACAAATAGCAAAGAAGAGAAGGGAAACAAAATGCAAGGGAGATAAGGAAAGTTACAGAAAATTGAATGCGGACTTCCAAAGAATAGCAAGGGGAGACAAGAGGGCCTTCTTAAATGAAAAGTGCAAAGATATAGAGGAAAATAATAGAAAGGGAAAAGCCAGAGATCTGTTCAAGAAAATTGGAGATATTAAATGAACATTTTGTGCAAAGATGGACATGATAAAGGACAATATGCCAGCAAGCTTGGAAAACTCAGCAGTGGCCAGAGGATTGGAAAAGATCAGTCTACATCCCAATACCAAAGAAAGGCAGTGCCAAAGAATGCTCCAAGTACCGTACAATTGCACTCATTTCACACGCTATCAAGTTTATGCTGAAAATCCTACAAGGTAGGCTTCAGTAGTATGTGGACCGAGAACTCCCAGAAGTACAAGTTGAATTTCAAAGGGGCAGAGGAACTAGAGACCAATTTGCTAACATGCTCTGGATTATGGAGAAAGCCAGAGAGTTCCAGAAAAACATGTACTTCTGCTTCACTGACTACGCAAAAGCCTTTGACTGTGTGGACCACAGCAAACTATGGCAAGTTCTTAAAGAAATGGGAGTGCCCGACCACCTTATCTATCAGCTGAGAAATCTATATGTCAGAGACTCTTGAGAGTTCCCTGGACTGCAAAAAGAACAAACCTATCAATTTTGAAGAAAATCAACCCTGAGTGCTCACTGGAGGAACAGATCCTGAAGCTGAGGCTCCAATACTTTGGCCATCTCACGAGAAGAGAAGACTCCCTGGAAAAGACCCTGATGTTGGGAAAGTGTGAAGGCAAGAGGAGAAGGGGATGACAGAGAACCAGATGGTTGGACAGTGTCATCGAAGCTACCAGCATGAATTTGACACAACTCCGGGAGGCAGTGGAAGACAGGAGGGACTGGCATGCTCTGGTTCATGGGGTCACGAAGAGTTGGACATGACTTAACGACTAAACAACAACAAAACTGGTCAGTGCTGTATGAGAAATACCACAGCATTTTAGATAGACTTGATTTAGAATCATGTTTACTTTGAAATAAATTAGAGCCAACCACCAGAGCCAAAACACTTCCAAACATCATTTAGTCATTACACCAACTAAAATTGCAAACTAGGTGTAGAAAACATGTTTGTTTTTTGTACTACTTGTGGAAGAAGTATGTGGAAGCCTCCTCATATATTTCACATAAAATAATGCTTATTGCTGCTTCATGCATGTATTTTGGTCAGTGTTTTTCAATATCTAAGCTTTTTTTCAGGCCTCAGTGTACTCAAACATACTGAGCAATACACTGAATTCTTTTCACCCTTGAAATCTCTTTAGTCCATGTTTGTAAACTAATGCACCTTGATGATGTTGACATTGTTCCTTATGGTTGTCCATAAGGAAGTCTAGTAAGCCACATCCAATCTGGAGAACAGAGTAGTCTCAAAAAATTGGAATCAATTGATGTTTTATTTTGATCCAAAGACATTACCTGGGCACATATCTGCAGCTGATTCTCCAAAACACCCAGTCTGCACTTGAGTTTATCTTCATTTAACTGACCCTGAGAGAAAAATCAAGTCAGAAATTTTGGATCATTAAGTTACAAAGATTTATCAATGAAGAAACACAAACAAAAAGGAATAGGGAGGCATGCACTATTTCTCTTTTCCAGCAGATGGGCACAACACATCTGAAATTAAGCATGATCTAATTCTATGGCAATGACAAAGAATAAACAACCTGTCCCAATCTCCACTAAATTCAAAAACATAAGAAACAGTGCCTAATCTCTGGCTACTATGGTCTAAATGAAAACTGGGAAAGTATTTTTTAAAAAGCGGTGTGATTGTTAAACATACAGTTAAAGTAATATTTAATTTGATCCTCAGAACTACAGTGTATGAAAATGTTTATCAAAGAAAAAGAAAAAAATTATATATCAACATATGTTGTTATATAACCCGAAAGACTGTTATATCTCAACATGATCTTTTGTGCATACTGTATATCCACTTCTTCAGACATGAAAATGTTTGGCATTACATCTTTTTCATGAAATCCAAGAGATCCTAGAATTTGTTTGTTTGTTTGTTTGTTTAACTTATATGCCGCCCACACTACCCAAGGGTCTCTGGGCGGCTTGCAACATTTAAAATACAATAAAAGGTCAAAACAATTAAAATGCAATTAAAATGTATACTCTAAAAATTGCCATCGGACCCATAGCTGATATTATTTTAATTAAAAGCCTTCTGGAACAGGAAGGATTTGACCTGGTGCCGAAATGTCGTCAGCGTCGGTGCCAGATGAATCTCAATCGGGATGGCGTTCCATAGTCTGGAATGCCAAAAAGGCCCTTTGTCTACAAGCCATCCCTCTTACCTCCTTAAGGGATGGCTCTTTCAAAAGGGCACCCTGGCTAGACCCCCCTGGCTAGACCTTAACTGCCGGGTAGGCTCATATGAAAGGAGGCAGTCCTTCAGGCATCCAGAGCCCAAGCCGTTTAGGGCTTTATATGTCAAAACAAGCATTTTGAATTGGGCCCGGGCAGCAACTGGTAGCCAGTGTAACTTAAACAGAATCGGCTTGATATGTCCCCTAGCGGCCCCACCACTCAGCAGCCGCGTGCGGGATGTTACCAGTGTGTGTGTAACTGTCATGAGAATTTAGGGATATGTCATTTGCATTTTTGGGATTCCCACTTCCAGAATTCTTCAAGAATTGCCCAGCAGGATCTTGGAAGTTCCAGCCTACATTTCACTCACAGGGCCTAGCTTCAGGGCTAGCTCCTGACTTGCTTCTTGTTGGCAATATTCCATAATGGAAGCTGCTGTGGTGCCTCCTGCCTGGGGTAGTCTTACTGGCTTTTATGTTCTCTAAAGGGTGCTGTGGAGAAGGACCACCACTCCTTGGAAGTACTGCAGCAAATTCCTTTTTTGGAATGAAGATGAAAGAAACGAAGATGAGAGAAATGAAGATGAAAGAAGTGGAGGAAACCTGAAAGGGTTACAGACAGATGACATTATCTGAATGAGGAAGGGCAATTGCCCAATAAAAGTGTCATACTGAAGTACCCAGTATAAGCTTGACTGATGTAAGTTATGAGTAGACACTGAACGCTGGAAAATTGCTGTCGGCTCTAGAGTAGTGTAAAATTTTTCCTCTCCCATCCTCCTTGAGCATTATTAAATAAAAAGTGCAGTTCTTTTTTTTAAACAGGATTTTCAACAATTAATGACTAAATGAAGAAAAAAAAAAAGACCCCAAAATCATAAAAAACAGAAAGCTAGAATAGTTTGGTCCTGTGATAAGAGGTGAAAAGTGCATATTGTTACAGCTGATTGTTCAAGGTAAAATCAATGGGAAAAGACATGCAGGAAGGAGAATACAGTAAATTGTTGCCTGAGGAACCCGAAGACTTGCTTGGGTATAAGTCAATACCATTTTTAGAGCTGCTGCATCTTACTGTTAGTACAGTAGGACCCCCATATCCACAGGATCAATATCTGTTATTTCACTTATCTGTGGTATGAAAATATTTAAAATATTAAAGGAAAGAAACCCTAGAAACATATATTTTCATTGTGTATTTACCAGAATTGATCACTTGATTGCGACAGAAACCATGTTATGTAATATAGTTGTTGAAGAATGCATACCATGGTCTCTGACTCCCTCTAGTGGGCAGTTCTGTTAAGACATGGTGAAAATACTTTTTTTCTGAATTTTTTTCATTTACCATTCTATTATAGTGTTCACTATTATCTGTGGTTTTCAGCATCCATGGAAACAAAGTCTTGGAAACAATTCCCCACAGATAGAGGGTTCATACTGTATCATCAATATAACGTCTAGCCTCTAGCAGAGAGAAGAGGAGAAGAATTCCTAAATCTTGATTTATTTATTTATTTATTGAATTTATATGCCGCCCACTCTACCCAGAGCTTCTGTTAAGTACCCAGAACCTCTGCTAGAGTTACATGCCACCTGTGGTTTTGAAGAGGCTCTTATTTTTCATTTAATTAATCTCTCTTTCTACATTTTGAATGTCAAATCTCTGTGTTTCTGATCTGCTGTCTGTTTTTTGAAATCTCAGCGGTAGATTAATTCTTCCTCTGATGCAAAGCTAAAGCAAAAACTGCAGTGGAAACTGTTTTGCAGAACGCAGATGCTCACAGGCAAGGGGCACACCCACCTGTTGCTAAGTTGGGGTTTTACTGCTATTTCCTGCCAATTTTCCCCCTGCTCCTCTAAAGCCAGAAAAAAGAATTTCACAGCGGAAGTCTCAAACCACAAGGGATCAAATAGAACATGTTGAGCATTTGTACTTTTCACAGAGTCCTGCCGATCTTTGTTTTCAGCTATTCAGAAAACTACTGCATTTTTCTTCTGCATAAAGTATTCTTTGAAGGCCACAGTTTTTAAGACTTCCAGAGAGTGCTTTCTGAGAAAACTTTTATTTTGTAGAGAAGGTTAAATGTCTGTTACCTGTTGGGTTTTCCCACTACTTCTGCCTTTTCTCTTTCTACCAAAACAACACCACCAACACCACCCACAACAGCAACAACAACAATTCCTCTTTGTTCAGAAAGAGGAGAAAAGCAGAACCACGCTATATCTTTTTAATAGGTAGCATTAAGCAGCACTGGGAACACCCTATGAATGATTCTGACAAGCTGCTTTCACTGAATAGAAATGTAGCTGGAATTCACTGCTTATTAATTCAAACACATGTTTTATCTTGCAGTACAGTAAAAGAACAGAAGAAGCAGTCCTACATTGAGTCAGATCATTGGTCCATTGTGAACTCTGAATGGCAGCAATAGCCACCTAAGTTTTCAGGCAGGGTTCTTTTTAGAAGGTCCTGAGTATTCCCTAATGGTTTGTCATATATCTACTAACACGGTATGTCCCTGCTTTGTTTCCAAAATTAGGAGAGGTCATTATGTGCAAGGTGGGATGGTTGCCACACTTGTCAGTCAGTTTTTCAGTATAATACCTCTAACTGATTCAACCCAAGAATACCTGATCCTTCTTTTAAGGAGGCCAGAAAAAGCCTGATTCCAAAGATGAGACTCTTCAGAGATTGAACATATTGCATTTTGGGACTACAACACTTGGAATTTCCACCCAACATGAACCACCAGATGTCTGGAACAGTGGTGGGCAACTTCCAGACATCTGGTGATTCATGTGCCCATCATTGGACCTTGGCAGGTCATATCTGATCCCATGGCCAACGCCACAGCAAGCAAAATCTTGGAAAAAACAAAACACCTAGTTTTTAAGCTGAAAAAAAAACTCTTTTTGTCCTCTACAGGGAAAAAATAGGGAGTGAAGGAAGGATGTAGGGAGGGAGGGAGGCAGGTAGGTGGATGGACAGACAGATGGATGGATGGACAGAGTGTTTGGAATACTCAGGATCTTCTAAAACTTGCAAGGGATGCTGCAAGTTTTCAAAACTTGTACAGAGAACAAGGTAAAAGAAAAAAAGAAAGAGAACGAATTTTGAGGTGTATGTGGAATTCTGCATTTGATCCCCCAGGTTGTGTATTGCTCACCCTTGCCACAGTTCATGCTGGCTGTGGATTTCTAGAAGTTGCAGTCCCATTGAAAAACCAGTGTTGACTTTCTTAACCCTGTTCATAGCGCATGAACTATTAGAGTTACAGGAGTATATCTCTTATGCATTTGGTTGTTCCCAGCAACACACTGATAAAGCATGTTGGTACAACTTTCAGCAGGACCATTTCGTACCTTCCATGATTTATCTGCCGCTTGCACCAACACAGCTAGAAGCTCCTGCAAAATCACCATCTTCTGCTTCAGTAGCAGCTCTCGGTGTAATGCCTCCTAAAAACAAGGGAAAAGAAAATAACTCTGTAAAAAAGATATTCTAGTGTACAATAGACACTGCTGGAATCTGTTCCTAACAACATCTGTTCTATTAGTACCAAGGCTTCCCTTAAGTTTCCAAGAATGCATGTCCCCACCCACATCCCTATGAAAGGACCATGAAGAAATTGACTGGAGGTTGGTTTAGGCCAGCGGTCCCCAACATTTTTGTGACCGTGGACCAGTTAGGGGGTGTGGACTCTGTGCGCAGGGGGGTGGCCCCCCTGTGCTCACATGTGGCTGTGTCACGCTCATGGAGGGGCGTGTCACACTTGCAGAGGGGCGTGTCACACTTGCACCCCTCTGCAACAGTGACACACCCACCCACGAGTGCAACATGCCCCTCCGCAAGCATGACACACCCACCATGTGCATGTGCGGGGGGAGGGGGGAAGAGATCCATCTTTGTGGCCCAGTTCCAGGAAGTCCACGGACCGGCAGTGGGCCACGGACCAGGGGTTGGGGACTCTTGGTTTAGGCTACAGAGTAACTTGACGACTTCATGGAGGACTATGGCTCTTTGCATCAGCCAGCATTTTTCTGGGATTCTGATTCTGCAGAGGTACTTGAATCGATAGTCATGAGCTTGACCATGACCTGCAGTTTTTAATCATGTTTTCCACAAACAGCTATCTATCTTCCAGCAAAAACCCTTTCTCTCACTATTTTTAACTTACCTGCACCTGAAATGCCACTTCATATGTTTCATGGTTATCACTCTTGTTAGAATAAGGACTTGTTCAGACAGACATTTGTCCTACTGTTTGATGCATTGTGAGGGCAGATTAGTTCACACTTTTTTCAGCTGATGAGTGAGTGATGAATGGATCAATTTGCCCACAGGGCACCCCAACCTGCACCTTTCTGAGCCTCTGACAAGGACTTGTGGGTTGGGTGGGTTGGTGCACTCTAGTCCATTCCTTGAGTGTGCAATCACTGGAATCATACTAAAAATCAACCCCCGACCTGCTAAATTAATTTTGGCTGCCACCCGGTTTGAACATACATAGGACCAAGGCCACACAAGTGAATGTGACTTACTTCTGAGTAAACATGGGTTAGATCAGGCCACATGTTGGCACTAAATGAAACCCAGTCTTTCACCTCTTGAGATGCAAAAGAAACCCATCCTAAATTCCCTGTTTGCAAAAGGCAGTGGTGATGGGTGCTCTACCCACCATCTCTGCCCCCTGGATCTCCAAGAGGCAACTTCCTTCACTTCAGAGAACAAGAGCCTGACTGACGCCCCTCCTTGGAGTGCAGGGAAGTCCCCCTGGATCTCCAAGAGGCAACTTCTTCACTTCAGAGAACAAGAGCCTGACTGACCTGTTTACTGGAATTCAAGCTCATCTGATCTCCAGGGCAAATATTGCTGCGTAAAAGCCCACTTAGCTGTCCACACCCATTGGATGATTGTTTAACATTGGAAATATGCAACAGCCTGATCCACAGTATGTTTACTCTGAATAAAAGTCCCAGTTGGGATGAATCCTCCCCTGTTATCCCAGGACCTTAGCCTGAAGGAGAGAACAAGGAGAGGTCAGGGCAAACACTGCTTTCAAAGACTGCCAAGCAAGCTGGGGAACCTTGAAGTTGCAGAAGGGAGGAGATATACTATTTGGGTGTAACAATCACACCAAATGGCATATTGCTCCTTCTCCAGTCTCAAGCAACCCTGTTTAGACCACATCAGCCTGCATTAAAAGAGCCAATGTGGTCACACTCTGAGTTACTTTCCTGAAGGAAAACCCAACACGAACAAAGTTGGACAGGCCACTGCTCTGTCTACTAGTTTCCAGTGACTGACAGTTCTTGGGCTTTTCAGCTCTCCTCACTCTGTTACTTGGGACAACAGTGCTCCTAATTAAGGCAACTGTACTTTATTAACTGTATAAATTAAATGACTGAACAATTAAATCTGTGCAAATGTCTGTTTCATTCATTCATTCATTCAATTTATATCCCGCTCCCATTAGTGTCACAGCACTACTCTGGGTGGGTTACAATTCATAAAATAGAAAACACAAATAAAAAACAGAAATATTAAAACTGATAACAATAACCCTTTAAAAAGAGAAAAGAAAACCAGGTGGCACTGACTAATCTCAGAGCAGATGGAGGAAAAGGGGGGAATGAAGAAGAGGAGGACAGAGGGGGGAAAAAAGGGGAGGAAGGTGGTCAGCTGGGGTTGGTGTGGAAAGCCTCCCTGAAAAGCAATGGCTTTAATTGCTTCCTAAAAGTCCACAGGGAGGGGGCTAGGTGGAGGAGCTCTTCTGGAAGCTGGTTCCATAAAGTTGGAGCCACTGCAAAGAAGGCCCTACTTCTTGTAGAGGATTTATGGGCCTCCCTCAGGGTGGCTACCTGGAGGAGCCTCAATGGGGATGACCTTGTGGGTTGGCCAGATTAAATTAAGGAGAGATGCTCCAACAAGTAACATGGGTCCAAACCACAGACGGTTTTGTATGCAAGTATCAAAACCTTATTTTAGTAAATAATTGTGTTGGTATTTAATGATTTTGTGTCAGTGTAAAACACTTCTACTTGTGCAAAGCAGAACACCCAGTGTCACCAACTGCTGATGTCCAATTGCTCTTTAAAAAGCTGTACTTGAGGGCTGGGGAATACTCTGGTACTCTTGCATGGTTATGTGGCTCAGAGGGATTTCCACAGGATATTATCTTGTAGCAGCATAAAAAACAATGAATACCTTTAAAGCTTACAATTTTCATTTGGTATAAGCTTTTGTATGCTGCACCTGAGGAACTGAGTGGTAGTCCACAAAAGATTATGCCAAATAAAACTTTTAAAGAAGTTTTTGATATAACTTGTAAGAGTGGTTTTCTTGATTCAGCAGAAAGAAAAGCACACATGTTGTGCACTGGTGAAAACTGGTTGCTCTGCCTGTCACAAGTGGACATGCCCTCTGCTAATACAAAGCCATTCTCTGATAAAACTCAATAAACTCAAAAAAAAAGCCAACTGTCCCCGTTCTTAGATAATGCCTGTGCACATTAAACGATCCCAAACTTGGAAGAGGATTTCTTACTGTAAGGAAATGGAAGGAAACTGGGAATTGGGAATCCAATAAATAAAATAAAATAAATAAATTGTAGTTATACTAAGAGGGAGTCTGTTAGGTGATGTGTAAGATGAATTCAGAAAGATACATTTTTCAGTGAGCTTACTGTGCATAGTTGTTTGAAAAATTAACAAGGTTGGACAGTCCAGAGAGAAGAAAGAAACACAACAAAAACCACTAAGTGGGAGAAGATAAGACACCTGGAGCTTGGATCATGAGAACTTTGGGCAGTAATCCGAACGTTCTGAATTACACCTACTTGGACTTAATTGGTTGACAGCTTGAAAGAGTATTTAGGAAGGAGGTCCTAAAGATATGTAAAATGAGAGGGTTTGTGCATGGGAAAAACGGTTTGGTGAATGCTGTGGAATGTGAGACACAGAGGCTTGTGTTTTTTTTTTCCAAGAAGGGGAGAATATCCCAGCTTCTAGATGCCAGCATATAGGGACGTAGAGCAAAGATGATTACCTAGCTTTTTAATTTTAATTAGAAATTGTAAGTTTATTTAAACATTGTAATAGTCTGGAGTTGCTCAATGCTTATGCTTTAAAGCTACAACTGTATTCTAATGAAACTTTATTTTCTTAATAAAACAAATATAATTCTTAAACAGAAGATCTAGTCTCTTGATACCGCAGGACTATCTAAATCCAGTGTGGATGAAAGAAAGTTAATAGTTGCCACTGTAAGTTAAGAGGTCCTACTGTCCTATTTGGTAAGGCTGGTGTGCATTCTAAGGATACAGAAAACCTATGTTTTATTTCTTTGGAAGCAAATCAAAGGTAACTTTTAAGGCTCAGGCTTGTCTATGGTGCTTACTACGCACTTCTGAGGCCTAGAGGACCTACCTCAGGAAATAAAGGTGGTAGTTTTGTGCCCAGAGGGACTTCCTGATTGTGATTGTTGTCTCTTTAGGGAGACAGGATTATTACACTTACTAGTTACAATGACCAGAATCCTATTGGTGTTCATATAATGCTTCTGTAACTTGCCACAGGTAATTGTTGTTAATGGACAAGGTTTTGGGCATCTTGGTTATGTGCCTGATTGCACAACCAAGACACACTCCAATACCTTGTCCATTAGCCACAACATGTAACACAAACCTCATAGGATTCCAGCCAGCTACCCTGTGGAAATCCCTCCATGCCACATCCTAGTTTTTTTTAATTGCAATCTGATTAACAAGGAATAGTTATAAACTCATTAAAATGTCTATTAATTAAACCAAGTGACTGCTGTACTTACTGCTTGAGATTTTGGGTTCCATCTACCATCCCATGAGTACAAGACTACAAGTACACTACTTCCTACCCTTCCTCATCTGTCCTCTTCATAACTATATCAAACCCATATGTGCTTTTGGGGGGTCTCCCAATCTTGACAATGGTCTGATGATGGATAGACCCTCTGAGTTTCATCCCTTTTACTTAGTCTAAAACAGCAGGCCAGGAAAATCTTTGTTGGAATTGTTTCCCGAACCTCCAGGTGTCTCTGAGTCACTGAATGTTAGCAAAGATTTGACCCTGAACATTGTTTCCATTTGTAGTTGAAAGCAAAAAACAAAATTGGCCCATGGAAAATCTGAGGTAATTTTCCTTGCTCTCAAGCATTACAGTTACAGTTCTGTCCTGAGTGCGGGAAATCCTAAGGCTAGAAGCTCAAGTGTTTGCTCAATTTGCTCAATAAATAGACAACTTACAATATTATTTAGTTTGTTAATACCCTGCCTTTCCTACAAAGACTCCAGAGCCACTAACAAAATAAATAAAGTGCAATCATAACTGTAAAACCACAAAACATATAACAAAATGTTTATGATGATGTAAATTTAAGTGCATAAAGCATAGTAAAAAATTGCTGCTAATTAAGACGTTGCTACTCTCATTCCTGGTTGCATGCCAGTCACACGACTTTGCATGCAACCAAGAGCTTCTGAGCAGCAACTCACTCATTAGCATCAATTTGCCACTGTGATTTATGCAATTGCACTTACTGAAATCTCCAATAGGTTTTTGGCCAATAAAAAGGAAAACAAATAGAGCACTTGTCCAAAGTCCAAAACCTTGCACAGATACATATGTTTTCAAGTGTTGTCTATATAACAACAGTGTGAGGATAGACACACTCATGTGGAACAAGGTCATTCCATACGCAGGATGCTATCACCTTATGCAATATAACAATGAATAATCCCACCCTCCAGAGTATAATTATTTTCATAGATTGTCATAGGTTACTTTACTAATTGCTCACCTTGAGATAATTAGAAAGCTGAATGATTTCCTGAAAGAGAAATAAATTGTTTTACAATTATAATGGAATTAACATGGATGTATCAAACATTTGGAAAAGAAATGCATCTAGTTTATTTTCTTAATAAAACAAATACACGTGGTTAGTCAGGTAAGAGACCAAATATTAAGGGATGTTGCCACATGAAGGGCTACTAGATCTCTGAATCAAAATATGCTATACAGCTCTTCCATCTTTCCCTCAATAGATTTTCTGAAGCACGAAAAAGGACAGGAAAAACAGTGTGCAATCTTTGGAATGTTGCACGTCCCTGGCCAGAATCCTGCTGGTGTTCACATAAAATTTGTGTAACTTGTCACACTAATTGATGAATTGCCAGGATCTATCACAATCTCATGCCTGATAACATGCCTGACTGTGCAACTAAGATGAACTCCAGCACATCATCAATTCAACACAATTCGCAATGGCAAGTTACGCAAATCTTACCCAAATACCGACAGGATTCCGGGCTACTGTACATGCAGTCATGATCTGAGCACAGGAGCCTGCCTTTGATTTCAGGGTAGGGTTGCCAGATGTCAGGCAAAAGGAGGACATGTCCTTCTTTTTAGCCTAATGTCCTCCGTTAGGCAGGCAAAGATAAAATGTCAGGCTTTTGGATATTTTATGTTATCATTTTGGATGGGAGGGGGAGAGGTGGAAGGACCCCCTTCCCCCTGGCTTTCCCCTCCACCACCTGCCCGCCCATGCCCAGTATTTTGAAAAAAAACCTCCATTAAATTTATTTTTAATTTTTAACATGACTGTTTCTTGGTCGGTTCACTAAGAGACATTTATTGGCAGCTATTGTAATAAAATTGTATTGATTGTGGGTTTAACCTGGAATGATTCAAATGAAATATTCAATATGTCCTCCTTTGTCCTCCTTTTTGTCTTTCAATGTCCTCCTTTTAGTACCCGTGTATCTGGCAACCCTATTTCAGGGTGAGGTGACCCCACCACCACAACTGGACCATCGGGCATCTGTGTTACTTGTGGAAGTCAGCAATGTCTACACTTTCTGTAAAATTCTGTGAATGAGACAGTGAAACTGAGAAATTGGTATTTTTAAAGCATTTTCCAATAATGTTTGCAATGGTTGAATGAATGCAGCCACATCCTCTTGCTAAAGACTTCCTTCCATGTCTCCACCCCCATTTTTTTTTTAGATTAAGAGTTTTGCACAGCTCAAAAGCTTGCATACTTTTAAAAATGCAGCAGGTCCTAATAAACGTATAGCACACACCCACACACCCCTTTTGATTTTAGAGAGATAGAGGTGATCACGCAACTTAATTAAGGCTCTTTCTAGTTTATACCATCAAGGATATATCATTGCATGGAACTGGTTTTTGCTGCTATCTAGCATATTCTTTTGTAAATATCTTGAGAAACAGGATTCTCATCATAACTTCATGTGTTCCATACCTGATCTAAAACAGATGTTCCACAGCTGAAAGTGAAAAGAGAATAGGACTTTATCAAAGAAGAAACATTACTGCTGTAATGTGTGATACCACACCAAAAAGTTATTGTTTGAATAGTACATGTTGTTAACCATACATTTATTGTAAAAAATACTTTACCCCACCTTTCTCCTTAAAAAGGACTTACATCATTAAAAGAAAATATTTAAAGCTAACAACAGTAAGTATACAAATACTAAAAAGAATCAAGCAAACATCACAGTAAACAACGGTAAACAAAAGCAACATGCAAAACGCATTCAAAGCAGTAAGGAACAATAATCCATTTAAAAATCCCACTCAGGCAGCCAGTTGCTGAGGGAAAGCCTCTTGTGGGAGAAAGTGGAGCGTCAAAGTCTGGGAGCAGCAACAGGGAAGGCCCTCTCCTGTGTCCCCAACAAACATACCTGTGAAGGTGGTGGGACAAAGAGAAACAAACAGAAATAACCCACCAGGGAACTCACCAGACAGGAAGGGTAGAAAGAATCCCCTGGTTCCCAACATCTCCTAAGTGGCCCCTCCAATGTAATTTCCCACTTCTGTGAGAACTAAAGCAAGGCAGGTGACATGCAGCTCATGGAACCTGTGCAACCTTCAGGAGCCCAAATGTAACCCCCTCCCAAATCCGAGTAGTCCCCCAGCAGTACCCTCAAGATAATTTTATTTAAATCTGGAAAAAAAAGTTTTAGGTTCAAGTTTTAGGTCCTCTTGGTCCTCAATTTTGCCATGTTCTGAAGACCTCTAAGCCCCTTTAAAATTTGTTTTTTTAAAAAAATTGGACATGAGAGGACATGGGGCTTTTCCAGTAAAAAACAACGACCCAAAAACAAAATCCTTCCTCTTTGTAGGAAAATAATTTTGAGGTTGATGGGACCCTTCAAGGTCCAGGGATTGGCATGTGTGGCTCCTTGACCCCTAAAAGTTGCCCACCTGGTTTTAAAATATAGACGCTATGAGTAGTTTTGTTTCCCTTCCATCCGAAGAGGGGCTCTGTGTATATCAGACAAGTGTGAAGGTTCGCAATGGCTGGTGATTTTTGGATGGCATGAACTGGGTTCACCTCTTCTTGGCTACTACGTCACAGTAATGGACAGGAACCCGATGCAAACCATCATGTGACAGACTGCATCAAGGCCTGAGCCTGAAACCCAAATAATGTTTTATAATCGTGTTTGTAACCTGGGGAATGATCTATTGTGCCCAAACTGTTGGCAGTCATTATCTTATCATGAAAATCTAAATTATCAGCCCTAACATACTACTAATAAATGCCTTAACCAAAAATAGTGTATGTCCCTCATATATTTATAAAGACATGTCTCTGGTTGAAAGGGCTTAATCCATGACAATTCAGAAGACTACAGCCAGCAAGCCATAATTCACTAACTAAGTTTGAGTTAAATGTTTGAAAATGTTGTGGTCCTACTTAAACCTATCACTTGTGTCTCAGCTGTTTATTCCAGGACTGGGTGGACAAAGAACTACAGTGGGCCCTCAACTTATGAACTTAATCCGTTCCGGAAGTCCGTTCATAACCCAAAAAGTTCCTAAGTCAAAACTAATTTTCCCATAGGAATGCATTGAAAACTATTTAATCCGTTCCGGCTGTTTTTGGTTCTTAAGTCGAGGGGTGGTTTGCAGGTCAATTCCTTAGTTCCCAAAGGACCTAATGCAAAGCTGCTCAATCCATTCCTACCACTAGGGCCAGAATTCCCTCCCCTTTGGTTCGTAACTCGATTCCGCGTTCGCAAGTAGGGTCTATAGTTTCCTATGAGATCGGGTTCATAACCCAAAACGTTTGCAACTAGGGCCGTACGTAAGTCGAGGGCCCACTGTACTAACAGTTTTCTTGCCAGACATCTGCATTGCACACACTGGGCCTAAACTAGATAGGAGACCTGTATTCAGAATCCACTCTACCACCTAATTCCTACAAGATAGTGATAGTGAAAGTGCAGTGATTTTAAAAGTGCATGTAGAGGTGCAAAAATACTGGGGAGCAGAAAATTCAGCCTCCCCTTCCTGCTCATACTACACTTTCAAAACTGCCTTCACTTCTCTAATCCATTGAGAATCAGCAGAACTTGGTATGAGGCCTGCCACTGTTATGTCTAGGTGTACAAAAGTCTGAGGATCCCTTGAACTATGTTCCTAATTAGGCTCAGGTTATCAGTTCTCCTCTCCCAGCAAGCCACTCCACCTGCTTTTCTGGAAAAAAGGTGTATGGGAAGGATACTCAGTTCATTGCTGCCTTAAAGGTTTTTGATGGAGGAACTGACAGGCAGTCTCATTACCTAGTGTGGTTTAAAGGTGCACTGAAGGACTTCATGCAGTAGGCATTGATATTCTTATCTAGAAGTCCTTGCTTTGGAGGAGGAAATCTTAGCAGTGGCAGTGGTGGAGTTCTTTTTTTTTTTTGACACATGTGACCCAGGGACTCCAGGCAGCAGGGGCAGAGAGCTGCCAAGCAAACCCTAGCATTTCCTCCTTTCAAGCAGGGCACAAGTAAGGGTCACTGTACATCTGCTGAGATAACCTGCAAGCATCTGCACAGCTCTGAACTTGAGAAGAAGGTTAGGCACTCTGCATAACCGCCAATGGAAACCCCTAACTCAGTACAGAAAGCAAGAGGAGTGAAATTGTGGTAGCCTGTAATCAGGGATCCACAAGGCTTTTTTGATATCCTAGACCATGCAGACTAGCATGATAGCTTCTTTCCACACTGAGAAACACCATCCTTGATGTTGTAAACTATGGTGTTTATCAACAGAAGTGTCTTGCATCAGCACTGTCTCATGCTAAATGCTTTAGTTGTAAAGTTTATGGATGCATGCTATGACTTAGGAAATCAAAGCAGTTTATAGAGCCTCATCAGCACCTGGACAAGCCATCCCTTGGCCTGTGGCAGGAAAAGAAGTGTGCTGCCACCCACCCACCCATCCATCCCCACCATCGTCCTACTGCCGTAATACCACAGGCATGCTTGCAATGATGGCGACTGGCGGAGGTGGTGTCTTCTTTCCCCTAATCTCCTCCTCATGTCGACAGTGTCACTTCTTCTCACCCAGCTCTCTGCATAATGCCTGGTGTGCAGAAGAAGTGACCATTCTGTGGAGGTAGGGAGGCAGCAAGAGCAGAAAGAGGCTGCCAGTGGTAGCATCAGCAGCAGGCTCAGGTGTTGGAGAGTGGAAGGGCATAATAGCTCTGCCATAATCCTTGCTGCCCTGCAGCCTGAAGCAGCCACCTCACTTTGTCTAATGACCAGCTCAGCTTTGAGATAAAAGAAGGTGCTTGGGGCATCCTGAACCCAGAACAAAATCCAAAACACACAGCCAAACTTTGGCTAGTGGTCTGAATAGAAATGCCTGCCTCTCTCTATTCAGAACAGCTAATACTGAATATTAAAGGCCCAGTTTTCTAACTGAACAATATCAGGTCCAAGGAAGAATATGACATAGAACTTTTATTTTTTTGACAGAATGATTCTCCGAGCTCTGGAAGGGGATATACGGTAACATGTTTACTTACTCTGTCTGTTGGCCAGAATTTTTCTTGACTGCATTGGCTTCATCTATGGTTTGTGTACCTGTGCGAAGATAAAATAAAGAGATTTAGTGTTAAACAATGGAAAGTAAAATATTAGTTCTGATAAAATTATTTTTCCTAGCAGCTGCAAGGTCTGGCACAGATGTTCAGTTTTTAATGTTTCTTTATGTGAACATTTCCTGATATTTGTCATCTTTTCATGGGTAATCTTACTTCTCAAAACAATAAGGAGTAAAATCAATAAATAATTCCTGTTCCCATTTTATTCTCATCCAGAATGAAATATTTACATTTTAAGTATTTTAACATCAGTGGAACAACATCAAGAATGTTCACATGGAATAATATAAAATGTAGAATTGAATCAGTGGCTGGCTAAATGTAAGCCTGATTTTATACTTTTCTGCTTACCTTTACAGCTTCTGGAAACTTTCACAGTGAGTGGGTTTTCAAATGAAGAGTTCAGGTTCCCATTTGCAGGAGAATCACTAATGCAAGACTTTACAGATTTGAGATGAAGGTGAGTGGTATGGGTATTCCAAGACTCCTGGAATAAAACAATAATTTGTTTATCTTCAGTGTATTGGATTCAGTAGTGAGAAAATAAATATTTGGTTCCAGTAGCATCAGACATACACACAAAAGGGAAACAAAATCAGCATCAAAAAGAGAGTTCTGGTTCGAGTCTGGCCTGAGGTATCACTATCAGAGTTCTGGTTCAAAGTAAAAGACATTCAACAATCTATTTAAAAACTCCACTCAGGTAGCCAGTCACTAAGGGAAAGCTTGCCTGAAGGGAAAGGTCTTTGTCTGCTTTTGAAAGGGAAGCAAAGATGGGGCCAGCCTGGTTTCTTGTGGGAGGAAGTTCCAAAGTCCTGGAGCTACAACAGAGGAGGCCCTCTTGCATGTCTTTTCAAACATACCTGTGGAAGTGGTGGGGACAAGAGAAAGGCCTTAACACCCAAGCAGGCTCATAAAGGGAGATATGGTCTTTGATATAGGTTTGACTCAAGCTGTTCAGGGCTTTATCGTTAGAACCAGAACTTTGAATTGTGCCCAGAAATGGATCAGCAGCCATTGGAGCTGCTGGAACAGGGGGCTTGTGTGATCCCTGTGACTAGCCCTAGTTAGCAATTTGGCTGCTGGGTTTTGGACCTGTTGAAGTTTCCTGGTACTTTCCAGAGGCAGCCCAATGTAGAGCACATTACAGTAATCCAGCCAGGATGTAATTAAAGTATGTGTCACCATGGTCAGATCAGACATATTTGGGAATGGGCATAGATGGCACACTAGTTTTACTTGGGAAAAGGCACTCCTGACCACCACTGAAATTTGGGCATCCAGGCTAAAAGATGAATCCAGGAGGACCCACAAGCTGCACATCTGTGCTTTTAGTAGGAGCATAACCTCAAGAGGTAGATTTTGGTATAAGCCTTTTCTGCTAACAGAAGTTTCTTTCTGTTAGCAGAATCCTTTTCTGCCTGCTGATCACAGAGATCTGCCAGCAATGCAATCTGCTGGCAGAAGAAGAGCCCAAAAAGGGGATGGTGAAGAAGTGAGCCATTTTATGTCAGATCCAGACCTCCTGCAATGGAGAGACAGCAGCAATATTACTACAAAATAAGAACAGGGAGAAGGAAGTTCTGATTATTTTAAACACCCTTAGAATGGCAGAAGTTTGGATTCACCACTCCTTCAGCTAGCCTAGTGTCAAGTCAATGACACTCCTTTCCCCACTAAAGGAGAAACTGACAGTGGGTCAATTTAGAAAAGGTACTCAAAGGGCAACTGTATTTGTTTATTTAAAACATTTCTACATCGTCACATATCCAAAGATTTCTAGGCGGTTTACAAAAGTTAAAATCAGAATCCATGACTAATCTTCTAGCCCATATCAACAGGCTGCAATAGGTCACTGAACTCAACTGGGATGGAATTCAAAGCAACATATTTAGCCCTGGACTTTAATTCCTCCTGCCTTCAAATTACCTGAATGGAAGATGGTGATGATGTCAGATCTGTCTGAGTTGACAATCCCCACAAATTCCCAGTTCTGACCTCAGGCAACAGTGATGCCTCTGTGCTAACAGGTAGCTGTCCTTCCGTCTCTCCAAGCTCTTCAATTATTATATTCCTTCTTCTGAGAAGCTCCTTTTGTCGGGGGCTTTGAAGTGGCTCCTTGGCCTCTTTGCTTCGATGTTTACCCGTAAGATGGCACATGGTCCTATTATTCTTTCTACGAAGGCACTCATGATTTTCTTGCCAGCGTTCATATTTTTCTTCATAATTCTCAGATCGGGGCACATGCCGGCCATGGAATTTACAAAATCTGGTTGTCATTCTGATTCCACAAGTCACACCAGAACACAACACCCTCCAAAGATACTGGAGAGTCACTTTCCTAGTGAAACCAAGAGACGATAAGGGAGAATGCATATGTTCTGTAGTGTTTTTGTACACAATTTTGCAATGAATACCACTTTGTGCAGAATATGAAGATCAAGGACACTATCATGGGAGAATACTCTGGTGTGCCTAGAAGAGGAAGTTGTTCTCCATTGCATATTCCTACTGTTTAGTTTTCAGTGTACATCAGAATATGGAAGCACCACAATTTGACCCAGGGAAGAATGTTCAAAGAGCTACAGATCTAATACTGTTCTCCAGTTTTTTGTAACTCTTTTCTAAGAAATCTGAAAAAATTCATCGAAAGGAACAGCTTCAAAAGAAGATTCTTTTTTTTTTTTTGCAAAATACCTTATTTTTGTTGGAAAGATGTTCAAATTGCATGCATTCCCCCCCAAAAAGTGCTTGTTAAAAATCTGTTCAACTAAAATGTGTTGCTCCCTTGAATCCCATTTGTAGAAGAAAGACAAAATAAAAATTGATTGCTCAATCAATTAAACAAATAAATACAAAAATGCACCCTGCTACTGAAATTTAAGACACTGTATGTGATACCTAGTAGTAAATATTTTAAATATTTCCCTCTGAAATATTAGAACATTTAAAATGAGGAATATGAATGTTTCATCACTTTTTAATTCTTAGGAACATCAATAAGATGCATTTAAAAAAAACAACAAGATGGCTTCTCTCAGATGCTGTCCCCCATTATAGTACATTTACATCTCATTAGGCTTTAGAGCTGTGGAAAGCATGTCTTTAAAAGTTTTTTTTTAAATTTAACAGAGATCTTAAAAATCCTTTGTCTCTTGAGGCATCACCTTGAGCTTAATAATGAAGGCAAATTTCCTTGTAAAAAGAAAAAGGCATGCCACCATATTTTTAAACTCTTGCACCACTTACCTCTTGCAGTAGGATTTATTTTCTGAGATCTCCACAGTCTCCAAAGTCTACTGGATTTAGAGATGCTGTGTTAACATCATATAATTTTATATATTTAACTTTCCTTTGTAGAAAGCATAACAACTGAACTATAAAACCTACAGCTGAAGGCTACAGATGATTTCCCCCCTTCTACTTACAATTTGGCTCTGTGTGTATTTGACTATAATCCAAGTGACATAGGTGGGTTGTCCCACCATTCCCTCAGAAGAATGAGTGCCTTTGTTCAAGCATTGCCTTGCCACCCTGTGTAAATATGAAAAGCTTTATTAACCTCCTTTCCTCCTCAAAACTTTGATGACATATTGCAGAATTTACCTGTTTTAGGGTGCCAGAGAATAGGAAATTTTTTTTTTTGGTGTTTCTATCAAAAAAAGACAAAGGGGGAAGGAATTCAAGGGATTTTGAAAAACTCACATCCATGTTATTATTCTTGTTTTACCATGGCTGTTAGCTGTCACATTCCTTGTTACTTGAGCCAGAGGGATAATCCTTGTGTATATTCTAAGCAGGATCATGGGAGCATTCAGGAAAGAATGCTCTTTCAGGAAAGAAGTCTACAAATGTTACTAGTTGGTTTAACAGCAGATCTGCGGGAATTTTTTTTGGACCAAAATTGTAACTTTTTCAAGCTTTGCCTTGTACTGCAATTCAACAGCAACACTGTGTTATTTCAGACAATATCTCCCTCAGTGTAACATTTATCTAATGTATCAGTGCAGGACTACAGACCCTTTTCTAAGCCCAATTCAAGATCTTGGTTTTGATTTTTAATAATTGCTATGACTTGGGACAAAGGAAATGCTTCCCTTGCTCTCATTAGTTTAACTTTTTGCTCAGGTTCTTTTCAGAATCCATCTGTCAGTCACATAAATGGTGAGTGATGGACAACCAAAGAAAGAACACATCTGTTGATGTTCTTCTGGCAGATCAGATGCCGGGTTAGAAAGTTTTGCTTCTCTCAGACACTCTGATCAGTTATATTTGGAAGCAGAAAGAATTTATATTTTCCATTCTTCTGTGTTATTTCATTTTGTTTTAATGTGTTCCATGAATATTGTTGTTGTTGTTCTCTTGGTTTTTAATTTATGTTGGAGGAAAATGTATTGGGATAAAGGTTTACTGTATTTTTCCATTTATAATATGACCCAAAGTATAAGATGCTCCCCTTTTCTAACCCCAAATTAGAAAAAGCAGGGATCAAAGGGCTCCCTTTTTGCTAAGCTCCATGCCTTGGCAAAAGGCAAGGCAAGTGGCTGTCAAAGTGACTGCCACTTTTCTTTGCCTTTTGAGAAGGAATGGAGTTTAGCAAAAAGGAAGAGAGAAATGCCCCCCTTCCTTTTTGCTAAGCCCTGTGCCTTCACAAAAGGCAGTGGTAAAGAGTTGTCTTCCGGGTATAAAAGGATCCTCAATTTCCCCCCCAAATTATTTAAGGAAAAAGTATTGTTTTGTACACGGAAAAATCCGGTATAAAGGGCAGTATATAAATGTGATACATCAGTCAATAAGATACAAAGGCCAGGATCTCTTGCCTTACACCATTGCATAAGAACAATGGTGTAAGCCAGGGGTCTCCAAACTTTTGACAACAAGGGCCACACCAGATATTTTCCAAGTTTTTGAGAGCTGAAGGAACAGGAATGTGTGTGTGCATGCATACCTGCATACACAGCCCTGCCCACCCTCCACTTGCATGTACAGACACCTGCACACACCCCTGCACATCCCCTGAACACACAGACACACACACACATTTGTATTTTTGTTGCACACCAGTGATGTGACTTGGAGCACATCTTAAGTCACTAAAGTGATTTATACCATTTGACTTATGGTGGGTGGTTGTGTCACCTCTGGACAAACTCAATATTTTGAGCAAATTGGAAACACAGTTTTTTATACAACACTTCTCAGAATCATGCATCTATCTATAATGACCAGTGACCATGCTGGCTATGAGATTCTTCAAGCTATAGTTTAAAAAAGTAAGATTTGTAAGCTCTGGAGCAAATTAATGCATTCACAGCAGCTGTCACTGTGATAACGTAGCTCTACTTTAACCTCTGTAGAAACCTAGAACAGCTGGAGATGAAGCTTGATTGGAGCATTGCCATGCCTCATTCACTAAATTTTCTGGAGGATCTGCATAAAATCTTCCTCCGCTCCTAATACTCCCTTGGTTTTCCACAGTTTCATCCATGTTTTAATTCCTTGAGAAACTCTAAACTGTCAGTATGATTTTTAAAAGCCTCATTTAGAACCAGCCTTTAGTTTATTCAAAGCTACATAGAATAGAATTTAATAATCAATTTTTGCTCAGCATACCAGAGCCTCTTGATACCACAGTGGTATACTGCTATTTAAAAAATAGTACAGAAAAACACTTTTGAGACTTTTTATAGGAGCATGGTGAATTTGATGAAAATAAGAGAGACAGATTCGTGAGTTTGATGATAATAGGAGACAGTGTCCTGGGATTATATAGCAGCATGGCGGAAAGAAACAATGGGGTAAGAGAAAGATGGAGGAAAAGCAGATAGATTCGTGTGACATGGCAATATGAGTTGAGGCTAAAGGCAAATTACTCTGAAGATCTGATGCAGAATGTGCTGATGACATGGGTTGAATCTGCTTCCAATCTTACCTTGATCTGTGAGTGTTGACTTGGTATGACCAATGTGTAGGAATATATCTTTGATCCGCAGATACACCACCTGTTGGGAAGTAAATGTATGGAAGTAAACATTTCAAGGGAGTGTAATTTACTCCATGTAAGGCTGATGATGTTATCAGTCTTGGCAATTTTTCAGAAATTAAAAATTCCTGATATGTCCCGTCCCCCCGTCCCCCCGCATCAAGACTATCTTGGGATCCGCTGTGGGGAAGCTGTTGGGGGCCGCAAGATCAGAAGGGAGTCTTTAATTTCCAGCAATAGAAACTTCCTACTAGAGAGACAATGGCAATTGTGAAATTGATGACCTTCTATTTGACCCACTCTGTGCAGCTCAAAGAAGCAAGAACATTAATTTAACCAAAGATGAAAGCTAGGATCCATCAGACTGTGAAACTGGTCCTCTTTGCCCAGTTAGTGCTTTAGATTTCTTTTTCTTGAGAACGAGACCCTCCTGGTAAATATAGCGAATCATTTTTAAAACTAAGGTGAGTTCTAAAAGCATGCTGTGATTTATAGCAAAGAATGACTTGGCAGAGGGGCAAGGGAAGTGAAAAAATGTTTAAGTGTAGTAAATCATTGCTAATGCACTGTATCACTTATTAAAGTTTTTTTTTTCTTTGCCTTCTCTGAAGGGTGGGTCAAGAAACTCCATGCAGCTGAATCCATGTAGGTCATTCTTGATTGGTCCTCCAATACAAGAAAAAAAAATATAAGCATTTATGTTTTATCCTCTTTAAATCAGAACTCAGATCTCTGGAGCAATGGAGCTTTCACTTCTTGGCTTATACAGTAACTCTCTTCTCATTTTCAGTGAAGAAGGAAGAGCCACATGAAGCAGTGTGTGGTGGCAGTATCATTATGAATATTATCCATTAAAAACAAAACAACTCCCCCTACATACTTTCTGCAGGTAGAAACTAATTGATGAGTAGACATTGTCTAGAGGGGTGGGGTAAAAATCTAATAAATAAATAAATGAGATAGTTTGTTAATTTATTTACAGAGAGGGATTATTACTAAGAGTAATTATTATTACTTTGGTGTAACTTTTTATGCATGTGGAGAAGCAATAAAAATGTGACTCTAATTACTCTAGAGTGGTATGGTCCACTCTACCTATTCATTATTCTGCTACCTTGTTCTACTGCTGGGACAGAAAACTTATTGGACTAACTCCCCCATCATCTCTCACACTAGGCTGTAGAGAGTTGTTTTGTCTTGTTTTGCTTATATGCCAGATCCCAGATCGGCAACCTAAACTGACAGTACAATTAAAAAACAAGACAATTAAGATATAATACCACAAATATCAAAATAGAATTAAACTCATTGTAATCTACCAGGGTGAATGGGCACATATTTCCTGTTTCTGTTCTACTGTGCCTATATACTGAAATGCTACCCAGAGAGAAAGAACATTACGTTCCAGGAAGAAGTAGGTATTTCTGGCCAAACATGTAGAAAGAAATGCTACAAAAACCATATAATTCTCTTCTACTACATTCCTTGTTACATGTCAATCAGACTTTAGGAGTTCCAGGACAGTATGTCTTGAACTGTGATGAGTAGTTATATGTTGATGAGGTAGGCATATTTCATAGTACAGCCAATGTTTGCCCTAATACAGATGAGCAACTTATCAAGATAGATTGGTTTTCTGTCACAGAATTGCTTGGATTTCTGTACTGAGGAAGTGCTGCATACATTAATCATGTAGTAAATTGACTAATTTCTCGAATTGACTGAGTGGAGAATGTATTTCCCAGAACTGCAGAGTTTCCTGACCTTGTACACTGCTTGTGGAAAAGTAAGATGGCAGTCTAAAAGTGATCTGTGCTATTGTGGTTCACCACAATTTAGCACACATTTAACAAACATGCAAAAGTCCTCATGTTAACAATTGGTCATCTGCTGATTTCTATGTGCTAGAGAAGTGGTCCCCAACTTTTTCGCCTCCACGGATCAGTTTAGCGTGTGTGTAGGGGCATCCATGCGTGTGTGTGAGGGGCTGTGTGTGAGTGGGAGGGGCCATGCATGCATGGGAGGGGCCATGCATCTGCATGTGGGGGGGAGGAAGTTTGTCTCCACAGCCTGGTTGTGGCAAGGCCATAGACTGGGATCGGTCCGCAGACTGGGGGTTGGGAACCCCTGTGCTAGTAGAAGTTTGTCCAAATTCGCCTCCTTGGTTAGTAGGCACAGTTGCTTAATAAAGATGGCCTAAGACCAAGCTGACCACAGGTGTAGTGTAGTACACAGACTCATAGAGGAGTATAGCTACAGGTTACCCAGAGTCCTCCCATTTCTCATTAACTGGCACTTAAAGTCTCAACAACTCACTCTCAGACATTTGAAAGAGAAAGAATGATTTTTTTACTTACAATTGATGATGATGATGCTGCCACTTTTCTCCTATTGGATTCAAGGCAGCTTAGTGTTTAAAAAGAAAAAGAAAAAAGAAAAAAAAGAATTCTTCTATTGGATTCAAGGCAGCTTACAGTGTTTAAAAAGAAAAAGAAAAAAAGAAAGTAAAATTATTTTCCCCCCAAACAATTTTTAATTTTTATTAAACAAAAACATATAGTAAAGAACCAAAAAACAAACAAACAAACAGATAAAAAACAATAATTATACACAAAACAAACTGAAACCAAGTGCCCCCCACTGGGACCAATGGAGAATAAGACCTTTTTCCTTTATTTCAAGGATTCCCCTTCCCCTTCCAAAACTGTAACGTTCCTTGCAAGGGTGCTCTTCTCTCCCCCTTTATTAATATATAATCAATGAAATCGCCCCAAATTTCTGCAAAAGTATGCCTTTTAAGCACTCCTTTCTTTACTTTAATATTACATGTTAAATTGTCATTGATAGCTATATTCCATATCTCTGTATACCATTCTCTTAATTGAAAATTATGTTTTATTTTCCAATTCTTGGCTATAATTAATCTAGCAGCTGTATATAAAATGGAGATTAATTCCGTAGTTGTCCAATTATATTCAACCTCATCAAATACTGATAAAAGTGCTATTTGAGGACATCTATATTTCGTTTGGTTATTTCTCTTATCTCCCCAAATACCATTTCCCAAAATTTCATTACACTCTCACATTCTCATCATATATGAAAATAAGTACTAGTTTTCTGGCATCCCTTCCTGCACAACATAGAGTAATTTTTATTTCTTTTCTTTAGTTTCACTAGAGTTAGATACCATCGCCAAATAATCTTATAAAATTTTTCCTTAATCCTTATAGACCTGGATTTCACTATTCTTAGAATAATGAAAAAAAATTATACAGATATCATATAAAAAACTCATAAACAAGAGCAATATTAAAAATACAACTAAAACATTACATCTCAGATCCATGAGCGGATCTCCTCATGTACTGTATTCAGTTCCACCAAATGGATCAGAGCAGTGGAACTGGGTACAAGTTAATAACCCTGCAGTTTCCCAATTTAAATCAGCTCTTCTGTCCCATGGTCTTGTTTCCTCCCATAGGGCACAGTGTGGTCTCCAGATGTTGTTGCATTGTAGCTCCCATCAGCTGTAAGTAGCACAACCACTGACTGGTAATGCTGAGAGTTGCAGCCTAGCAGCATCTTCAGGGCAACATTTTGCCTGCTTCTGCACTACAGGAAAACTACAAAATGGTGCTCGCTGGATCGTTTACATTTGTGTAGTTTGTAGCATCCCAAGCATGACATCCTGCTCCCTGCAGACCCCTTGACCCTGAATCCAGTAATCCTGGGCAGCAGTTGGGAGTGGGGAGAAGATGGGCACTCCATCACCACACATGATAAAGTCAGCCTTTCTTCTCTTCTAGCATGCTGACTCAGAGATTTCTCTCCCATCCTGGAAACTTTGAGAAGCAAAGCAATTCCCTGAGACTTCAACTGGAGCCACAAGAATCCTATTTTTGCTTGTTTGAACTAATCAGTCAGGTTGTGTGCCATGAGCATTTTCTTGTCAACGGGAAAGGAAAATAGGAAGGAGGAAAATAGCCTCCAGAAGTATGGTAATAATCTCTTCCTCATGCTTACTGTCTACCCAGAAACCTATTAGTCATGTTTGTGTGATTGTTTGCCACACTATTATCCTTTTAAAAGGTTGAATAAGTGTTTATAGTTTACACATTGCTTGTATAATAAAACAAAAAAAAACCCAACCACTTAAAAATTAAGCTGTTTCAAACTCTATTTCTGGACAATGTTCAATTCAATTTTATTAAATCTGCTTCCTTCCTATTTATCTAGCTTTGCCTCTGCATTGCTTGTACATTCAAAAAAAAAGTGTAACAAAGAAATTAATTGGCAAACATTTCCCCCACAGATAGCCCAGCAATTGCTTACCTTGCTGAGTGGCCATCTCTTTCAAAGTTTCCAAAATAACATAATTGCTTTTTGAGAAGTTAAGATGGTGAACATTTGCTCAGGTTTTTTTTTTTTTAGCTCACCAAAACGTGTTTCTAGTTGAGGTCTTACCACGTTGCAGACTTCCTTCTTCCTATTTATGCCAATATGTTTATCTTTAATAAATGCAGTTTGCCCTTAATCTTTTCCCCACAGGCACCATCCAGTTCCCTGGCTTAACCCGTGGAATTAACTGCCTGCTTCTTTTCCAATTTCACCTTGTCAATCACACGGGGAGTGTTTTAAAGACAACGTTCCTTTCTAAGGATTGTGTTGTTTTCTGTGCATTGACAGCTAAAATGGAAGGTTGTTGCTAGCAATGAAGGTCTTACCTTTTCTTTTCTACAGAAGGCCTGGTGTGAGTTCGTCCACATCTGAGAGGCCCAGCTCTGTTGTTGCTGAGGCACAAGTATGAAGATGCCTGTTCAGTTATCAAGTACTAACATGCTGTAACTGTCATCTTCATTTGGACAACTTCACTTTGCAGCTCTCTCTGTGTGTGCGTGTGAGTGTTTTAAAGAACAGGAAATGCTTGAAGCCGCAATACTTCACCCTTGTCAGTTCCTCTTTGCTCTCTTTCTTTCTCAAACAGTTTCTTTCCTTCTGTCTGACCCTGATATGACAAAGAGTGGCAGGAAACTTCAAATTCTGCATGCAGGTTCAAGTTATCGTAGTTTGAACCTGTTGCATTAGGACAGCTGGTATTCCTTCCGCTGTCATGGAGACTCTTTGCTAAGTTTATGTTATCAGTTTTGGCACCTTGAGCCTTCTCCTTCATGCTGAGATGTTGTGGCTGCACCCTGAGAATGAGCCTTTGGGGATGAAAATTGCCTGACCTGACAAGAAAATAATCTACATCCATTTGCTAAATTTTAGTGAACTTTGGGGATGAAAATCCCCACCAAACAGGGCTTTGGCTCACAGATCAGCACAGGGAAAATAATGCTAATTTACTCTATGTGACCCAGAGTTGTACTGCGTGCTTGAATTTTTTTTTAAGTTATGCATGATATGGAATCATATTGAGTTTAGATTGAGAAATGATGTATCAGATGGCGAAAATGAAACAGATGTTAAATTATTCCCTTAAGTGTCTGCCAGAAGGTTAGATTAAGGTGGACCACATGGAGTCCATAGGAGTACCCAGGGCCCCAAAGGCTAAGAATATTTTTATTACTTTAAAAAAACATTTTTGTCTTCATGGCAATGAGGGGAATCTGGCATGTTTTGAAGGCTTCCCATCATTCCTGTTCCCACCTTTCAAAATTTTTGAAGGCCACTAGAGGATGCAAAGGGCTTTTTTTTGTCACAGGAGTGAGGGTGGCCCTCCAAGGTCTGGAGGTGGGTGTGCTCAGCCCCCAGACATCAGGAGACTGGACACTCTGGTTTACAGTAAATGTATTTTTTTTTGTCAGCTGGCTGGACAACTTAGAGAGTTAGGCATCTGGCTGCAGAGCTAGAGGCTGAGAGGTTCATTCGCCACCTGGGAATAAAGCCCACCTGTGTGGCCTTGGAGAGTCCCAGAAGGCCCCCAGAAGAAAGGAATGGTAAATCACTTCTGAATATTTTCTACCTGGAAAACCCTGAAAAGGGTCACTATAAGTCAAAATTGACTTACAGTGACCCTTTTCAGGGTTTTCTAGGTAGAAAATATGATGATGACACATAGTTGTCATCCTCATCATCACCATAATCATTTAGAAATGTCACAGATTGTGTCTGGCATTATTTATGTATTATAACAAATCCAGTTCCTTCAATACTCTTGGTACTCTTTCTGCAGACCTTGGAGATCTGAACTCATTCAAAGCTATGAGGTATTCCTTGCCCATTTGCTTATCAATCAAAGATGGGAGTATTCATATTTGTATACAAATATGAATACCCCCGGACAGGTGGACATAACAAGGGTCCAACTCCCTGGCGCTGGACTGTCCATGCACTTTCCGCTGTTGCTGTGGGCTCCGTGCCCCCTTCCCATCATTCCAGAGCTCGCGGTCTGCGAGCCACTCTTCGACCTTTCAGCGAGGCTCGTCCTCCTGCCTCCTGCCAGGAGTGGTTCGCAGACTGCAAGCTCCAGAGCGACAGGAAGGGAGCGCGGAGCCTGTGGCAATGGTGGAAGGTGAGTGGACAGTCTGGTCCCAGTGGGCTTCAACGGTGGAAGGTGAGTGGACAGTCTGATCCCAGTGGGCTGCACCATTACGTCCACCTGTGTGGGGGTATTTATATACGAATACCCCCATCTCTGTTATCAATTTCAAGGTGCAATTTCACAGTGCAATCCTGTGTCCTCCACTTGTACTTCATATTTACTTAGAATGTCATAGACTGGCTTTTGGGAAAAGGCTGAACTCAAGTAGGAATTGAGCACTTCTATCTTTCCGTTGTTGTCTCTTATCGTTTTTCCACCCCCACTGAGTAGCTGAGCCACTGTTTCTTTTTCTGTTGTTTGCTATATACATACCTGATGAAAGCTTTTGGTGTTGTTGTTGTTGTTTTTAGTGTCTCTTTCTAACATCAGCTCATTCTCATATTTTGCCTTCCCAAGTAGTGATGGGCACAAATGTTTGGCAGATAGCCAAACAGGTGTTCTGTGATTCAGTGACCCATCCCCTCCAGTGGCTGCCCATTCAGAGGCAGCACCTAGAGGAGGTAAGGCAGGGAAGCCGGGATGCTGCTTCTGAGTGTGCACCTGCTGGAGGGGGCAGAACATCTGTTTCGCCACCTGCTGAACTGGCATGAAATGCCAAACCAGCAGCCCATGCCCATCTCTATTCCTAATGCCATCCCTGCAATTCTTTGCTACCTCTGTACTCTTCCTTTGTGGCCTGGTATTTTTTTAGTTTTCAGGTCCTCTCTGAACTTTTTGTGAAGTCATACTATTCTTTTTTTCCCTATCTCCCATTTTTTTTTTGTTGGAGTTGTTTGTACTTGTGACTTTAGAATGTCCTTTTAAAAAACTCCTATCCTTTTCTTGTTAGGATCTCCTGCCATGGGGCCTTACTTATTATGGTTCTCAGTTTATTAAGAATTGGCTTTCCTAAAATCCAGTGTATGCATGTGGCTATATTCTGCTTTTGTTTCTTTTGAATCATGAACTCAAGTAGAACATGGTCACTTTCTCCCAGATTTCCTCTTGCGGCCACTTCTTTTACAAAGTCATCTCTACTGGTTAGGATCAGTTCTCGAGTAACCATTCCTCTGGTTTCTACATCTACTTTTTGTAAGAGAAAACTATCAATCACACAAGCCATGAATATCTTGGAGGAGCCATATTTGGCAAACGTTGCCTCTGAACATTTATCAAGATAGTTGAAATCCTCCATTGCTACTACATCATGTCACATAGAAATTCTGGCAATTTGCTTTTCATTATCATCTTCTCCTTGAGTTTTATTCCGGAAATAAATCCATTATAAATAAGCAGCCCCAACATCTGAGAGCATGCACAGCTTTAAAATGGTTTCCTTTTTTATATCAAATCAGTGGCAATAAAGATATGAACAAAAATTAGTATTAAAAACTGTGGGTGGTTCTCATTCTAAGGTTCAAAAACTACAACGGGAGCCTTCATGTGAGAGGATGGGTGGGGAGATGTGAGATTTTCTCAGCTTGCTACCAAACTGAAGGTCTGATTGTTTTGGCTCGAGGCAAAAATACAGATTGAATCCTTCAGCAGTAGGACAAATCACTGTGGTATGTCTTCATATTTGTACTGATGTATGTTAATTGGCACAATGAAAGAATCCTGTAATTTTGTTAGGCTTTGTCTTTTTTCTCTCTCATTGTGCTGAGCCTATGAGTTCTTCAACCCCCTATTATACCATTTTACATAGTTGCATTTCCAGGTGGATGGGGCGAGAAAAGATGTCATCCAATGCTTTGTCTTCATTTAACTTGGAGAAAACAAAATAATTTCTTGTGTGATGAAGGAAGCTTGAAGCCCAATAGCCTGCCTGGAAATTTACCTGAGCTTTGATACAATAAACTAGAAGATAAGGTTTTCTCAAAACAACTGTTTTCCCATGTATTCAGTCTGCCAAGCATTTTGGAAAAATCAATATATGAAGGACAGAATGTGATCTCCTAGATACCCAGCCCCTAGATTTCATAATAAGGATTAGAATCCTTCTGGATGAGCTACAATCCAAAGCAAAGCATATCTGCTTGTAACCAGTCCAGAACAGAAGGGCAATTGTGTAAACACTCCCCTTAGTCCAGCAGGTTCTGTACTGTGTGACCAGTCACACAACCAATCTCAATCTTACAACCACTGTGAGACCAAGCATGCAAAGCAGAGCCTGCTGGTGCAGGAAGAATGCTTACGTGAGTGCCCCCTCTGGTCTGTGTTTCGAGAATAGTATACTGACCCTTGAAATCAGAAATGCAATAAGGGGGGGTTGAATTTTCTCTAGAGTTGCTCCATAGGGTTCTGTGGCTACAAAAGCAATGTTATGGTGAACATTTTACAATAGGGGAAATACTCCAGTCAAAGAGAATGCAAGATGTAACCAAGTGTATAGCAACAGTTATGAAGAAGAGCTTAACCGTTACACAGCACATAATATTGCCATATCCATGCAGAACTAGATCTCTGAAGCATTGGCATCTAAAAAGTTGAAAATCATGCCCTCAGGTTTAAACTGCTAGCCATTTTTAATTATAGTTTGGTGAATAAATATGGCAGATGGACTTGTGTTAAATAGGAATAATGTAGAACAATAACATAAAATTAAAAAGTTGACGAGACTGTATTGTCTATTGCCATTGGAATAGCTGACGAGACAGCTCGGTGATTTAGGTATCTGGCTCTGGAGCCAAATGTTGGGAGTAGAGATGAGGATATTTGTATTCATTTACAAATATGAATATCCTGATCCCAGCTGCAACTAATGTGGGTCTGGCCCCCAGAACTGGTCTGTCCACTCATGTGCTGCTGTGTCACCAGCATCTCACTCTTCCCACCAATTGTGGGAGCAGCTCCTTCGGCTCCCTGCTCGGCTGGCCACTAAGCAGCTATACGAGGAGACTCGTCATCCCGCCCCCTGCCTGGAGTGGCCAGTCGAGCAGGGAGACAGAGGAGCTACTTTCGCAATTGGCAGGAAGAGAGGAACATTGGCAGTGTGGCGGTGCATGAGTGGATAGGCAGGTTCTTGGGGGTGGGCCCACATTATTTACAGCTGGAACTGGGGTATTCATATTCATAAACAAATACAAATTTCCATATCTCTAATTGGGAGTCCATCTCACTGTGCCTCCTGTGAGTAGAGCCAACTTGTGTGCCTTCTGCAAACTGCAGAGTCCCACGTTTTCCCCAGAAAAAGGTAATGAATATTCTATATCTGGAAAACCCTGACAAGGGTTGCCATAAGTCAGAATTCTTAGCACATGATTATTATCATTAATCATCATCATCATCAGTAATATTGGGACAAAAAATTGCCCATGCTGGTTTTTTAACAAAGGCTGATGCCCAGAAGCAGAAGTGTCATGCTCTAGTTATCAGTAGCTTGGCACATTCATTGGGGGTTGCAGTGGTGTTAGTCGACTGGAATTATCTCTGGAGTTGGAAATACAGAAAATGTCCATAAAACTCTGACTCTAACCTCAGTCCTAATGTTAATCCCCCAAATTTTGGAATGCTCTTTAGGTTTAGAAAATCAACCATAAGTAACTTAATCCAATTAAAAGTATATATATATATTGGTGTGTGAGGACTGAAGAAACAAGAAATCCTTATTTGTAAGGCCTTCTTGGTTTGCACAGGATAAACAAATAAAACATTTTTGTACATTTAAGTCATATTTTAAAAATAATGAAGTACAGTGCAGCTTGCTATCTCCCCCGCAATGAAGCCAATAAGAGATTGGGCACAGACAGTTTTTTAAAGCAACCATTCTCAACGGTAGGGGGGCTGGCACATTGTGGGGGGCACAGACTGGAAACAATTATTCACACACTGTTTTAGAAACTTAGAATTGAAGAGCTGGAAGGGGCCCTATGGATCATCTTTAGAAACTTAGAAGAGCTGGAAGGGGCCCTATGGATCATCAAGTCCCTCCCCTGTCAAGAGGCACAGTGGGGAACTGAACTTCTAACCTCTGGCTCTACAACCAGAGACCGAAATCAATGAGCAATCCAGCAGTTGTTATGTGGCTTATACAGTCTTGATTTGGTCTATATTTTTTTTTCATATTGTGTTTATTTCCAGAGCCAATAAAATAAAATACAATAAAAGGTTGAGAATGGCTGTTTTAAAGCATTAGACAGCCATAATGCAATTTAATAAAAGACTGGATAGTTTCAAGATCTGTCATGCTCCAGTTTCAACTCAACGGAATGCTATATCTAAACTTAATACACTGTACTGTATAGACTTGATGACATTCAGATTGGGCCACCAGACAATTTTATTTACCAGGAGGGGGCGCTATTGGATACACTTTGAAAACAGCCGATAGAGTCACAGGCAGTAGGCTATAACTGCAAGATAAGATTTGAACATGGAATAGTAATTCCATATATCCAAAGGAAGGTCATATCAAGGATTTTAATGTAAGGGAACAAAGAGCTTTAATTCAGGATCTCATTGCGCCCCTTTGGGTGAATAAATTTGGAGGAAAATTCTTATAAGCAGTTCCCTTAAGCAAAAAAGTATCTTAAGCAGTTGTTTTAAGCAAAAAGGTCTTACCAAGAATCAAAGTAAAAAAAAGAAAAAAGAAATCGTATATGCACTTAACCTGATTTTTTAAAACCTCAGTATTTCCAAATACAATTCCTGTTGGATTTTGATGGTTTGGTTTTGGTTTTTAAAATAATTGATGACATTAAGATGAGAGTTTTGCATTTTTATTAGCAAGATATTAAATCGACTTTTTTTCAAAACTGATTTTTAAGAAACAAAGTCCAAAATGTTTTTCTTCTTCTTCTTCTTTTTTTGTCCTTAAAAAAAAAATCTTGCTTGCTTTAGCCAAATCTAAAATTTGGGCAAACTTTTATTTCCAAGTACTGTATTCCAAGTTCCAAGTGGTTCTTCCTGAAGCAGTTTAGACAGCACTGTGCAGTGTCTTTTGGTTGCCTGCCTGTGCATGTAAGAAATTCTGGTTCCGCACATGCAGCTTCATGAACATAAGGGAGAGATGAGACACCCTAGTATGAAACTCAGCACCCTAGTACAACCTCTGTTCTCATGGACGTCCTCTTCCATGCCTTGTTTTCCTCAAGAGCACCGTGCTCAGAACAAGAGGAATTCCCAAAGGGATGAAGCTCAGGAACATGTCAGTGCTTGTGAATTCAATAGCTTTCCCCTCAAGCTCCCTGACTAACTACAGTTCCTGTTCTTTGCCCGGCTCAGGAGCATAGGAAGCACACATATTTGTAGCCTTGAATTCCAAGATGCAGTAGTGGTTTTTAGGTTTCCATGTAAAAGCTGACTGAGGCCCAGCACTTTCAGCCTTGTGCTATAGTATTAGATAAATGAGAGACAGCCTGTGCTAAAAAGGAGGCATGGCTATAGCACTACAGGCCTGTGAAACATAGCAGGAAAGATCTATGGACAAGCAAAAGCATGATAAGACTGCAATTAATCTCACTTTAGTTTTTCCGTATTATAGCTCCTCCTGATGAGGTAGTCTAGGAGATCTGGAACCCAGTCTCGGATTAATAGAGGAAACTTTGTAGATGTATATTCATAATAAACTTCCCGTTGGCGCAGAGCTCCACCCTTAATGATTTCTAAGGCACACTCCTCCTTCGGTGCTGCTGGAGATGTGAAAACACCAGAAACTGTTTTCATGGCATTTTCTAAGGGAAGAAAAGAAACTTGATTTAGTAGGTACTGCTCAGAAACGCAACTGTTAAGTGCCTTCTCCTACTCAGTAGCAAGTCCTATTATGATTAGTAGGGCTTCTTCTCAATGAAATAAGTGTAAAATGACAGTATGGGTGTTTTAATCCAGGTATTTATCCCAGGTTCTTCACGGATCATTTTCATATCTGTTTTTCTATGACCAGACAATGTTATTGGCAAACCCACCTAGATCTCATCTCTTCATGTGAGCACCCATCACATTTTGTTCAACCCACTGTGCTCCTTTAGTGCAGGTGGGTGTGTTTCCCCTATTTTTTCTTCTTCCTGGGGGGGGCTTGAAATTGTATTACATCAACCTGGTTGTTGTTGCTATGTCTTGAAAATATAGCTCAAGATGTGTGCAATGAGGCACAGTGCTGGAATGATTGTTTTTTTGTCTCTTCAGCCCCACTGCCTTACACCGCTACTAAAATAATGTTAACTTCTCTTTAATCTTTCTAAAAGATTCTACAATAGAATCTACAAAATTATTTTTAAAGAATCTACAGTTGACAGATTTAAGTGAAATTATTCTGCTTTCTAATGTAAACATTTGGTCAGAGGAGTGATCTAGAATTGTTAAAATGAATAAAAATAAAAAAACAAGTTTTGAATTATCCTGATGCATTTCTTTTAACGCATTTCAATGCTACATCTTTGTTTTTTGTTTTTAACAATGTTGAATCAGCTGGTATGTGCAAGGGAATCATAAATACATAAACATCTAAAAGTTGGATAAATCTGTGCTTCAGAAAACTATATTTTTGATGGTTGCTCAACATCATAACATAAAAATGTTAGGTGTCATATATTTATTCATTTAATTTATTTAAAAATATTTTTATCTCACCTTTCTTCTTAAAAAGAACCCAAGGTGGCTATACTGCTAAAGTGTTTCAGGTCTACATCGATTGTTAATTTTTTTTAAAGATGTTGGATAAATAGTATATTCAAGATAATTTATTTTCACAGTAGAACTGTTCTTTAACAGTAGTACAGTGGTGCGTCGCATTACGATGTTAATTCGTTCCAGCGAAATCGCTGTAGAATGAAAACATCGTAAAGCGAAATTAAAAAGCCCATAGAAATGCATTAAAACCTGATTAATGCGTTCCTATGGGCTTGAAACTCACCGTCCACCGAAGATCCTCCATAGGGCGGCCATTTTCACTGCCCGTGCAGCGAGGAATCCATCCCAGAAAAGAGCGGGGAGCCATTTTTTTTAACCCGGTGGACATTTGAAACCGCTGATCAGCTGGCCGAAAATCGTCGTTTTGCGAGAACTGGTTCCCGAAGCAGGGAACCGATCATTGCAAAGTGAAATTTCCCCATAGGAAACATCGTTTTGTGATTGCAAAAACTTCGTTGTAATGCGATTTCGTCATAAAACAGAGCGCTCGTCTTGCAAGGCACCATTGTATTACAGTTATCTATCGTTATTTTCCATCCCAACTAACCAGACCCATCTGTTCAAAATAAGGCTCAAAGGCAAAGTCCGTAATTCTCTATATTACCACATGTTATTTCTCTGCTGTTTCCTTATAATCATTGTTGCGACTTACAGAACCAGGTCTTCAAAAGAACTGAATACCAAACAAGGTCGTAAATCATTGCTAGGTGTAAAATGCAGTCAAACACAACTGTCCCTTTATCTTAAAGTCTTGCATAAATGTTTTACCATGTACCATATTTGCCGGCGTACAAGACGATATCGAATGTTAAAACTAACCAGACTCATCTGTTCAAAATAAGGCTCAAAGACAAAGTCTGTAATTCTCAATATTACCACATGTTATTCCTCTGCTGTTTCTTATAATCATTGTTGCTGCTTACAGAACCAGGTCTTCAAAAGAACTGAATACCAAACAAGGTCATAAATCATTACCAGGTGTAAAATGCAGCCAAATACCACTGTCCCTTTATCTTAAAATCTTGCATAAATGTTTTACCATGTAGTCTCTGTATTGTGACTCTTATGTCTGATGGAGTAGACATTTCCCACAAAAGCTTACATTATAATATAAGAGCAGTTAGTCTTTAAGTTGTCATGCCTTTTTTTGCTTTTGCTTTGTTTTGTGCTTCTTGTTGAAACACCTGCACAGACTAACATGGCTAAAACTTCAAAAACTAATACTGTAATTAACTGTCAAGCAATTTCTGCCTGAGAAAAGTGTAAATAGGCATGGATTTCTTGGCTGGCATTTCATGTTACGGTATGCAATGATTTCAGTTTAGGAAAAAATGAAAAGCAAATGATTCTCACTGACTTTGGAATTGTTGTGGCTGAAATCTGAAGGATCTGACACTAGAGAGAGAGAGAGAGAGAGAGGCCATCTAATAAAAATCAAACTGTACCTGTGTCAATGAGTCCAAGAACGCAAAGTGTGATGGAAACATTGGTATTCTGCATGACAAGTTCCTGCCTCAAGGAGCTGAAAAATCCATCCAGAGCAAATTTAGTTGCAGAATAAGGAACTAATAAGGGGAAGCCAACTTTGCCTAGAAACACAGCAACAATACAGACAGGGGTAAATTCCATTGTGATCCTGAAGGTGGCAAAGGAAGCAAAACTATTGATGTTTTATGACTACATAAGATACTTTTTTGCCTTCCTGCTTCTGTTTCATTATTTTATTCATAAAATCTGTCCAAGATATGTCAGCACTCAGTCCTTCAAACTGTGGTACAATTGGATTTAGGAGAATTTGCAAATGGATATTACACACACTTTAGAATTATGCATACTTTGGTCATGTTTTCAATGTGTACTGATTTTTCTCGCTGTCTCTCTTGGAATGTGAGAGAAAGTTTTGGGTAACTATAAATTTTATGCATACATATCAGGGATGGGGACTCAAGTTGTGGGACTTGCTGTCAAGTCAGACTTAAGTCACACCAGTGACTTGTTTTTTTAATGACTTGGATGCAACCTGCAACCCAGGACTCCTCCTCCCCTTTTTCTTGGGAAAAAGCTTGTTTTTAATAGGGACTTGGACTTGGGGCTTGGGAACTCAGTATCCAAGTCTTGGATTCGAACTTTGGACTTGGATGCAAAGACTTGGCAACAGCCCCGATGCATACTTAGTTAGGAGCAGGACTGGCATATAGCCAAAGTGGAGAAAATCTCCCCCACTCCGACCATGATCTGCCTACAGATGCGATACAGTGAAATAAATCGGTGTTGAATTCAGTAGGACTCACTTCTGAATAAACTGTTGGCTGTAAATGTTCCTTTAGCCTTATTGAGTAGAACCCATTTTACATCACAATGAATGGGAAAGAGAGGAAGAGGGTGGGAAATAAACTTTTGATCCCTCTGAACATTAAAGAGGCCGGTGAGGTTACTGGACTACAGTCTGGAATCCCAGTTTGAGCTACCAGGTGGGGGAGCAAGACTGGAATGTCATATTACATCAAAGTACGTACCAAGAACATCCAATTAAATAGAATCCCAGCCACATGACTGATTGGATAGACTGAAATATGAGCAGGTATTGCCTATCATTATGTAACCTGACTGCTTTCAGTACCACATAGAAAAACAAGCTAGGTTCTATTTTCATTTTTAGTTAAAACAGCTCATTAACATAACATGCAAAAACAGACATATTGGTCAGTTCCAATAAACAGAGTTAAGTATTCGCAGATGGAAACAAAATGTAACATGTATATACAAACAACACAAAACAACACATAAAGATTATGCAACACTTGAGAGGAGAGTAAAAAATGAAAGTTTAACCCATGCAGAATGAAGTGAAGACATTTGCAAGGTTAGTTACAGTATTATGTCATTAGGATACCAGTTCATTACGCTGTGATATTACAAGAAGCATATATTTTTACAAGATGGCATTTGTATCGCAGTGCATGCAATCATTGTCTTTAAAATATCCTTGATGCTTTTTGGATCTCCTCTATAGTTTCTCTGGATTCTGTCATCCCGTCCTCGGCACAGTTCAGCCCAACTACAAATCATATTTCTCATTTGTATATATTCTCATTTGTGTATTTCTCATACTCCTATTCCCTCTCCACCTCAGAAAAAATTCCACAGGAATGATCACAGGCCTTGTGCTTAATTACATGCATGCTTCAAAGCTACAGTCCTATCTCAATGGAAAAAGGATTTAGAGATTTAGAGGCTGCCTGACTGACCGCTGGCTGTACTTTAAAAATAAAAGAAAACTTACATGCTTTTAAATTGCTTTCAATTTGTTCTTGTTTTTTAATATGATGTTTTGTCTAACTTTGTTCTGCTCAGAATTTGGAAGAGTTACTTTTTCAAGTATAGCTCCTAGAATTCCCTTATCACTATGGCCAGTGACCATGCTGATGAGTATATTCCAAAAAGTAACTTCTTCAAACTCTGATTTACAATTATGGCCCGTCCATATGCAGAAACACCAGAAATGTTCATAATAGCTTTGAGCCTTTGAAAGTCACACAAGCTGTTTTACACAATTGCAGCTCATGCTCACCTGCCATGGATGAAACAACTACAATGCTTCCAGCACTCTTCTTAAGCATGGGGAGAGCTGCCACTGTCATGGTGACATAGCTTAGGAAATTGATGTCCAGCAGCTTTTGCACATGCCCAACATCACTGTTGAAAAAGCCAAAGTAGGAACTGCCAACATGATTTAGTATAAGCATATCTAAGCTTCCTAAGAAAAGAAGACAAAGAAAAGATCATTTAAAGTCAAAGAAGGTAGGTGATTGCATGATCATAGCAACTCTGTATAACAACTGACCCTAGCAATATTCATACCAGAGGTGGCCATGACTCTCTCTCTCTCCCCCCCCCCTTCTCTCTCTCATACATGAATGTATCTGTCCATTGAACAAGTCTTTTGTTGTTTCATCAGCTATTGATGCTCTCTCTCTGTGTGTGTGTGTGTGTTTGTTGGCCATTTTCATGCTAGCTGTGAGATTCTGGAAGATGTAATTAAAACATTTTTTCTAAGCTAAACATTGCTTGTTCTGTGTGTGGTTGTCTTTTTATGGCGGTTGTGCAATAGCATTCACTATTCCCTTGCACATGTGTAAGCCTCATTGTTTCTAGTGGGATTATCAGTTTTCATAACAGCAACTGGAGATAGCTCCACCCTTGGAGCAGTCCTGCTCTGCAATTGCTAGTAGGATTCTAGCCAGTGCCTTCCATCTGGTGATCATAAACTTATTAGAATAATTACTTGCAGCATACTTCCTATATCTCATTACAGGGGAAAATGCAATATAGCAGTACAGTGCAAGATTCAAATGGTGATTGTACAAATGCTAGACTCTCTCTCTCTCTCCATACATACATACATACATACATACGTACGTACGTACGTACGTACGTACGTACGTATGTACGTACGTACGTACGTATGTATGTATGTACGTACGTACGTATGTATGTATGTATGTATGTATGGAGAGAGAGAGAGAGTCTAGCATTTGTACAATCACCATTTGAATCTTGCACTGTACTGCTATATTGCATTTTCCCCTGTAATGAGAAATATATTTCAGTGTTTCTCAACTGTTGGCACGCTAGATGTTTTCAAAACCAACTCCCAGAAAGCCAAACCAACATGGGTCATGTTCAGGGATTCTGATATCTGAGCCGCCCCCCGCCCATGTTTGGAGGACCAAAGGTTGAGATTTACTGGTCTATCCTAATGATCATAAGCCAGAACAAACAAATCACTGGTGCACCACAACACACTTGGAAATTGTTCACTGTTGCCGCTGTTTTCATGATGTTTTTTGCCGATTTGTTGTTTTAATGCTTTCATATGTGGCTGTGGTCTCGTTTTCCACTGATTAGTTCTCACAATATTGCTCTTGCACCTGAGCTAGTCTACTACTGCGTTCGAGAGTGGTGGAGGTCACTGTCCCATCATCAGTGCTGTAAGACTGAGTGGCCAATTCAATCAGCTTTTGTATACAAAAGGGGGGGGGGTCTTAAGTGGTCTGTAGTCATCTCTCATTTGTCAGATACATTGAGTCCCTCGATGTATTTGCCAACTGAAAAGTAGAAATTGGGTTTGGAGGAGATATGGTCCGTAGCTGCTGTAAAGAAAGGGGGTATTGATGGAAGGACAGTTAGGAGGCACAGAGGAATGGACAGGAAGGGGCCAAAGCAGTTCAACATATTGCTCTAAACAACTGCATCCAGTTACCCTGGCTTAAAGCCAGCCCTATGCCTTTCCTCTTTCCACTACTAAAAAACCTCTCTATTTATATTGAGTTTATCATGTTTTGCATCAGTTTTACATTGGGGCGTTTACATGAAGCATGTGCACGCGCAGATTAATTTCGGGATAGTTTTTGTGTGTGTGGCAGAGAGTTATGTTACTCCTTTGCCAGAGGTCTGTTTATTGTAACGTGCACGTGGAATCAATTCATTGCAATCACTTCTGCACATGTGAATGCTCTGTTTACCTTTTAAAAAAATTCCTGCTGACACAGCGCTATACAAGATAGCAAGATTTTTTAAAAAAACATTGCAATCCTCTTGCTTTGCTCGCTTCCCCACCCTCCCTGCCTTGGTCACTTGTCCTGCTCATTCAGCCTCTCCGTTCACTCACCCTCCCTGCCTACCTTGTTCACCTGCTCACCCACCTCCCCCTCACGTGCCCTCCCTGCCTTGCTAGCTCCCACCGCTTGCCCCCTTGCTTGCCCATCCCCCACTCACCCACCCTCCTTGCCTGCTTGCCCACCTGAGTCTCTCATCTGGATTCCCCTCTCCTCACACGGGGCACAGGTGACGCAGACTCTGGCAGTGAGGAGGACTTAGTGCCAGCAGCAGAGGGGACAACACACAGACCCAGAAGTTTTGGATTAGGTCTTTAGTTCAAATCCACACACACCCCAAACAAACAAACAACCCAACTGGTGGTTTATTCAGGCAATGGGATCAGGCCCTATGTTGCTTCTAATCTTAAACAAGAGGCAATCAAGCTTGTTTCTTCATTTAGCTTGCAACTCACAATAGCTACAGTCAGCGTAGTCAGTGACTATCGAGATGCAGTTCAAAACATCTGGAGAGCTATAGCTGCTTAACTTGCCCTAGGTCTAAGCCCAGTTGCCATTTCACGAGAAGAGCCTCGTGGTGCTGTACTGCAGCCAAAACTGTGCTCACGACCCGGAGTTCAATCCCAGCTAGCTGGCTCAAGGTTGGCTCAGCCTTCTATACTTCCGAGGTCGGTAAAATAAGTACCCAGCTCACTGGGGAGGGGGGGCGCAATGTGTAGCCTGCATAATTAACTTGTAAACTGCCCAGAGAATGCTTGAAGCGCTATTGGGCGGTATATAAGCAGCACACTTTTGCTTTGCTTCACACCAGTGTAAACCAGGTTATGCTTTTGTACCTTATGTCAATTGGTATATGCCATTTGGATAACTGTATGAACCAGATTTTAGCCACTATGAGAAAGACGACTTTCTGAAGAAGACAATGCACTTGGTAAAGTGGAAGACGGAAAGAAATAGTGCATCAGACTAATGGGGCAGTAAATAAATAGACAGACAGACAGACAGAAAAGAGGAGCATCAAACATGAGAAACATCAGACTAATGGGGCGGTCAGTAGATAGATAGATAGATAGATAGATAGATAGATAGATAGATAGATAGATAGATAGATAGATAGATAGATAGATAGATAGATAGATAGATAGATAGATAGATAGATAGATAGATAGGAAGACTGAGTCAAGCTCGAGCTATTGAGCTCGCCACCTGAGCCCATTGGAATCAAACTTAAGGCCGTGAGTGGAGTCTTGACTGCCGTACTGCTGTTTAACTACCTTGCCGCAAAAGGTAACCTCCAGAAGTTGCAGAAAGCCCAAGTCCTAAGCAGACAGTTCCATCCTGATTTTTACTTTTGGACCAGAAGCAGCGAGTGGTAATACAAAATGCTAATGTAGGTTGTGAGTGGAGTCTTGACTGCCGTACTGCCGTTTAACTACCTTGCCACAAAAGGTAACCTCCAGAAGTTGCAGAAAGCCCAAGTCCTAAGCAGACAGTTCCATCCTGATTTTTACTTTTGGACCAGAAGCAGCGAGTGGTAATACAAAATGCTAATGTTTCCATCCTCTGGTTCTATCTTTACTCAAAAAAGAACTGTGATAGTTTGTATTACTACAACCAGATAAATCAGTCAGATGGATAGTTAGAGGAGGCAAAGGTTTCCAGTGTAGAATGAACCTTTAGGTAAAGACCTTCTCCTGCCATCCTTTTTATATTGTTCCCTCTAGTATACACTGATGTCAGGGACGTGGTGGCGCTGCGGGCTAAACCGCAGAAGCCTGTGCTGCAGGGTCAGAAGACCAAGCAGTCGTAAGATCGAATCCAGGCGACGGAGTGAGCGCCCGTCACTTGTCCCAGCTCCTGCCAAGCTAGCGGTTCGAAAGCATGCAAATGCGAGTAGATTAATAGGGACCACCTCGGTGGGAAGGTAACAGCGTTCCGTGTCTAAGTCGCACTGGCCATGTAACCACGGAAGATTGTCTTCGGACAAAACGCTGGCTCTATGGCTCGGAAACGGGGATGAGCACCGCCCCCTAGAGTCGAACACGACTGGACAAAAAAAATTGTCAAGGGGAACCTTTACCTTTACCTAGTATACACTGAAAATCCCTAGCAGTCCTGAGTCCCTCAAATAAATAGCAGATTTTGCTGCAATCCTGAGGGATAAAAAAAACGTGATAATAAATATGTTTGTTTTCCACTGGTACTCTAAAGTCCAAGTATATAAATGAATTTAGTGGGTGAGAGAGCCATGACTGGGAAAAGACTGCAATCCTAAGTATGTTTGCTGAGGAATATGAATAAACATACTGAAGATCTTGCCTGTGGGGACAGGCATTATGAAATTGTTACAGGGTGTAGAAAGTGATCTCTTAATTGTAGAGCCATTCGAGTCATTCAGCTTGCAGTTCAGAGCCTTAATAGTGCTAAAGAGTTATACTGTGCAAAGGATGTCTGTATCAGTAAACAGAACATGATGGTCATGGAAGAGATTTTAGGATCATTGCAGGTAATTCAATGTAAACTTCAGCTCGTGGTAGCAGTGGGGTGTATGAAATGTATGGAAGTGAGAGCTGGACCATAAAGAAAGCTGACCGCTGAATAATTGATGCTTTTGAATTGTGGTGCTGGAAGCGACTCTTGCGAGTCCTCTGGACTGCAAGGAGAACAAACCTATCCATTCTGAAGGAAATCAACCCTGAGTGCTCACTGGAAGGACAGATCCTGAAACTGAGGCTCCAATACTTTGGCCATCTCATGAGAAGAGAAGACTCCCTGGAAAAGACCCTGATGTTGGGAAAGTGTGAGGGCAAGAGGAGAAGGGGACGACAGGGAATGAGATGGATGGATGTTGTCATCGAAGCTACCAACATGAATTTGACCCAACTCTGGGAGGCAGTGGAAGACAGGAGGGCCTGGCGCTCTCTGGTCCATGTAGTCACGAAGTCGGACACAACATAATGACTAAGCAACACAAGCAGTGGGGAGGAGGGTAGATTTAATGTTCAGGATTAATGGTGGAGATTGAAAAAGAAAACTGACAGTAATATAATGCCTTTTGGTTAGTCAGCCATACTGGTTGAGGATGGTGGGCCTTGATAGCCCAACGTCCCTGGATTATATGGGGTGATTAAAATAATTATGTTCAGATCCCATTTGGAACACAATATGTAGTCTGCAGGTCCATCACAGATATGGTACAGCAAAGGACAAGGGAAATGATCAGTGGTTGGGGCCAGGGCTGGCCTTCCTATTCGGGAGGCTACTACCACCAGCAGCAAATGCTACAGGGAACCTCCCTAGCCAGACATTTTGAATGCTGTGTTAGTGCTATGTGCCCTATCTAAATTCTCTTACATCAGGTGTGGACAAGCTCAGGGGACACAGAGGTCAAAATCTGTGCCCCCAGCCTTACCCATGGCTCAGTAATAGCCAATTGGTTGAGTTAGATAGCTGGCTGTGGAGCCAGACATTGGGAATATGATTCCCACTCTGTGCCTCCTGTGAGAAGAGACAGCCTGTGTGGCTTTGGGCAAGCTGCACTGTCCCAATTGTCCCCAGAAGAAGGGAATGGTAAACCACATCTGAGTCTACCTAGAAAATGCTGAAAAGGGTCACCATAAATCAAAATTGACTTGATGGCACATGATGATGGTGGTGATGATTAATGAATTGCCCAGATAAGCACTTCTGGTTTTGTTTTGTCTACATTTGGGGGCGATATGGGGTTTCTGAAGGGACCCCCCTGAGGCCCCTAATACAAGAAATACTGCGCTGTGAGTCCTCCAGGAAATGATTAAATTTTAAAATGTAGTTTTTGAAGGTCTCTTAGGGTTAAGAAAGAAAGAAAGAAAGAAAGAAAGAGAGGTCTTTGTGACTTTTGCTCTAAGCTATCTTTTGCTCTAAGCTACGTAAGTCCCTTAAGACAGTGGTCCCCAGCCTTGGGCCTCCAGATGTTCTTGGACTACAACTCCCAAAAGCCTTCACCACCACCCCTGCTGGCCAGGATTTCTGGGAGTTTAAGTCCAAAAACATCTGGAGGCCCAAGGTTGGGGACCACTGCCCTAAGACATGGTGGAATATATGGTGTCCAGCTGCCAATGCTGAAGTAAAATTCAACTGCCAATCCAGTTCACCTCTGCAAATGCAGTGGAAGGGGGAGGTCTAGTCTGTTGCTTCAAGCACCAAAGTGCTTTGGACCAGCCCTAGATTTAGAGCATCTTCCAAAGGAGATGAACACAACTGGGCCTTTTTATTTAAGGAAAAAGTTACTAAGGGAGAACATGAGAGAAAGTTCAAAAAAGATACATGGTGGAGAAAAATGAAGAACTTCTACTTCTCTCCTAATATTTGTGTTGAAGGTGACTGTATGTAACACAGCTTACTCTGAAGATGCGTGTCCTTGGGTGTCAGTAACCAGTGAGAGAGAGAGAGAGAGTGCCTGAGTTTCCTACATTGTCCTGTATCCGCTCTAACCTCTGCTGACCTTGTGGCATACAAAACTGATAGCACAATGAATTGATTAAATTTGCTATTGCAGCATGTAGAGATCATCACTGCTGTGGCCTGCTGAAAGAGGGTTGGATCAACCTTCTTCAATCTGAGCTCTCCTCATGTTCTGAACTAAATGTCCCATTACTGCCAGCTTGCAAGCCCAATGACAACATGGTCTGTAAATGTTAGGAGTTGTGCTGGGAAGGACTGGGATTAGCCAGAGTTATAGATAGAGCTTTAACTCTATCGATGGCTATTAGCCATGGTAGTTCTCCAGAGAGTACTGAAACTAAGAGACAGAATGCCAGTCTGTACACGTTTTTGCATGGCAACAGCTTGAGGGGGACCCAATGCCTTGCTTTGGGGTTCCTCAAAGACTGCTGTGGGACAGAATGCTGGATTTTAGCACCGCCTGGAAAAGTAACTTTTTGAACCATAACTACTACAGTTCTCCAGCCCAGCTGGTTGGAACATTCTGGGAGTTAAGTCCAAAAAAGCAATGTTTTGAAAATCTAACCTTTGGTTCAACTGAACAGGGCTCTTCTAACAACTTTACAAATTTGGCATACCCCATAATTCCTCTGCTTTCTTCACCACAAGCTCAGCAAATATCATATCTTCCATGCTGCCATTCATATACCTGGCGGATGCTGCACCCAGTTCCAAGCATCGAGCAACCACCTGAAATAAAGAGAAACAAAAAGATTTCCAGGAAGTCATGATCCTTGCAGTTCCCTTCCCCTCTTGCCAAAAGACATCTTTAAGTGTTCCTGTAACATCTGGGTAGTTCAGTTTACAAGAGGGCTCTCTGAACAGCACATTTTTGGCCGGTTTACTTAATCGTCAGTGGATCAACATTATCAACGGGGAATTTCCACTGGAAAAGGCTGCTAGAAATGCAGTTTCAACAACAGATGCACCTGGAAGAGAGCTGAGCTCCATTTGTAAAACCAAAATCATAGTTCCAGCATTTATTCTAAGGGAGAACTTTAAAACCTTGGGTTCGGAAGGAGGCTGGTATTAGAACTTTGTCCTTTTCTGGTTTGTTGCTTTCATGTTCAGATTTTTTTAAATGAACTATATAGGAGCAAAATTCTTTGAATCAACCCGGATTCCATTTGCCAGGGGAAAGTCTGAGTTATCTAGCAAGTTATCTATCTTGGCAGATCTAGCCAAGTTAGCCAAGACTGACTGGCTCCTAGAATTCTGAACACCAATTTAGAACACAAGACGCATTTAAAATATATGGGTTCCTGCAAAAGAAGCATGGGTGATTTAACACAATTTGGTGCTTTTGTGCATGTGTGGTATCTATCACACCATTTTGTCACTGTTCTTGTAAAAACAGCTCAGATCCCAGGCACAGGGAGCTATCAAACTGACCACATCTTGTCAGATGGATACCCCAGTGGATACTCTTTATTCATTGATTGCCATTATGAGAAATGTGGTTGTCCCAGCGAAATTTGTAAATATGAGACCCAATATGGTCATACTACTAATTTCAAAGACTTCAGTTTACATTCATTATTGAATACATCCTTCCTGGCAACTGCAGGAAAAACAACAACAACCTGTACATCTGTGCCCGTAGCAACTGGTGACCAGGACTAGTAGAGCAGGATAACCAATGAAAGGGAAGCCAAAACCAACAGGAGGCAGATCTATTTGATTCTGGTTTCCTTCCTTCCCTCCTTCCCTGCAGCGATCATAGAGTAGAACCCTTCACCATTTAGCTAAATGGAAGAATAGTCTATTAATCAATTCTCCAAAAACCCTCTGGTTCGTAAATGTGAGATATTGTGCTTCTCTATCCACAATTCAAAATGCAACAGAATTGCTTGATATTGTTGTGCAATATTGTGCCCATGTTGCCAGCAGGAAAAAGCACTCTCTTGTGCTCACTACCATTCACAAAGTGATACCAACAGTGGGAAATCCCAGATATCGACTTTTTTTTTCTTTTTTCATTAGTTAACTGCTTTTTCCCCCAAACACAAAGCAATTGTCAGGGCTTTTGTTCAACACATTCTCTAGGTATCTATTGTTTGGTGGTAGAAATCTAAGTGCCTAGAATGTGTCTTTTCGATTAACTGTGTGAATCCAAGTACATCTATGCAGGTGGAAGGTACTGGATTGTTAATCCCTAAGGAATTTCCACAAATGCTTGTGGCCCATGCATCCTGGTACACAGGACTCCCAGGCACCTGTATTCAGAAAGAGGTCTCAGTCATATTCCTTCAGAGCTGATGTTCTTTTATGCTCAAGAGTGGAGCTCTACATCCACATCTGGATTTTGAGAGAAGGCTAAAGGAACGGTATGGATACTTATTGCAAAGTACTTCATTTAAACCAGTCTCAGGGGTATGCAGTGTGCATCTTTTCTTTCTTTCTTTCTTTTAATATGTTAGCAAAAGGACCAGGCTTTCTATAGGATGGAATAAAGTGAAATGGCTTAAATTGAGACATCTGACTGACTGTGTCTTTTGGACTGAAAAAATAGTGTTAAATCTAATTCAGCCTTTCAATGTTTGTTGATTTGCTGCTCTACATGTAATCAAAGGGATGCACTCAAAAGACAAACTGGAACAAGTTTAGAAGAGGCCAACAAGGATTATTAGGGGACTGGAAACCAAGCCTCAGGATAAAAGAACTGAGCATGTTTAGCTTTAGAAAAGACTGAGGGCAGATATGACGGCAGTCGTCAAATACCTGAAAGATAATCATAGAGGGGGAGGAGCAAGATCTGTTCTCACTCTTCGCAGAGTGCAGGACACATAATAATGACTCAAGTTACAAGAACCTAGATTTCAGTTGAATATCAGTAAAAACTTCCTAATTGTTGTAGTAGTACAAGAAAGGAACCAATTGCAACATTAGGTGGTGAGCACATCAGTAAAAACTTCCTAATTATTGTAGTAGTACAAGAATGGAACCAATTGCAACATTAGGTGGTGAGCATTCCAATGATGGAGGCATTCCAAAGAAAATTAGGCAACCATCTATCAGATATATTTTGATTTGGGTTCTTGCACTGAGTAGGTGGTTGGATTCAATGGGCCCCTTCCAACTCCATTATTCTATGATTGTATGAATGGAGAAGCAAATATTGTGAATTATTCTCTTATCCACCTCCCTAATACCAGAATTTATGAATCATCTGGAGAAGCAAATATGGTGAATTATTCTCTTCTCCTCCCTAATACCAGAATTTATGAATCATCACCTTACATTTGCAATGTTGAATTGAACGTCCTGTTTTTTTTTAAATGGAAGTGTAAGTAAGCATGAACTTTTCACAGATTCCAACAGCAACTTCCCTCATGTAGAATTACCAAGATGGCTAGAGAATCTCAGAAGATGGTTACATGATCCGTACTATGTTTCCTAGAGGAGGGCAGAACCAAGAACAGCTGGGACGTGGCTGCACTACCTCTGCACCAAAATATCTTGAAGTGTTGTTTTTCACTTATGAAATAGTGAGGCAAAGGTGTGAGTGAGTGCAACATATACAATGAAGAATCATACACACCTGTTAACCTCTCAGTTTAAAATCTTGCCATGCCCACTCTACAGAATGCAGACTAGAAAGCTGTGTTCCAATTTTCAAACTCTTTTCTTGAGATAATCAACCTGAGGTAGAAAAGCGATATCGGACCAAAATCTGTACAAATATGTGTGCATGTTTTCCAAATGATGTTCCCTCATCCTTTTAGATATAAAGGGGGGCTGGGAGTTAGCAAATATTGTTACTGGAAACCAAGATCAAAATCAGCCATACTATGTAAAAGATTAACAATGCAAAAAGCAAAAACAAACAAACAAAAAAAACAAAACACCTCATTTGAAATGTGGTGTTGGAGGACAGCTTTGCAGATACCATAGACTACCAGAAGAGCAAATAAGAGTGTGCTCAATCAAGTCAATCTTGAACTCTCTCTAGAGCAAAAATACGTAAACTGTGGCTATAACTGACTGGAAAAAACAATATTGTTGGGAAAAGTGGGACTGTGGGACAGTAGGAAGCGAGGAAGACCTAATGTGAGACAGATTAGCTCTTAGTTTGCAAGACTTGAGCAGAACTTACTGGTAAAGACAATATTGCTAGGAAGGGAGGAGGTCAGTAGGAAGAGAGACTGGCCTAATGTGAGAGTCAATAAAGAAATCCACACTGGTTTGCAAGATCTGACAAGAACTATTAATGATAAGACATTTTGGAAGTCATTAACTCATCTAGTCATCACACAACAGAAGTGACTTGGTGACAGACAACATCTTTAAAAAAATACCAATAATTTTATAGTGACAAGATGGGTAGAATGGTTGAGGCACCCAACTATACCAGCTGGTAGTTTCCAGCTGGTATAGGCACAAAAATGCACTGCTAGCATCAAATAAGAAGGGTGACTACAAAGACATTTAGTCTCCTGTTTGGTTTGCTCCTAAATATGGCACTCAGATTACATATTTGCTGGAGCAAACCAGCCTGCCCCCAGGTTGTTCCTACTCACAACTTTCTGGACCCTATCAGTAGCTTCACCTTTGTGTGTGTGTGTGTGTGTGTGTGTGGTGTGTGTGTGTGTGTGTGTGTGTGTGTGTGTGTGTTGATCCATTTCTAGCACATGGGATTGCTGGAAACAAACCAAAAACTTTCCTTTTTTGATTTGTCAATATTGTGAAGTGGCTTAATAAGAGAGCCACTTCATGATATTGGCTAAACACTTCTCCTGCTCCTTGGCAGAGAGCCAGAAGAAGTAAAATTCCCCCCCCCCCACAATTCTCCATTCGGGCAGTGAAAATGCGTGGAATGAGTTATACATATATATTTTAAAATATTTCTTTTCCTCTGTCTTACAGGACCAGTTGAGAAACTGTCCACGGCTGAATCTCAACCCTTTAAGAAAAGGAAAAGAAGTGCATTTGTGTATTAGGTATGTGTATATATAGATATGCATATTAGGCTGAAATAGGCTCTCCACCCAACCTTTAAAAGGAGCATATTACATACGCGCACCAAAACACTCCTCTTAATAATCACTCCACTTAATAATCACAAAACTTCAAAAAAGCAGATCACACAGAGTCACTTTGTCCTGATTGTGCCAAATGCAAATATGAATCCCAAACAGTCTGTTTGGCTGGGAACAGGTTAAAAGGTTTTTCTATTAGTAAGCTCATTGAGTCCTGGTTGACATATTTAAAAAATTCAGATTGCCCCAGTCCTGGGGGTGATTTCCCCTTTCAAAACTAGTGTAAGGAAAGTGGTCTCAGAAATCTTCAGAAAATGCTTACTGAATTTAAAAAAGGCAACTCCTGTCGCATGTTGTTGTGTATGCCTTATAACACTGTATGCTAATTCCCTGAAGACATATGGCAAAATGTCCTCCTTTCTGGAGGACTGTCACTCCATGACTTTCTTCAAAGCAAACACTCTTTTCTACTCATTTTGATATGAGCCCTGAATTTTAGTTGAGGTGCAGCTCATGGAGCTACAATGTATTCTTTGAGAAGCCCTTGCTGGCAAGGTTGTACCATGCATGGTCAGTATTATTACAAATTGCTGTTTATCCTTTTTGGAAGAGCTTTTCTGAGGACAAATATTTTAACCCCTACAGCCTGGATTCTTTCTAAATAAAGAAAAGCAGGTGGGGGGTCAATAATTCTCTTTTCAGATAACCAAGACTGTGGGTTTCCGCAATTAATGTGAGCTATTTTAAATCTGGGGTACAGCAGGGTCCTCCTTCATGGATTGCTGCCTTGTCGTTGTGAAGGGGCTTGAGTAATTCAGAGAAGCTATGGGCTATGCCATGCAGGGACACCCAAGACGGACAGTTCATAGTGGAGAGTCCTGACTAAATGCGATCCACCTGGAGAAGAAACTGGCAAGCCGCTCCAGTATCTTTGCCAAGAGAAATCCATGGACAGAAACAAAAGGCTAAAAGACATGACGCTGGAAGATGAGCCCAGCAGGTCGGAAGGCATCCAACATGCTACCGAGGAAGAGTGGAGGACAAGTACAAGTAGCTCCAGAGCTAATGAAGCGGTTGGGCCAAAGCCGAAAGAACGCTCAGCTGCAGACGTGCTTGGAAGTGAAATGAAAGTCTGATGCTGCAAATAAAAATATTGCATAGGAACTTGGAATGTAAGATCTATGAACCTTGGTAAGCTGGATGTGGTCAAACAGGAGACGGCAAGAATAAACATTGACATCCTGGGCATCAGTGAACTAAAATGGATGAGAATGGGCGAATTCAATTCAGATAGTTATCGTACCTACTATTGTGGCCAAGAATCTCATAGAAGAAATGGAGTAGCCCTCATAATCAACGAAAGAGTGGGAAAAGCTGTACTGGGATACAATCTCAAAAATGACTGAATTATTTCAGTATGAATCCAAGGCAGACCTTTCAACATCACAGTAATCCAAGTTTATGCACCAACCACCGATGCTGAAGAGGCTGAAATTGACCAATTCTATGAAGACTTCCAACACCTTCTAGAACTGACACCAAAGAAAGATGCCTTTCTCATTATAAGGGACTGGAATATTAAAGTAGGGAGTCAAGAGATAAAAGGAACAACAGGTAAGTTTTGCCTGTGTGTGGCATGGTCTGGGGCAAACTATTTTCTGTTGATCCCATAACAAATGGGTGATAACAATCTGACCCATGTCCATGACCAAGCTGGACCGTTTTGGTCCAGCAACAGGACTGCTCTTTTGGGGGGCTTGGCCATACAGACAGAAGGGTTGCTTTAAGGGAGATGACTCCCACCAATGTGATCCTTTTTGGTGCAATCAGACATATTATTTTTTGCCATCCAACTGCACCCTAACAGAAATGTCTTTCCTAATCCTCACCTCCATAGCCCACCACAACTCCTATTAGTTCTGCCTAGTGCAGATTCCTCCCTTTCCATTACTGGACACAACTGCTCAGCTGATGTGCATGGAAGAAGGAGAATATGCAGTCATGAAAACTAAAGAAGAGGGAGTGCTGAATGTGCCTCAGTCCTCCTGGATCAAATGGAACCACTGGATAGCTCAGTGCTTTAGGTCTCTGGCTGCACAGAGACTGGTTGGGAGTTCAATTCCCCATTGTGCCGTCCCTGACAGAGGGGCTGGACTTGATGATATTGGAAATCACAAACAAGATCCCACCAAGTTGGTGCTGCTAATTTTCATGGCAGAACTAAACACTGGGGAAACTAGAAGGCATGGTTTGGTACAGTACTTTTCTCCCCACTGCCTCTGATTTATGGCTTGAAGGACCTGAGTGATATTATAAGCGTCTGTTTTAGAGACAACAATTCTATGGAATACTATACAGTACACAAAACGGTGACCAGCTAGCACACTTCTTTCAGTCACCAGCCACTTACAAAAACAAGAGACCAGGGGGGATGGGAAAAGAAGAGTATAGTACATCCGCTACTATTGCTGATCTCTATCACAAGTGTATTGATCATTATCCTAAATTGTTATCCTAAATTATCCTGATTTAAACATCATTGCAAGGCACAGAGATAAATGTGTTGAAGCTGTACATGCTTTGTCTATAAATTATGCTGACATACCAAATGCATCTTTCTCCTCTTGGAAGAACTTCTAGACATGACTAAGCCCCACCTATGAGAGTGGAAGAATTTATTCCTCTTTTTTTGAAGAGAAGTATCCCACCTAGAGTGGTCGTATAGACCAGATGGGCGGGATACAAATCAAATCAATAAATGAAATGAAATAAAATAAATCTTCCCTCCAAATTTGTTTGTCCACATAATAGGGTAGAAAACTAAGAGAGGTCATTTGCACATAGCTGTAGAATAAAAAAAGATTTGCTGCATGTTGGCAATCCTATCAGAGGCGCAAGCTAAAAGATTAACTATATATATGCAATATGGGAGAAATATGCACACATACATGCATCCATGGAGAAGTACATGTATAAAAGTGCCAGATGTACAAACTTAAATGTGCAGTAGCAGAGAAGTATTCAGAGAAGTTCTGAGTTTCTTCCATTTGAAGCTGCTATCGAGTTCTAGTGCACGCTGTAGACAAGATTTTTAGGTCACATTAGTCCATCTTGAATAACGTGGTGATGGACGATTCATTAGGAATGCTCCCTTCTTCACTAAGCACACTTCTAAAGAGGCACCTGCATAGACACACATGCTCCTTGTCATGTGTTTACATACAAATAAATATTAAATTCAAAGTCCATTAAACTTGGGAGGGGATAATTCTCATGCTATTGATGATGAATGGCAAAATTTGGCACCCAAAGTAAAAAAAGTGTTCAGTATGTTTGAATTTAGACAGAATAGTTCCCAAAACAAAAACTAATTTCTTTCCCAACCTGCATCCCTCTGTTTCTTCTAATTTACTTGCATAGATGTTCCATGTTCATATGTTTACACATGTGGTTATCTCTAAAGGAAAGCACCTGAGGGAGGACATGCATAAACGAGCATTTGACATTTACTTTCTGAAGCTTGGCTTCTGTCCGTGCAGTGACCAGTATGTGGGAACCCATGTGTGCCAGGTGGTATGCCATCTGCTCACCGATTCCAGTGCTTGCCCCTGTAACAATCACACGCTTCCCTTTCAGCATTTCTGGAAAGCAAGATATAGGGATAACTGTTTGTTAAAAATCCAGTGAAGTACCTCCCCACTGCTACCTGAGAAATCTCTAGGGAGCAAGAAGCTCAAACGATAACCATTCATTTTCTGCCTAGAAACCCACAGCCCCGTCTTAAAAGTCCTCCAATCCAATCTACAGTTCTTCTTCCAAGTAATCAGCAGGAACAAGAATTGTTAACATTCCACTGGGAAATAGAGGCATACTAAGAGAGATGTTTGTAATCTGCCCCCCCTCCATTTGCTCTAATTGAACATAAAACATGCATTTATTTGTAGATGTTTTATACAGCCAACTTTTCAGGCATTTTTCAGCAGACATATAATTAAAACAACATTCCGCCCTTGATTTCGACATTGTCAAATCCTTTAAAAAAGAAAAGAAGAAAAGAAAAAAGAATTTCAAAGCCCTCTGGTAAATCCAAATGGCACTCATCCCATCTCACCTGGCTTTCTTTGTATATATATGTGTATACACCTTCATGCCTGTTGCTTGATATATTTCAGAATTTTTGCCAAGCAAAGCTATTTTCATTTCAGCAATTCAAGAAATGCCTAGACATGTTTCATTTTAGGCTGTGTACCAGCTCTTGTGCTAAAAAGCCCTTCCAATGCAGCTCCCTCCTCTTCTCTTCTCTCCCTGCTTTTATTTTAAATGCCTTTGCTTTAAATAACTTACCGGGTTTAAAGTCTTCCTTTCTTGAATAAAAACAGAAGGCCAAGGCCAATGCTACAAAAGGCACCAGAATCTTTTGCAAGAGACCCATCCCACTGTAGAGTCAGGAAATAATAAAGCATGAGAAGCAAGAAGGGAAAAGGGGTGGAGGGAAAGTCCTGTAGAGCTGTTCCAGACAGAAGGAGCAATGTCAATGCTGAAGGGGAAAAAAAAAACCCTGCTAGTATAGAGGCAGCAACTTCCTCGAAGGTCCAACCTTCTGGCAATTCAGGGCATTCCTGATGAAAGCTTCATCGCAAGCCAATCTTTGTCAAGAGCTGATAAACTTTGGCCCAAGTGACAGCGGCACTTTGGATCCTGCCTGTCCCATTTCATATTTCCTGTCCCTATGTTGAAAATAGAGAAATTTGCACAACACCGTGAAAGAGGTGTGTCTTTGCTGAAAAGCATCAAGTTTCAATTCAGAGAGGATCCCAGGCTGCCTACTGCAGGTGGGTTCATGTTCTTCAAAAGCATTGGCACTGTCTGCCACGCATTAGCGCCACACACCCACACCCACACCACATCTGATGCTCCTGTACGAGAACTATATTCACTACACCCAAAGGAGTGCCTAAAAGCAGAGGAGGATCTAACAGCGCATTAGGAATTCAAGTCCACAGACTGGAAAAAAACTGATTCTTACATCTCGAGAGACTGGGTAAACAAGCTGGGCTCGGTGGCTCTGAGGTTGCAGATCCCTTTAGGAATTGTTGACAGTCTTGCAGTCAGTTGCCGAAGTGCTGATGCTCTTAGATAACAAGTATCTAAAAGCTTCATTTGTCTATTGGTGCCATTAGTGCTTTGTGATACTGGAGAGTAAGCCGTTCTAAGACATGTTTGTCCACTCTGTACCGATAAGGGCTTCAGATGCTAAATATGTTTGACCTCATGTAAATTCTCTTTTTCTTGGACGTTGGAAGAAGTCTTGGTTTTGTCGTGAAATTCACATGACCCATAAGTGGTTCTCCAACTGTCAATAGATGGAGATCAGTAGGAATCCAATTGAAGCTGAAGTTGCTTGTGCATGTGGATTACAATGATAAAACTGGGTCAAGCATGCATTCACATCCTTTTATAAGCATCCAATCCTTGTTCTGAGAGGTAGGCTAGATGCAGCTACTCAAACCTTAGCATGCATTCCTTTTTAGTTTAGTAACTATTAATGCCACCTTACTTTCATAAGGCCAGCTCTAGAAATGAGGGTACCCTAAAAACTGCTTTTATTAGTCATCCTAGTGTACCCTCCTTCCCTAGTTCTTCTCTCTGATGTTCTCCTCTCACACTAAGCCATTCTCCACTTCCGCAAAATTCAGCAGCTCCTTCATTTTTTCTGGTTTATTGCCATCATAGCTTTCAAAGATATGGAAGAAGTGACTGCATTAAAGCAAAGCAAGGAATATAATTCAGGGGCACAATACATACAGTATTTTGCATGCAGAAGGTCCCATATTCAATTCCTTGGAGTTCCATATAAACCTGGACATGGTGCTGGGATGGATAGACCAAGAGCCTGACTCAGCATGTTTCCTTTGTTCCTAGACAGCATCTTCTTCTATCCATGGAATTAGTCCAGAGCCTCAGAAGGGGAGGGGATGGCAGGCAATGGCACTAAACCCCAGAATCCTAGTTGTCTTAAGAAATCACATGTGTCCTCAGATTGCTTTGCCAGGCCTAGGCCAACAAGTAAAATCATGAGGCACAGCAAGTAGTGGTAATAAGATAAGGAACCTTGAATACATCATATGACCATGACAAGTTCCAGTGGTGTCATGTTTTCAGTCAGCTGACTGACCTTCCCATTCTCTTTCTTTTGTGATAGTCTAAATCTTAAATGGGGAAAAAGCTTCCTCATACACCCCTTCAGTTCAATTGTTTTATATAAGAAATTGAACATAATGTTTTGCGTCTCTTTGCATCACTAGGTTCTAAGTCTCTGGTGTACCACTATACACTTGGAAGTCTCAGAATTGCTGGGAAGTAAGAGGCCACTATCTCTAGGGACAGATTATTACTGTGATTACACTGGCTCCAATTCGGCTTTGCTGTGGGTTGATTTGCAGCCTGTATTACAGCTGAATTCACAGCCAGGGATCACACAGGGGCTGCTCATTGATTCAGGAGTTGAGTGTTCACAGTCAATGTGATGCAATTTGCATTTCAGGCCACAGCCCCACCTTCTTTCCTTCCTTCTTCTGATCCTACCTCTGCCAGTTCTTTTATGGCTCACTGTCAAGCCACTTGGTTTTGAAAAGGCTGCCCAGTGCTACAACAACAACAACAACAACAACAACAACAACAACAACCCCTAGAAAAAAGAAACAAAAAAAAACACAAAACATGGGTTGATTCTGTTTGGTTCATTTTTCCCTAGAAAAAAGAAACCAAAAAAAAAAACAACCACAAAACATGGGTTGATTCTGTTTGGTTCATTTTTAAAAAATATCTTAGTGCCAAACAAGTATATTAGTACTAATCTAGTATATCAATACAAGTGATAAGGTTAGTAAATTGATGAGCACTAATCTCATATATGTAAAACATTTTTATAAAAAGATCAAGCAACAGAAAGAAGGGGTGAGTGTTCTTGCTGTCTTGAGCATCACATCCCAAATGCCTACTCTCTCTCTCTCTCTCTCTCACACACACACACACACACACACACACAACCAACCAACACACAAACCCACAA